AAATCCCCGATATCTGTGTGTTATAGTGCTTATATAGCAAATCCCTGATAGCCTTGTGATATAGTGCTTATACAACAAATCCCTGATAGCCTTGTGATATAGTGCTTATACAGCAAATCCCTGATAGCTTTGTGTTAGTGCTTATACAGCAAATCCCTGATACCTTTGTGTTATAATGCTTATACAGCAAATCCCTGATAGCTTTGTGTTATAATGCTTATACAGCAAATCCCCGATATCTTTGTGTTATAGTGCTTATATAGCAAATCCCTGATAGCTTTGTGTTATAGTGCTTATATAGCAAATCCCTGATAGCTTTGTGTTATAGTGCTTATATAGCAAATCCCTGATAGCTTTGTGTTGTAGTGCTCATACAGCAACTCCCTGATGCTTATACAGCAACTCCCTGGTAGCTTTGTGTTATAGTGCTTATACAGCTGTACTCTGCATTTCTCCTTTTAAAGATCAAATTCGTTGGAAGGATGAATATAATGATTTTCCAGATTAAACTCTCTATAAGGTCTTACCATATAGCCACTCTTCCGCGGAAAGAGGGGAAGGTAGTCTCACTATTTAGCCAGGCCCCCCCTTCATAGCGAGATTTCCCCCTTTCAATTTAGTTTCTGAATAGTTCTGTTCAGTCTTGTCTAACTATACAACCAGCCATTCAGGGGGAGGGGGGAGTCTCACTTGATAGCAAGTCTTTGGAGGGGTAGGGAGGGAAGGGAATTTCACTATGTAACCAGTTTACAACGATGACTCACAATAAAGCCAATCTTCCGGGGGAAGTCACTAAAGGGGAAACTCGCTTTACAGCTACGACAGTGAAGCAGCACATTTTATGAAGCTTTGTTTTAGTATTTATTGTTATTTAGTGATTTTTACCTATTCGAATAGGTGATATCACCTATCTAAAGAAGTGATATTACTCATTCAAATTGAACTCGTGATATCACCTATTCGAAAAGGTGATATAACGTTTAAGAATTTGTGATATCACCTATTCGAATTGAATGTATGATATCACCTATTAAGCTATTTGAATAGTATATTATCACCAATGCGAACTGGTGATAACGTTTTGAATTTGTAATATCATTTATTCGAATGATATCACCTATTTGCATTTCATACAACATTAAAATAATAAATGGTCCCTTCCTCAAGACAATCTTGCTTCAAAGCAAAGTAAAGGATGAAATTTTAAAGGCTTTCGAAGAACAATTTTATTTTCTTAGCAATGATGCAAATATGATGATATTGATTTCGTTACTCTTAAACAAACTTTTTAAAAAGGATAATAAAAGATTATCTAGACGTAATTTGAGCCGCATCCTCTATTTCGGCATGGATTGAACTGAAGATTTGCCGTAAGATCTCCTTTTTGGCACAAAAGGGGGGGGGGGCACTGTTCGTATGTTATATGTACACAAAAAAGGGTTCATGGATCAGCCCGATTTACACATGAAAAATTAAATTTCGATTGATCCTCTGTGCTGTAGTCGGAGACAATGAAATATGGAGATAACGAACAGTAATCAAACTCAAAAAGTCAATTGAAAGAATATAAATCGGGAACACAATTTAAAACACCATATGTTATCGATCCCTGTGATGGTGTATATATTTTACTTGGAGTCAGTTTTGCTATATTTATTGTTTATGTTAAATATTTACAAATAAACTGAAATTTTAACTTCCTGTATAGAATAAATGTATAGTCTTGGGAGCATTTATTTCATAAATAATTTGAAAAGGCGATATTACCTATTCCAGTGACGTAGCATCGTTTTTGAAAGTGGGGGGACCAACCTGAGGAAAAAATTTCAACTTATCTGAAAAAACTTGACAAAAAAAAAAAAAAAAAAAAAAAAAAAAAAGGAAAAAAAAAAGGAAATTTGTGCAAAGTCGAAAATCCTATTTGGGGCGGGGGGGGGGGGGGGGGGAGTTTCATATCTTTTAGTACCTTTTTTTTTTACTCAAACACTGCATTCCCCTTATATTACCCTTATTTTACAATACTGCAACCAAAAGTGGGGGGCCAACCGGACTTTCAATGAACATTTCCTATAGAAAAAACTTATGTCTGGAAAAAAAGGGGGCAGGCCCCCTCTGATACTACGTGCCTGTATTCAAATAAGTGATATCACCTATTCAAAAAGATATCACCAACCCCTGGTATTTGATTTGAATAGGTGATATCACTTATTGGAAAAGGCGATACTTTATGATTTATGATACGAGTATAATAAAAGAAACATATGATTTTGACCCATTATATCACTTCAAGGGAATGTTTAGCCCTTGTCCTCTCAGCTCTGTGTAAAATCAAAAAAAATAAAAGACTCGATATTTCTCATCTATTATAATAAAAGGACCAATCCAGGGTATAACATGAAAAAATATTTTTTTGAAAAAGCCAATAAATTGAACAAAGGATATGAGTGCACTTAGAAAAAAAAAGAAGCAAGATGTGTTTGTGAAACACTGAAGTTCAAGGCCCAGGTTAAAGTTTTTTCAAATGTAGGTCAAAATCCAGGATCAAGAGTTCAAAAATGTTGATACCTTAAGAGAGGTCTTGTCACAAGGAATACACATGTGAAATGGCCCTGGTACAGCCTTTAAGAAAATATGGTGAAAGTTAAAGTTTTTCAAAAAGTAGGTCATACTCCAGGGTCAAATTCATGAGGTCAAAAAATAATGATCCCAAAGGTAAAGTCTTGTCACAGTGAATGCACAAGTGAAATCTGAAAGTTCTAATAGCAACCTAGGCCTTTCAAAAGTTATAGGCAAGGCCCAAGGTTAAAGTTTTTTTTCATATGTACGTCAAACTCCAAGGTAAAAAATGTTGGTACCTAAAGAAAGGTCTTGTCAGAAGGATACACATGTGATATATAAAAGTTTTTCAAAAGTAGGTTCAACTCAAAGGTAAAGGTCGAAAGGTAAAAAATGTTGGTACCCAAAGAAAGGTCTGGATACATGGAATAAATGTGAAACATAAAAGCCCTAGCTCCAACCGTTCAAAAGTTATGGCCAAGGTTAAAGTTTGGTAAATTTTTGCAAAAATAGGTCAAACTCCAAGGTCAAATATTTTGGTACCCAAAGAAAGGTCTTGTCACAAGGAATACACATATGAGATATGAAAGCCCTAGCACCAACCATTCGAAAGTTATCGGCAAGGTTAAAGTTTTGCGGACAAACAGACAGATTAACAGGCAGATTAACAGACAGATAGAAAGACGGACCAAAAACTATATATCCCCAAGTCGGCATAAAGAAATTAATATCAACAAATCTGGTTATCTTTAACATCATAAACCTGCGGTTATAAAGCAGTGTTACGGATGTTAATGCTTTAACGGGATTCATTTTTATTGGAATAAACCTAAAACTAACCTATTACATGTATTCGTTTTCTGGTTTTTAGTATAGAACGGTAAATATGATTTTTGAAATGTGGCATGAACTTGGTATTCAGTTAAAGTTTCGGGGGAAAATCGATACGGAAATTAGTGGTTACGAAAATAAAATTTCAGCATTTCATGTTCTAAATATTGGCAATAGATTTAATTAACGTTTGTTTTAAAGATATTACTCATAACTTTTTAGCATTACCTATCTGTAGGTAAGTTCTAGTGCATTTTCAGATCTGCATAGTTTGTGTACAATTTAAAACAAAACCGTTACGGAATTTAATCCATTTTCTACGACATTATATAATTTTCAAATGATACAGGATCCATGCATTTCTTTGCGAGATGTTTGTTTTATATAAAACTTTCTTTTCAATAACTCGGAATGCTTATGCAATTGAACGTTTGCAGTGGAGTACGTTTTTAAACATAATGTCATTACATTACATTTATCTTATCTTCACTTGGGTAATTACATGTATTCAAGTATTGCAGGATTTCAAAACATTTGCTTACTAAAGAGATATTTCTCGGAAAAGATAACAATCTCTAATAGAAGATAGAGAAACTGAAATTCAAGCTGAAATATAGAACACCGTATACGGGGTGTACTGGACTTTTGGACAAAACATTAAGATTAAAATTAGAAGAAAAAAAGACTCATCAATGTTAGAGTCATCTATCTTAGCAGAGAGTCCATACCTCCTTAATAGTTGTGATGTCAAAAAATAAACTATCAGAACTACACTGGTGGTCATTGTGATTTATATAGTAGTACACCAAATTAAAGATCTTACATTCATAAATATTAAAATAGCAGTACTTGTACTTATCTTGTACAAAGGAAAGGGTTGATGTAATGGTTTGTTTTGTTACACATTTAAAATTATAAAAAGACGCAGAGCGTTCAAAACTTTACATAGAGATTACCGTACAAATTTCCTTGTGCAAAATAAAACAGCAAAATTTGGGGTTCCGCCACTCCCCCTTAAATCCGCCTTTGTATGTGCAAAACGATAAAGTGTTTATGCCGCACAAGTTATGCATGTAATATAATTTTTTGTCAATTCATATTGGTCCTATTGGACACTTAAGTAAACTCCTTTAGTGTAAAAAGAGAACATATTGACGTAAGCAATGGTCTATCAATTTTTTTTTGAGTAATGTTAATGTACAAATTTACTTAACAGCTGCAATATGTTTCGTGTGTTTTGGGGCTTTGCCGTTTTCATTCGCCTAGAGACCATTCTATTGGACAATAAATCAGAACACTGACACACAGAAAACCCAAGTTTTCTCCAGAGGGTAATCCATTCTCTTTTTCAGTGAAAAAGAAAGCTTCTTAAAAATATATGTGAAGAACATCTGATTCCTGGCCTGACATTTAACTGTCCCAAGAGATATTTGTACATTCTCATTCTGTCATTAAATTTCTAATCCTTTGTGTGGATAGTTAAAAACATAGTCTTGACCTGAAACTACGTTTAGATGGACATGTATTCTCACCACAAAATTAAACCTTTTTAGAGAAAAAGTCAAAAATCTTTTCAGTTTTTTTCTCCATTTTCAATTAAGAATATATCAAGACAATTCTTGTATTATTTAATATCTTTCTTGCAAATATATTCATGAAATATCTATATATAACAATATAGAAAATATAAAATATAAATTGTCTGGTAACAATTGCAGTCTCTTATTGCACACACTTCTGTTTATCACACGTTTTTCTCAAGGTGCAAACTGACTCCTGTACTCGTCAAACAGATAACTTGGAACGTGGGCCTCAATCACCTGAAAAGAGTGATTAAAAAAAAAATAAGCTGTGGTTCTATAATTCAATAAGGTGCCAATATAAATTCTGTTTACCATTTAACATTTCCTACATCTGTCAATTTATATCTACAAATGATGTATGTTTTAATTAATGAATTTTTAGAATGCTAGTTGACCAACAAACAACATAGCCCCCAGTATAACTGACCTTTCTTGATAGTCCACTGAAATAAATAAAGTCTTCCAGGAAAACTAGGGCATTCAGGACATCCTGGGACCCTTCCTGTGTCTTAGACCTGAAAATCATATCAAAACTTGTTAAATCTTACTAAATTCTGGGATATCTTATTCTTTACCATCCAATTTAGCTGAAAATGCAATGAATGCATATAAGGTTTAAATGGCTACCTCATTTCTTTATTTTTAAGTCAACAGAGTCACTTAGGTGACCTATTGCGAACTGTTTTCATCCATCTTCAAACAATGTGTGTCATTCATAAACTTTTGAACATTTTCAGCTTCTTCCTTGCATCACTGAACCAAATTTAACCAATTTCAGCCTAAAGCATCTAAGGGTGAAGGGAAACCAAAACTGTGAATTTCATTTTCCCTGCCCCTGGGTATTTAGTAAACAAACTAAGTGCATGGTTATGATGAGCAAGTGTGCCTCTTCCATAATTGTTATTCATAGCCCCTGGGTCAGGGGGTTCTGGTGTTATGGCGGGACTCTATTAATTATACAGTGAAAATTTATTACTTAAAAATTTTCTTCTCTGCCCCTTGGTACTAAGTGAAATGCATTCTTTAAAAATTTTCTTCTCTGCCCCTTGGTATTCAGCAGACACACTGAATGCTTGGTTATGATCAGCAAGGATGCCTCTTCCAAAACTGTGAAATTCACAGTCCCTGGAATGGTTCTGGTGTTAGGGTGGAACTCTATTGATTATTTAATGAAAATGCATTAATTTTTTTGAAAATCTTCTTTGCTCCAGGGCATCTACGTGGCAAACAGAGTACAAATGAAGTTGTAATGAGCAAAGGTGTTTTTACCAGGTTTGTGAAATTCTGGACAACTGGGTTAAGTGTTCCGGTGCTGGGCAGGGCTCTATTGATCTTAAAGGGAAATTTTACTCTACTGAGCAAAGTTATTCCCCTTTGCTACTCATATACAATAATGAATCTCTGTAAATAAAATAATTGATAGGTCAATTGAACAAAAGAATTATACAAGATTTTTTATTGTATAATACAAAAGTACTTTTCATAGTTTTATATGGCCAGGTAGACTTGTAAATAATAGATAAAGAAAATGAGACAAAAATAATTTTGTATAATACATGTTCTTCAAAGACCAAGAGAGGCTAATGTGTCAGGGATTTTGATGGGTTAACTGTATGTTCAAGTACTAATGTGTTGCTTAGCTTGTATGGTGAAAGTGACAAATGGCAATGTACTAGAAGTGGCAAGTAAAGGCAAGTCAATAGATCTACTTTCTGTTCCTGAGTACTAGATTAACTACTAGATTAACTACTTTGTTGATTCCTGGTCATCCTATTTCTCTTGCTTTGGGGCAACATCACTTCATCTATCAGTTTATTTTGTTTTTGTTATATTTCTATATATCCTTTTCTGTGTTATATTATACTGAGATGACCCTTAAGACCCTTGGGCCTTGTTTTTTAAATGACAACACTTCCTTACTTTGAATATACCACTCCATAGCAGGTTAAGATGATAGATAAGCTTTCTATAGTAAGGTCTCTCAGTTATTTAAATTCTTCCTCACCCTGGCAAAGCATCCACTTGTGACCTGACATACTGTCCCAGAAAGGCTAAAAATATGTCTGTATTCTCCTTGTGGTACTGCTTCAACAAAGTCAGACAACCAATCACAAAGGGTGGGGCATCCAGGTGGTCAGTCGCCTTCTTACTGACCAGTCCACCTGTATCAAATTTGTTACTATAAATAGCATTCAATGTTAAATTTCTACAGAAATTCAATTTTTATGGAGTGTTGCAGCTTGAAAGAATTTTTAAGAAATAGAATTGCAGAGTATTTCTATGATCTACATTTAGCACAGACAATATTGAATAAAAGGATTAAGAAGTTTGAATGCTACATGTAAATGCTCAAAGTGGAAAATGAATCAACTTTTACATGATGATTCTTTTTTGAGATAAACTCTTTTCCCTTTTGTCTTATAACTTAATATTACAGACTCTGTTCACTTCAAAAGAGCAAACACTTCGTTTGGACAGTTTTATTATTTAAGATACAATAAAGAGATATATTTTATTCTTGAATTTGAAATGAAAACACTGTAACATAAGTTCTGTGTAGTTGTCAATACTTACTGATAGTTCTGCTGTATGTGAGCTTTGGAAGATGGGATATCACTAACAGAAAGTTGAAGAAAGAAAAAAATGGAAGCCGTTTTGTGGTAACATATATCTGAAAAAAGACAACAAAAGTGTCAGCGAAACTTGACATTCACATTTCTGTAAAAAATATTTCTCATTAAGAAATGTTCTGGAGTATATATGTATATGTAATATGTCTGTTATCTAATTAGCTTTTGTTCCTGTTTCTGATTTCTGTAAGATTTGATAAATCAATAAGAAATGTTTTTCTCCAGGACAAATAGTTAAGAATTTCTGACACTTTATGACACATATCACTGACATTTATGTCAATCCTAGATCTGGATAAATCTTCTTCTTACACTTAATGAAATTAATGAAGTGAAAACTGAGATAACACATACCTTCTGTAATGGATCATGAAAACCAGCTGATTCTAAATAAGACGTTAATTCAAACATCAGAGGGTTCTCTTCCTTGGGATAGGGTAAAGTTGGATCCTGGTAATGCCTCTCAATGTCTGCTATAAGGGCACTAAAAGTTGTGATTGTAAAAATGACTTTAAATTGCAGCCCATTGATATTGTTTCTGTTCATTATTAGATTTAAGAAATGAGTATGCATATGTAATGCCAATAATTATTTTCATTGTTTTTGCTAGCCAATAAACCAGATTTGCAAAATGTAAATGATGATTGTAATATTCTAGATTTATAAGGGAAATTTAATACTGCAAAGCGAATATTTTAGCAGTGTGCTAACTTGGCTTATTTTAGCAGTTCGGAAGTAGACCGCTAAAATTGTTATTGCTTAATTTGCACCCTTGCATAAAAGTCCTGAATGCAAGAGAGATAATTTTTTATCAGTTTGATGTGAAACCTAATGTAACTTTCATCTAGTATTGGTTTTATTTGAACTCTTGCATAATTTGATATTCAAACATATAAATAAACAAAATAAACTTCCTCCCTTTTGCAATGCCATGAATCCCTGTGTCTGCCAAAAAAAGTTCTGCCAAAATTATTGGCAAACCTTGAGGAAGCAAAATGCCAAATTTTACACCCGCTAAAGAAATCCGTTATATGGTATAAAAATCTTGTTCCTCACTCATTCATGGTTTGAAGGGCACTTGAAAATATTTTTGAGTCGAACTTGCAGGACGTGCTTAACTCATGTTGGATCTGCCTCCTCAGTAGCTGCATCTGTCCTACCTGTAAAGTATAATAAAATAATGTGGCTACAGGACTGGTAGATCACATAATACATCTGTACTACCTACAGTATTAATTATAATAAAATAATGTGACTCCAGGTTGATCACATATACATCTGTCCCACCTGTAAAGAAAATTCAAATAATGGGACTCAGGTACATGTGTATCAGATATGCATCTGGCCAACCTGTTATGTTAAATAGATCCCCTATAATCTCCACTCTAAGTGTGACTGATTGACCATTCAATGCCATATCTGGGGCCCGTTTTACAAAAGAACTTACAACTAAGACCACAAACTTCATTTGATTGTAAAATTTTGCAAAATTAATGATTCTGTTTAAAATTGCTAGCGTAAAAATGTCTTACAACATTCCTTTTAAAAAGATTAAAACCATTAATTTTCAATATAATGTAAATTTAAGTTATAAGCAGAATTAAATTTTGGTCTTAGTCATAAGTTCTTTTATAAAACGGGCCACTGATTCTTATTCATTGCAGATTTTGTGAATTACCTTGCACTCTAAAAGTCAGTAATTAAGTTGGGTAAACAAAAGAGTTTTAAAACAGAAATACCTTCAGGATAATATCAAGAAATGCTGGCCAAATTCTGGTTACTTTTGACATCATACTAGGGTAGACCTTCTGTGGATGAGCTGAAATAAAAATCATTATCATATAAATATACTACATGACAATTATCTGATGGACAGCCTATATACCAAAATAATTTCCTGACCTACGAGAGTCTTGACATTGCCCAGACTCTTGGAGAATGCATCCATTAGGTCGTGATATTGTCTGTCTTTGGCATTGTTTAGTAGTCTAGTACACATCATCTGGAAAGTCTGAAGCTCCTTCACCATCATAAAACACAGTAAACGGTCTAGTCCTGCCAGACCAAAACTCCCAACTGACTTCTATAAAGAGAGGTTTATAGAAATTTATTCCAACAGTTATTGTATCATACCATAACATCTGCATTCTTCAATGACTCAATATTTATTCTGGGAGAACAAAACTCGGGCCTACCTGTAACATCTGAAACAGTGTTCTGTTGACTTGTTCGGCTTTGGTTTTTACATCATACCAGGCTTTCATTTGATCAATATATGCAGTGATTCTTCAAAATAAAAAAAATAATAAACAAGAGGCCCAAGTGCCACAATGCTCGCCGTAGATCAAAATTTTCTTTTTGACAAATGAATATGCATGTGTAGATAAACTAGAAATAAGTCTACAGGACACTGAATTCCCCACCCAAGGTACATTTGTATAGCAATAGTAAAAAAATACCTTCCTTCTTTGGTCGGAGATTGATTCATCCCATCTATTATCTTACAGCTAAAGTCTCATTGTTTCAAGTTCATTATGTCATATTAAAATGACTTATATATTTTGAATTTGAAACGGAGGTAACAACAAAATGAAGGAATAGTTAGGTCAAGGTCATTAGAAAGGTCAAGGTAAGAAAATGATGACACAATTGAACAGCTCTCACCAATATGTATCTTAATATATGAAGTTAGGGTAAAAAAATCTTCAAAAGTGAAGTTCAAGGTCATGGAAAAGTCAATGTTAAAGTCATGATTTGTCAAGGTCTCAGGAAAGGTCATGGTCAGAAAATTATGATACAGTTGAATTGCTCTAATCAATTTGTATCTTTGCATGAACTAAAATGATTCTACATATATAAACTTCAAGATGATATCAATATGACTGCTGCCCTCCTCTTCTTGAAATTAAAGATTAAGATTTTTCCAGTATATTACAATAAAAAAATTTTGCCCTTCTATTGTGGCCCCACTCTAGCCCCATGAGTCCTCATTTAATAGAACAAACTTGATTTGACACTAAATATGGCTGCTTATATATATCAATATGACTAATAGTGGATCTGTTGTTTTTTATCATTTGCATGAAAAATAATGGGGGAAAGTACAAACTAAATAAATGTATTAGAAAGTAAATTACCTTGGATCTGTGATCCTAATAATTTCCCTGGCCAGTCTCCCAATGAAGTTTACACTTTCATCGACAGGAGAAAATCTGGGGATAGGTATGGCAGTGGACTGATAAACACTCTGCCAGTCCAATATCTACAACAAACACAAGATTTTTTATCGTCATAAAACATGCCAAAATCAAGGCACAAATGATTGTTTCTAGAGACAAAACCTTTCTTTGATCCAAGGAAACTCTTGCCAATTTTTTTTTCAAGGAACAAAATGACTGTTTTTCAGCTGACCATGACTGACCTTTGTCCTGAGGAAGCTGTTACACTCTTGCTCTACATTGTAATTGATGATTCTGGACACTTCCTCCTGCCAAATCTTCAGACCGTAAATGTTGACATAGTCCTGAATGTACTCAAATGACCTTCGGAATCCATCCATAGTTTCCCCAAGGCCTTGAAGGCGAGGCATCAGCTCACTCACCTATCAATAAGAAAGACACAGTTTTACCATACATACTCTATGAATATTTTACTTTCTGACAACATAAAGCAAGACTTAAACATGAAATAAAGGCTTTTTTCTGATAAATGAATTTTCTTTACTTATCCTACCCCCCCCCCCCCCCCCAATATGATTTAGTACATACTTCATGGGGTATACATATACTCCTCACCTTAGCCCTTGGATTAAACATTAGCCCTCTGTGTAGAGCCATAGCCACCTGTTGTACAAGCTCCTTGCGAATTCCATCTTCTAAGAGTTGCTTAGGATCTATCTGTAAGATGGAGTAAATGAAGAGTTGCTCAGCGGTTACATAAGATCTATCTATAAGGTCAAGTTTATCAACATTACTTTAGTCCAAAATATCTCAGGTTTTCCAGGCATTTTTAATGATTTACATATTTGATGTGCCAGGAAAGCATCAGAACTGGCTTTATGAAAAGTGGAAATTTTCCAGCCCCCGACTGAACTCAATTTTCGATATTTGCAAAATTGAATTTCAAAATGTCAAACTCACAGTTTATCAATAGCACAATATTACTTGTTGTCACCAATATTGCTTAAAAGAAAATATCACTCCACATTTTGATACAGGTCTCACGAGATTTCAAAATGTATGAAATCAAAACAAACCTCAACAGTTTGATAAAATGCTTTCACTAGACACTTTATATTACAGAGGAACAAAAAAAAAGCGATACTGGTAGGTACTAGAAGCATTGTACTGTTGATAAGATGTGAGTTAGACATTTAATTCGGTTGGCATGTATTGAAAATCAACCCAAGAATGCCACCTTTGGTTGGAGGCGGCAAATTTCCACTTTTCATAACGGCGCAATAAATTGATAACTATACTAAATCCTTCAAATATTACTTACAGGGAATAACAATAACAATTTTTTTTCTATTTAAAATTTCTGTCAATTTCATTACTGACCTTTATTATACCAACAAGTGTTGTTTTCATCATCAAAATTCCCTCAGTAAAAACGGATATAGCATGTGTGAGCTTGGCTACCTGGAAAAGATAAGAGATACTGAAATGATATACCATTAACAAAATGTAAAGATAAAAACTTGCAATACTGTCTAGATTTCACTTATTGTGAATGCTTCAACTCATGATAAAGCTGCATTTGAAATTATTTTCATGTGTTCAATTTTCAATCATCAATATATTCTCTTTCACATGTACATCAAACACAAGCTAAAAGATTTAGTAAAGATGTCAAAAAGTAAACAAGAGGCCCATGGGCCACAGCGCTCACCTGAGTAACTTTGGCCTTGCTGTTTTTCACCTGATTTCTCCCCCCCCCCCCCCCCCCCCCGTACTTATTGTGGTCCTGCCCTACCCCCAGGGGTCATGATTTGAACGATTTAGAATCTACACTACCCCAGGATGCTTCCACATAAGTTTCAGCTTTTCTGGCCCAGTGGTTCTTGAGAAGAAGATTTTTAAAGATTTTTCCTATATATTTCAATGTAAAACTTGGATTCCCTATTGTGGCCCCGCCCTATCTCCGGGGGTCATGATTGAAACAATTTAGAATCTACACTACCCCAGGATGCTTCCACATAAGTTTCAGTTTTTCTGGCCCAGTGTTGCCTGAGAAGAAGATTTTTAAAGATTTTTCCTATATATTTCAATGTAAAACTTGGATTTCCTATTGTGGCCCCGCCCTATCCCCGGGGGTCATGATTGAAACAATTTAGAATCTACACTACCCCAGGATGCTTCCACGTAAGTTTCAGCTTTTCTGGCCCAGTGCTTCTTGAGAAAAAGATTTTTAAAGATTTTTCCTATATATTTCAATATAAAATTGGATTTGCTATTGTGGCCCCGCCCTACCCCCGGGGGTCATGATTTAAATAATTTAGAATCTACACTACCCCAGGATGCTTCCACATAAGTTTCAGCTTTTCTGGCCCAGTGGTGCCTGAGAAGAAGATTTTTAAAGATTTTTACTACATATTTCAATGTAAAACTTGGATTTCCTATTGTGGCCCCGCCCTATCCCCGGGGGTCATGATTGAAACAATTTAGAATCTACACTACCCCAGGATGCTTCCACGTAAGTTTCAGCTTTTCTGGCCCAGTGCTTCTTGAGAAAAAGATTTTTAAAGATTTTTCCTATATATTTCAATATAAAATTGGATTTGCTATTGTGGCCCCGCCCTACCCCCGGGGGTCATGATTTGAAAGTTTTAGAATCTACACTACCCCAGGATGCTTCCACATAAGTTTCAGCTTTTCTGGCCCAGTGGTGCCTGAGAAGAAGATTTTTAAAGATTTTTACTACATATTTCAATGTAAAACTTGGATTTCCTATTGTGGCCCTGCCCTACCCCTGGGGGTCATGATTTGAACAATTTAGAATCTACACTACTCCAGGATGCTTCCACGTAAGTTTCAGCTTTTCTGGCCCAGTGGTTCTTGAGAAGAAGATTTTTTAATGACCCCACCCAATTTTTATATTTTCTTGATTATCTCTCCTTTGAAGGGGACTTGGCCCTTCATTTTAACAATTTACACTCCCCTTCACCCAAGGATGCTTTGTACCAAGTTTGGTTAAAATTGGCCCAGTGGTTCTTGAGAAGAAGGCGAAAAATGTGAAAAGTTTACAGACGGACGGACAGACGGACAGACGACGGACAACAGGTGATCAGAAAAGCTCACTTGAGCTTTCAGCTCAGGTGAGCTAAAAATGATTGTCATTAATGAAATGTAACTTTTAGATAACTGTTAACCAAATTTAATTCGTTTGCAAGAAATATCCGCAATTTTCGCTACCTTCTTTTACTCACGAATATTTCTCACTATTTATTTCATTGTGTATTTCTGTAGAAAAATTCCTTGGTCGTGAAAATTAGTCATCGTGGATAGATTTTGAACTGATAGATGGCAAATAAAAGTCATGAATAATAGTTGGTTTACAGTATACAGAGCTCCTAATTTTTCTCTGTTGACTTGACCTTTACTTGCCCTGATGACCTTTCACTAATGACCTTTAACTGATGACCTTTCACTGACCTCATATCTTTCATCCAGTTGAGCATACTCCTTCATTTTATCCTTCTCCAGTCTAGTGGGAACTTCTTTGATCTGTGTCGTCTGCAGGTTTATGATTTTAGCTAGAAGTCCAAACATGGTCTGGGGAATGATCTTTTAAAAAACACACAAAACGCAGTAATTTCACCTTGTCTATCCAATTAATCAAGCTTACAATTATTGGAATATAAATATACAAAATATTAACCTGTAACACTTTTCTGACATAAGCCACGAGTTCCCCTGAGTAGTACTGAGACACACTGAGTAGATCTGGACTGTTGGCTTGGTTAATTCTCAGAAGTGGTAGATCTAGAGCTGAAGCCATCTGATAAAAAACACAGAAATTATTAACATCAGTACAATGTCCTGTACATGAACTGGATACAAAATAAAGTTTAGATAAAGCATTCTTTAAGATCTATGTTGTATATAATTAAAATTGTATGTACTAGGAAAATTCTCATTCCCACTCTATGTTTAAACGTATTGATTATACCAGGAGTACTGTAAATCTTACCTTAAGAAATGTTGCTCTGAGTTTTATGACTAGAGAAGGATCCTTTTTGATGCCTTGCTGCATATACATTGTATAACTGTAATAAATATTATATAAATATTGCATGTAGTTGAGCGTTACATTGAAAATTTTCACCCCAAGAAAACCATTGTCAACCGAGGTGAAGCCGAGGTTGAAAATGGTTTTCGAGGGGTGAAAATTTTCAATGTTACACTGTTTTATACAAATGCATATAACAGTGAACCTTGTGCGCATAAATTTTGCGCAGTCACTATTTTTTTTAATATCATCCGTCGTCAAGCAATGTTGACTGTTGCTATGCTGGAGGGTGTGGCTTCATCATTCAGCGGGTAATAGTGTTTTTTAACAAATGTTTCTCAATGAATCAGATTCAACTAATTTACGTGAAAGTATAATATTATATAAATAGTGCACGTTTTTGAGGGTAACAGTTGAAATTGACACCCCAAGGAAAACCATTGTCAACCGACGCGTCAGCGGAGGTTGACAATGGTTTTCCTCGGGGTGTCAATTTCAACTGTTACCCTCAAAAACGTGCACTATTTATTTTATTATACTGAATGTCTTATTGATTTCGGATGTCATTAAAAAAAAATTCGGAGATCGTCGTTAATTTCACTCTTAGAAAGCTCACAAGCTCCCCGCTTCTATTTTTCTCAATAAGAAAGCTTTGGAAAAGATTTACCAACCTCTTTATTGTTTGTTTGCTACTCAAAAAGTCCTTTATCATCTAAAGTTTGCACTCGCTAGGATGTTTTGTCTGTCGTTTGTTGTTTTCAAGTAAGCTACATCGGACGCAAGCTTTTATTGATGTCGTTTATTCGACTTCTTTCAAACGCACAACTGACATTCTGAGAATTCTACAGTGAACCGTACGCGCATGATTTGAACGCATGTAACATTTTCGTAATGTTACCTGTTGCCAAGTGTGTTGCTAATGCTGAGGGTAACATTACGGATTGTTATATGCATCTAAACCAATCAGATTTTAGTATTTAACATGAAAGTATAATATTGTAAAATATAACACAGGTATTATAATCATTATGATCAAAAATAAATATTGTATAATATATCATCCATGCATTATAATCAAAGAGCTGTAAAAATCTGCCCTTGATATATACCTATCCATGATGTCCCAGGCGTAGGACAGATCTCCTACAATCTGAACCGTTATGAGGACCTCCTCTTTAATGTTGATGGTTCTAATCATCTGATGTAGATATTTTCTGGTGTCTGCTAGAAACTGCTTGACCTGCAGGTTACTCTCCAGTTGATGGAACTCCTGGACCTAAGTATCAGAGAACAAAAAGAGTTATTAAACACCTTTCTAACAGCAAAACAGAAAACAATATGATCAAGTTCCTGACTTCAATAAAAGTAGCTTTGTTGGGGCATTAAAGGAAGCATGCAAGAACAGTCAACAATCAAAAACTTTCACATATTTAAGGGGGATGTGACCTGGTGACCAGCCATTTTGAATAACTGACCTCCTCCAGAGCCTGAATCAGCTGGACAATCTTACGTCCTGCCGTTGTGGAATCATCATAATTAAGGGAGGAAATCTGCTTAGCCATTTCTGTGAACCATGCTTGTAAATTGTCTAAAATAAAGTTTGGTTTTTGGTAAAGATAAAAGTATTCTATAAATCACAAGGATTTCCTTATTTGCTTCCCTGAAATGTTTTAATTTTTTACTTTTACTATTTAAAGAACCTTAATTACAGAAAATGTGCAAAATCCTTTAATAACTGACCATTCTTTTCGACTCTGGTGAGTGGTTTAGTTCCGGAGAATACTTCACCAAGCTCAGCCATTCGTTCGCTGCCTTCTTTCTTATGGTCTTCCCACTTCTGCTGTTTGTCTACCAACATTTGCTTGAACATCTGAAACATTAACGTTTGATTAGACTTGTTTCACTAGACTACAGCTGTATTTGCAATGCCATTATTACATATATTTTTTAGGTTTGCACCTCACCTTCCATGGACTTGAACAACTGGACATATTTCTGTGGACAGTCAGTAACAAACCTAATGTGTGTTTTGTTTTTTCGAGGAGCAATAACAGTTAACAAACCTAACATTATCAATTACAATTAAACAATTTTTTCCTCTGTGCAAATTTTCTTCACTTGACAACTTGTTGTTAAATGATTATGTCACTGACAAGGGGCGCTACTCTAAATTTAATCGCAGCATTCCCAAATCATTAAGGACATAATAAATTTACTGGTTCCTTTTAAAAGCGAAAATAGCACTGGCATGATTTTTTCTTTAAATGTGGATGATGTAACATTTTATCTGCCATGTTGCTGTCCAAATTTTACTACTCGCCGTCCAGTGAAATACTGCAGGCAGGCACATGACATCTTTTACCTGTTGACACAGCATCACTCTAGTCCGAGGCCAAATAATTTAATTTTCATTTCTAGACAAACCACATATATGTTTATGAATGACAAACCTCCTTGAGTTTAAATTCAAACTGCCCAGTGTTGAGCAGAAGCTGGAACACAGCCAGAGGGTTGTACTTGGAATCCACCATGACTTGCTCTCTGAGAGCTTTACATCTCTTATTTTGCTCAGCACCTGTTACATAAATACTGAATTTTAATTTTTATTCTCAGCTGATTGTATTTTTTTTACTACTTCTTAAACCAATAAAGGAAATATAGCAGTAGAAAAGTTATTAATAGTTAGGTTTATAATTTGCACAAAATGGCAACATCCATTTTTCATCTGAGGTACCTATCAAAAGTTTATCTGTAGGAAAACAGGGTTTGGAAAATGGCAAAACTTTCTAAATTTGTTAAAAATTAGTGTTTTTGAATACATTCAACTGAGTTTCATATGTGTAAAATCCTTAAAGTAAAGCATTATTAATGTTTAATGAGCAATAGTAACAGATCTAAAATCTATGTATTAATTCAAATGTTACATGCTACAAAATACCGGGTAAAAGAACCAACATTTTCAAACAATGGGCAGCAGATTATACACAATTCTTTTTAATAAACAACTCACTTGGTGAGAGTCCTGAGCTATGTAACATCAGCCAGCGTAGAGCTACATTACTGTCCCTGAGAACATTCATCATCTTGGGAATGTTATCCAAAACAAATTCTTCTGTCAACACCCCTTCCTTGAGGTACTTGTCAAGGGGAGCCATCAACTTCTGCATTTTAGTGGCATATTTCACAGACTGTATAGAAAAATGCATGATATGTTTATCACAGTAAATCAGCTGGATCAATTGTACATGAATCATTTCAGCAGGCAAGGTCAGACCAGTCTCACTAGACAACAACATACTCACCTGTTCTCGGACATTGGAGACTTCTAACGTGTTGTTTAGGGCCGTGCAGGCTGCTCTGTATGGTGCCCAGGCATCGAGTAAATTAACAGTCATACCCATGTAAACACCTATCACCTAACAAAACAATTTTTATTGAAAATACCAACTAAGTTAAAGAAATCTGATTGATTCCATAAACTTAAGTGCATAGACCATGACATTTGGAGTATTTACCCAGTTATCTGGGAAGTGTTTATCAACAATTTCCCTCATTTTTGCCTGCTGGTTGTGAAGAATTTCGGGGTCAAAGTAGAGGATGACATAGAGCATGCTGGCCTGTGTGGCTAATGCTGTGGACCGATGCTCAGGGAGGGGGTAAGCTGAGATCTGATTGTAAATGTCATCTGAACGTAAACGACCAATCACCATGTTCACAAACTCAGGGTTTATGGGAACTCGGCTGAAAATTGATTAAAAATAATTTGACATCATATTTCAATTACTTTTCAGAGAAATATAGTAAAAGAAAAAAGTTAAGTGATTTTCAAATGGACTTAAGATATGTTTCTGCAAAAAGTCATTAAAGAAAATATATGGATACATGCCAAGTTTTGTTGGTTTCCTGCCAAATTTCTAATATTTCATAGTAAAATTTTACGGTTATAACAAACTCTGAAATAACTAATTTATTGATATAATTAACTGATTTTGTGTCACATAGAGGTTAAAAATAATGAAATTTACATCTTTATTATGGATTTTTAAGATCTCAAAATTTAAAAATATTGAATTGACATTAATTTTCATAAGTATTTATATTTGAAATTCAAATCATCAGAAAACTTAAGTACCTCGAGCTAAGTTTTGTATCTAATGCTTCCCTGAACATACACTATAGTCATGCTTGGAGGAAAGCATGTTAATTGCAAATTCACAAATACACTTTTACAAATTTCTTACATGGATATAAAGGATAATAATACAAAGTAAATTCACATGTCCTTAGGACTTCCCCATGACCAAGTTTTACTGTACTTAGGATATTACAAATTTTTTAATCTTTTCATTTTTAAAAAAAATAATAAAATTATCAGATATTGTATTTTCATGTGATTAGTTTTATGATGAATTGTTACTTGAAATAGGATTCTGGGTAATTTGGTGGCCTCCTGGCGGTGGCAGTGTTCTGGAATCCTGTACTACATAACAGCTTACAGACATCGTCTATGTTAGAGTCACCTGCTGCTGCCTTCTGAGCACTGTGTAAAAGACAACGATTACTCAGCATATGTCCACTCAATACCCTGGAGTGATTGTGCTAAATTTTGAATACATCAATTTATGTACAAGTACAATATACTGAATTTAACTTGTACAATACGCAAATATATGAAAAATGTTATGAATGGTGGCATTTATTGACTAAAATGAGCAGTTCGAGGTATCCATTTTTGGTTCCTGCATTTATAATTTCATGCTAGATTTAACCACTTTTGGACAGATGACATTATCACACAAAACATTGTTGATATATTTTTACATATGTGAATTAACCTTAACATAATAAATATGCCTGAGGAGTTTGCAGCGATTCCTTTCAGTGATATGAAGTGAATATCAATAAAAACTGTAATTAATCTAGAACAGTGGGGAGTCTGAATTCAGAAGATCTTTATTTATTATATTATATAAAACATTGTTGATATATTTATGTATGCATGAAAGTATTTCAATGTATACTATAGAATATGCACCTGGTAAGTATAAAGCAAATATGTTCAGCTGTATGAAGAAAATCAATAGAAAACTGTAATCTGAGACAGTCAGGAATGGGAGTACTAGATTTACCCCCTGCCTAAAAATTCCCATACAATACATGCAAGAGGTTACCATATTTTCAGTGTTTTGATTTCCTCAAACAATTAAATAACTAAGTTTGTTATGACACTGACAGAAAAATTTACCTATATCTGTAGTAAAAAATTAGGATCCCCTCCAACCCTTACTTTGCTATAACTCTGCTACAACACTAATAGGAAATCCTACCTATATCTGTAGTCAGAAACTAGGATCCGCTCCCTTACTTTGTTATAACACTGCTATAACACTAATAGGAAATCCTACCTATATCTGTAGTAAGAAACTAGGATCCACTCCCTTACTTTGCTATAACACTGCTATAACACTAATAGGAAATCCTACCTATATCTGTAGTAAGAAACTAGGATCCGCTCCCTTACTTTGTTATAACACTGCTATAACACTAATAGGAAATCCTACCTATATCTGTAGTAAGAAACTAGGATCCACTCCCTTACTTTGCTATAACACTGCTATAACACTAATAGGAAATCCTACCTATATCTGTAGTAAGAAACTAGGATCCACTCCCTTACTTTGCTATAACACTGCTATAACACTAATAGGAAATCCTACCTATATCTGTAGTAAGAAACTAGGATCCGCTCCCTTACTTTGCTATAACACTGCTATAACACTAATAGGAAATCCTACCTATATCTGTAGTAAGAAACTAGGATCCGCTCCCTTACTTTGCTATAACACTGCTATAACACTAATAGGAAATCCTACCTATATCTGTAGTAAGAAACTAGGATCCGCTCCCTTACTTTGCTATAACACTGCTATAACACTAATAGGAAATCTTACCTATATCTGTAGTAAGAAACTAGGATCCGCTCCCTTACTGTTCCCTCAATCTTGTTATCTATGATGATCAGCATTACGCCATAAAGAAAGAGGGATTCGCACTAATAAGAAATATAACCATGAATATTAACAGTGGTAATGGCTTCAAACAAAATCAGAAAATCAGAAAATTGTTTGTCCAAGTTGGAACTCAAATAATGATGAACAACTACAAAAATAATTTTTTGAATTCAATAAAAAGAAATCGAGAATATATCAAGTCTTAATCTTTTACACTAACTCATGCTTCAGTATATCAAAATATAAGGAAAAAAGATATCTTTAAAAAAAAAAGTTTATCAGAGGTAAAATATTTCAATAAAGTTTCATCTTCTTAAGAATCTCTCACAACAACATATTCTTGTTCATCATACATCATGCCATAAATTCTCACCATTAATTGTTTTCCATCATCATTTAAAAGAACACTTTCTAATGTCTGCTGAATGTAAACTCCTTCATCCAAATCTTCCAAAAATCTAGCAGGATATGAAATCAATTAAACAAAATGTAATTTACCTAAAATCTGAAATTCTAACAGTGAAAGAAATTCTTATCAAAGAAAACAAAATGAAATGAGCTGTTATAGCAGACCAGGGCTTGTTACCTGTTTAAATCCACAACATATTTATGAACACTGGCAAATGCTTGGTAAAATCTGGTCAATATATCAATATGATTCTCGCGAAATTCTTCATCTAAATCTTGGAGTTCCTACAATGAGAGACAATCTTCAGCATGCAGAGAGAATGATCAATTCTCTTTATATAAAAATATTTACAACCATCTTTAAAGAGATTTATTTCAACAAATATGCTTTATGATTGCTACCTTTCTTGAAAAAAAAAAAGGATCCTTATTGAAATTTGTGTACAGATAACAGTAAATATTTTTAACTAGTTCTTAAATTGTTTTTAAAGAATACTTTGTCTGGATGAAATTCATTTATGGATAAAGCAAACAGACTCACAGGCTTGCTGTCTATCTTGTTGTCGTAATACTCTTGGCTTTTAAAATATGCAAAATCAAATATGATATCTCCATATCTTAGTCTGTCTTGCTGTGTTTCTAATTTAAACACTGGGGGTATAAACTCCGCTAAACGGCGCAGCTCGGCAATAATTGCGTTTCCTCTTGAAGCTAACCGCAATATATTTTGTCCACAGGGATTGTTTTCTGCCAGATAGTCTGCCATCGCTTCACCCTAGTTGAAGAAATTCTACTTTCACTTTCACCAGGGGGCGTATTCGTAACTCTTTCTTAGATTAATCATCTAATGAAAAAGAAATAAGTAGATCAAATATTCATCCTACAAACTTTATATTTTTTGGTTCTCTATAATCAGTACACATTAGATGAATTTGTAAAGCACTGTCATAACTCATGTGACAATTTCATGATCATCGTCTACGCCACCTAACGACAGAAAAGACTTCCGGTTGAATCAAAAATGAAAATCAGTTAACTCGGTCAAAAATAACGTTTGAGCAGTAGAATAAATTGTACCTGTCTTATTCGATCATAATTTTTCTAGCTGAGATTTTTCAATGAATTTTTGAAATTTTTTTTTTTTTTTTAACAAACCATAATTTTTATTCATTTTTTTCCATTTATATTTATTTGATTGAGGTTCATGCCAAGTTTGGAAATTTTCCATCAAAATGAAAAGGATCAGTGCACTTAAGCTATGAGAGTTGGATCCCGGTGCTTTGTCAATAATAAATTTCCGAAATTTATAAACTTTTTGAATCAGAATTATTAAACAATATCTTAAGAGCAGGGTTTGATATATTATATCACATAAAAATATTAATTAATGCCGAGCGACACTGGTTTTTGCGACAGGGGTCTAGCAGTTTTTTCACATTTCTATTGTTATTCATATGCATACCAGTTTTCAACAACATTGTTTACATCGAGCCGCAACTTGTCCATTCTTCTCATTTGCACAGAATGTGTATTTTGATTTAAACTTATACATATCCAAAGGGCAATGTTGGACAATTTGCGGCTCATGTGTAATTTTTTTAAAAATTCTCCAAACTACGCTCGGGTTAGCTACTAAATTAACAGGTCACCGAGTGTCAACCTATTTTGACCTGTTTGATATTATAATCACTTTACTCACGTGACATTCCACTGTTCGATATGCTTTCATTGTGTCTATCAATGGACTTCAGGGCTGTACACACGGATATGTATTTAAGTACAAATTCTGACTATGTATAGACTTTTAATACGGTGAATCCTAAGATTTTTCGAATCTTATAAAACTGTATTAAGAATAGGGCAATGCTCTATTTCTTAATACAAGTCTTAACTTACCTTTCATTTTTAAACCAATCAAAAGTACTCACATTGTGGTCATCCTATTTTATCATAACAAAAAAAAGCACGTGGTAAATAATGGTCGACTTTAGCATGCAGTAAAGATATCGAAAAACTCGTTGTTTTATGGGAAGAAGATCAAAAGGAGTAACTACATGTGATTGTAAAAGTTGCTCAAATGCAGCGTTATCTATTCTAAAGAAGTTTTTATAACTACTGGGGTCTTCTCTTTGCACCTCATCTAGCGATGAATTGTGTGCACCAAGTACATATACGAGTGTTCCGCCGCTGTTTCCATTACGATGTGTTTTTTTTTTTTCAGTTTTAATGCAATGCATAATACGATAAAAGAAACTACTAACAGAACCTCGTTTTCCATTATTGAGAGAGAGAGAGAGAGAGAGAGAGAGAGAGAGAGAGAGAAAGAGAGAGAGAGAGAGAAATATTGCGAGGGATACACGTAGAAATCCCTAGAGTCTATTAACAATCTAATAAAACGTACAAACGTGTGTACAGGAAAGTATTATTATACAAATATAATACTTGTATTATACAGTAACTACAAATCTCACCGTTTGTACCGGCCTGAGCAACTTCAAAATAATGAAGAATTTTGCGAAAATTTTATTAGGGTCTTGTTTTGTTTTGAACATATTTTATTGAGTACATCAAAAGGATTGGAAACAAGTTCTTTACAACTTACAAAGTTCCTCTCCTTATATATAACAATTTGTCATGCAAAATAGAAGAAAATAATACAATTAATACAAGTGAAAAAGCAATTAAATAGCATATCAACTAGAAAATCTACATGTTTCGTCAATAAATTTATGAACAGCAGCAAAAATACTGTTATTTATCTGTAAAGGCAAATTAACATCACCACATAATAATAGATTTATATCAATAGTAACCAATTCAAGAGTGAACAAGCGATTAAAAAGAGTACCATGGTTTGTCACGAGGGCGAATGGTTAAAGTTTGTTCTGGTATGCATTCACGAACACAGGAAAGGAATTCTACTGTAAAATTTTCAGCTGCAAGGTCTATATAGTTTTAGCTTCGTTGATGTTTTTGATCCAATCACAATTTTCGATAAGAGAGTTTAATTTTTTGAAATCTGCATTTTTATAAGCCCACACTTTACGCTTGTACGAACGATTATAATTTATACTGGAAGAAAGCGAGATATAAGTTACTCTATGGTCACTAACGGAAGCGTCAATTGTTAGAGTGCCCGATTTGCATACTTGAATGTCAACAGATGTTAGATTTAGGTCAAGGAGCGTGCTGGACGTGTGTGAGATTCTAGTCGGTTCATGGATATTATTAATAAGATTATGTGTTGAAATAATTTCACGAATTATGTGTGTTTGTGGAGCACTAAGAAGATCAACATTCAAGTCACCTACTATTAATATTTTATCCGAAAGTTCGCCTACTTTGTCAATGCACCATGTGAGTTTTGTCCAAAAACTACTATCCGAGTTTGGAGGACGGTATATGCAACATAAAAAGTATTTACAGGTATTGTTATCTATTTCAATACATATACACTCAATGTCAGGGGGTTCAAATTCGTGGCGTCTAAAAGCACGTATTTGATTAGACAAATAAATCATAACGCCGCCCCCGAAACAGTTTCTGTCTTTTCGCAATATTGTGCTAAAGCCGTCCAAATGCAAGTCCTCGTTAACAACTGTTTGGTCCAAATGAGTTTCGGTAAAACATAATATATCAAAGTCATGAACGAAAGAATTTAAATAGCCTAGTTTGTGTCTAATGCTACGGATATTAAGATGTAGAATGTCAAGGACACTTTCCATAAAAGGACCCGGATTGACCTCAATATCCCCGCATACCAACAAAATAAAAGTAAAAAATTGTAAATAAAAATTAATAAACACAGATTTTTGATTAATGACTGACATGCCGCAAACGAGTTGTTTGAGCATATTTCTGAATAAATGAAATATGTACACACCTGGAAAAACCAAATATGAATATGTTTTATATGTGCCTCTACTTGATAAATAAAATAGACCGATTGCAGCTCGGTATTGCTCGACTGAATTACCCATTATCAATCTTGTGATACATGTAGTTTATAAGTAAATGGCTGCAATCTGTTGCTGCTATAAAAATTTTGACTAATTCAGAAATGCCAATTACTGGGTTCTCAAATACACTTGCATGACTTAGGGTCTTAAAGTTTACCTTGTCTTCTTTCACTAAATTGTGTTTTTCGTTTGGTATTTTGAGGGAAATTCTGGTACTGCCAGTGCAAATCAAGTGCACGATTAGTATGTAGCTGTGTTAGCTTATGTCGGCTCTGTATTATGGTCTGCAGGCATCTACATCCCTAAACACTAGTATCATACCTGACAATATTTGGATTGCCGAAATGAAAGAGATACTGAAGACATAAGCGAGTGATTATCGATATATTTTCGTTGACCATGTTTTTTAATCTGAAATATACTTGTTCCGTCAATAAAATGTTAATTTAAATTACAGATAGTTTGTATTTCTTGGAGTTTTCATGTTAACCTAGCGACTCAAATTTAAGTTAAAATTTTATATTTCATTTCCGAATGTTATTTATCTATACATGAATATAATAAAATATGTATCACCGTGAGTACTACATACATGTATAATTTGATTCACTACACGTTTGTATTACTCTACGTATTACATGTACAGTGAATTACGATTAAATGTAGTGTGACTTCGAAGTCATGTACATGTGAATCTTTCTTAAAACATACATTCATTCGTTGAATTGAAAAGCATTCAGCATATAAAACGAAAAATGATAAAGCTAAAGAAAAAAGAGGGGGCGTTTTTTATCATATACGAAAACTTAAGATTGATCTAATTCGGTGCTAGGCATCAAACATATGGTTACGAATCATGAAAATGATCAATATGTATGGCCATGAATCATTTATTATTTGTGTGAATCATGAAACTACACAATCTTTCTCTCCTCCATTTAAATTCATACTGTAGAATCAATCTGGAAATAATGTGCAAATGTTTACATTCCACTTCCATGCGATTTAAATATCTCCGCCCATTTGCGGGTACCTTTAATTCGAAAGTGGTCCAGTTCAGATTTCCGGAATTTAAGGCTTATACATGTTCTTTTCAATGACGTTGTGTGGAATTATAGCAATATGTTTAACAAAAAATTCGAAGTATAAATATCAAAAGCATATGTATGCACAATAATCATAGATTAATTTAGCAATATAGTCTAATTTAAGGCTTAAAAAGGGTGACCGAAAAGGCTCCAAATGACACTCTAAAGTGCACTCATTCTTTCAGTGAAAGAAAATTGTACAATTTAAAAAAATATGTTGTTGAAAAAAGGCACATGGGCCACATCACTCACATGAGTCCCCTTGGCCCTCCTGTTCTTCATCACAAGATAAAAATAAATTCCATCTTTATATATATTCACATAAAAAATTCTTACCCCCTATAGTTGCCCCACCCTAGTTCCAAAGGTTCAAGATATCACCCCATGTTAAACTTTGATCCCCTACTGTGACCAAAAACCACCCCCAGGGGCCATATCATGATCTGAACAAACTTGAATCTGCACTACTTGAGGATGCTTGCTATTAATATCAATATAATCACGTACAGTCCTACTGTTCTCAAAAAAAAAATAATAATAATAAAAATTCAAAAATATTTTCCTATGTATTTCCATGTTAAACTTTGTCAATTGATCCCCCTATATACAATGTAGCCCCATTCTTCCCCTGGGGGCAATGATTTGAACAAACTTGAATCTACACTATGTAGGGATGCTAGTCCATATGAAACTAATAATAACAACTTTGTTGTTCCCATTCTAAACTTTGATCCACTATGTATTGTGGCCCACACTACTCCCAGGGGTATGAAACTAGTGTATCTGCACTACCTGAGAATGACTGCATCTTAATATTACAAATAAGGGCCTTCCTTCCCAAAGATGAAAATTTTTAAAACATTTTCCCCATATATTTTGGTGTTAAAACTTTATTCCCCTTTTGTGCCCCCACCATTACTCATCCTGGGGCCTTAATTTCAAAAAACTTAAATTTACACTATGTCAGGAAGCTTCAGTATTTAAGTTTCATCTTTTCTGGCCCAGTGGTTCTTGAGAAGTTTTCAATGAACCCACCAAATTTTCACTATTTCTTTAAAATTATCTGTCTTTGAAAGAGGGCATGGCCTTCCCTTCATTCTCCTTAACCCGAGTATGCTTTGTAGCAAGTTTGGTTGAAATCAGTGCACTGATTATCAAGAAGATGAAATTGTGAAAAGTTTACAACGACAACAGGGCCAATGACAAGGACGACAGACAACGGACAAGCTCACTTGAGCCTTTGACTCAGGTGAGCTTAAAAACAAAATAAATAACAAACACTAGGAATCAAAGAAAACTAACATTTTATTTAGTGAATTTATTGCACAAATTCAAATTGGGATTGAGCTGATATAAACTATTTAAAATAATCGCAAAAATATAGCACCTTAGTTAAAAAATTTAGTAATTCACGTATATACAGTACACAACATAAATTTTATCACAGTTCATCAAAATAATTTGAATAATTTTCTTACAAAACCATACATTTGTTCATGTTCATGTATGCAAAAGATGGAAACATGTTTTAAAGCTTAGAGGATTGTATAGTACAAAACACCCCACATATATTCATGTACAGTGTAGATAATTAAGGAATTCAAATGCATTTGAAAGATTGGCAGAATTGAAGATATCATACTCTATAAATATGTACTGTTGAATCATTTTAATTTATGGGGGTCAATGTTTCCTGGTCATTGATGTTATTTTCTAGTAAATAACGTATCCCAAAGATTCAATGAACCGATACATTGACAAAATTAATGTTTGTGGGGAGATAAATTCATGGAATCCACGAAAAATGGTCCCCCAATGAAATATGATGATTCCACAGTATTTGTTTTCTTTTTCATTCACAACTTAAATCTACATGTCTTGAAAATAAAACAACTTATCCATTGTTCTGATACTTGGAGAGATGACTGTGACAGTAGCTTGTAAATGTACAAAAATTAATGATGCTTAAAACAAATCAAGTATTTAAAACAATTTGAGAAACAAAATGCACATTTCATAAATGCTCATACAAATGAAATGAAATTTCATTAACAAAAATCAGGCACTTAAGTTCTTACAAAAGTTATTGATACTAATTCTGATCTGGTTATGTATGTAAAAAAAACACAAAATCTGAAAATAATTTCATAATGATTGTAATTTTTTGTGCTGATTGCACCTATCATTAATTACACAGTCCAGACTGCATTCACTCATTCCTGTTGGAATAACCCTTCCTTAAACATTCGCTGCCATTCAGCCCCCTCTGGGTAGACAAAGTCAGCCAGGGATTGGTCCTTGATTCCCACCACATATCCTGGTGTCTAAACAAACAGATATTATGGACATTATCTAAACTTTACAATAAAATGCTTTTTTTTGTTTTTTAATGCAGCAATGAACAGTTGCAGCCATTGCAGATAAATACATAACACATATAAACCTTGAAAAACAGGCTCTTACTAGTTATTAAGGTATTCAATGTATAACGACCATATTTTGTACCAAATAAAAGAAAGGTCCGAAATGATTAATCATGGTAACATTTTGAAGATGTTATGAAATAAACATACCCCACCAAAGGAATTCACAAAAATTTAATTACTGTCCAATTAATTGCACCTTAAATTTTACATTGATGTTTATGGGCAGCGCATGTTTTATTAAGATATTGTAAAAAGTAATGTGAATTTCATACAAATCTCTTGGTGAAAATACCGGTATGCATAGACTCTTTTTTTATTCAAATATGAAATAAAATGAATCATTTACCACAGATATTTTGACAAAATTATAATTTTCTTCTTTTCATCAAGGGCAAATAACTCTTCAAAAACTTTTCAGGTGCAAAATGATCATCATCTATTTTGTTATCAGTCATGTGAATTTGGCTCATTTCACTTTCATCGTTATCTAGCAATGTATTTTTAACTAGTTTAAAATGATTCAAAATCCCTTCTTTATACATTGAATACCTTAAGTGTTAATGGATGGATTAAGGGAAGTGGGTTTCATAAGAAATAAAGGAAAATTATTCAGTGGATGAAAATAAATCACTTTTAGGATTTAAAAAAATCTTCATTACAAATAAAATATCATATGAAAATAATAATGAGTAGCTGAGGATATATTTGTCCTGAGAGTTTACCTTAGGTGCCATGTATCTTCCTTCTTTTATAACGACTGGTGCCAACATGTGCTCGTGGAGGTGATCAGCAAACTCTATCATTCTAAAGGGAGGTAACACAATATCTCATTATACTCATACAGTGTGTAGGGCAAGTTTGATGAACTTAATGACGGACATAGTTTATGAGAATGATTTACAGTAACCAATTTACAGTTACCAATATCAGGTTTTCTTGTTGAAGTAAACTTTTAAGTTGACAACATGAAAATTTTCATTGAAAGATGACAAACCTATTTTCCATTGTCCCTGAAACAGAGATGAAGTCAAACATGGAGAGATGTTGAACAAGTTCACACAATGCCACGCCCCCTGCATGTGGACAAACAGGCACTGAAAGGAGGAAAGTGGGAGGATTAGAAAGAATTATCAATTCACATCCCCCCAAAAAATGTTGTCAAAATTATGATTTAAGAACTGAGCTTTAATTTATGATGACAAACCACTGTATTTGGCAGCCAGTAAAATTACAGCGAGAACTTCATTGACTCCGCCCAATCGACAGGCATCAATCTGACAATACTGCATGGCCTTGGCTTTCAGAAACTGTTTAAACATAACTCTGTTTTGACACATCTCCCCAGTGGCAACCCCGATACCCAAAGGCACTAGAGCCTGAAAGTAAGATTTATATTTAGTTATATCATGATAGTCATATTTTGAAAATCTCTTGAAATGTGCTCAATTGTATATGCTGTACATGTATTGTTTAAAAAAAAAATCAAAACTTAAAATTACAAAATACATATGAATATTATGAATTGGAAAAAAAGCAATTGACATATATTTTTGTTTCTGTAATGTCACAAACTATTAGGATTTTCCCTGATTTTTTTAAAAAGAGGACAAAATGCACAAAGTTTGTTTAATTTTGACTTGCTCGGGTACTATATTCACATCTTTCACTGAGATTATTTTTTTTTTTTTACATATTATATCAAAAGATTTAGTCTGAGCAGATCTGAGCTTGATAACTTTCAATCAAAATCCACTATTTTAATTCTTTCAAAATCATTAAAAGTTTGAATTTGTCATTTTCTTGATGTCCTACCTAACTTATGACATCACGGTTGATGAAAATATTTAATATTTTAAAATCTATAAATATCCCCACTGGTTTAGAACATAATTAAATATTTCTCCATCAAAGCTTGATTTTGGGGACAGATATTGTATTGGCTATTACAGAATATATAGTTGCTTCTTTTCTACTGTGAAATAACTAGCTTATGATGATGACAAGGATAAAGATTTATCACTTTCTGATGTTAAATGAACCAAAAATAATACATATATTTCAGCCATTTATAGACAAATAAGTGACCTCTGACCTCTGCGATGGCAGCATGACCCATGACATCATCAGGATTGGTAGGCTCCTCTATCCAGAGAATCTTGTAGTCAGCCATCTGCTTCATCCAATCAATGGCTTCCTGTACCTCCCATTTCTGGTTAGCGTCTACCATCTGTCTCAAACAGTCAAATTATATCTATAGACAAGTTTGTTATTACTGGAAAATATCCAATATATCTAACACATGGTAATCAAAGGTTAAGAAGCTCATCTCTACAAATGTTACCTATAAATAAAGCAAACTCTCATGAAAAAATAAATGCAGTGGTAGTTTGATAGTCTGCTAGAAGTGTCAGTCAAGCAAGTTTGGTCACCATAGGGCTTATAGTTACTTGGGAATGAACCTGCTCCCAAAAAGCTTGAAGCTGTACACTCATCCAGAAAATGTAGGTCAGATCCAATAACCAAAGCAAGTCTGGTGGTGTGCATCACTATAGCTACACTGTATATGCATCATTAATGCAAGTTTGGTCATGGTAGTATTATAATTGCATGAGAATGGACCTGCTCCAAAAAAACTCCCACAAAACATTGAAGCCTAGTCAATCAGTCATCCAGAAAATGTAGGTCAGATCCAACAACCAAAGCAAGTTTGGCAGTGTGCATCCCCAGATGCATCATCCATCTGAGTTTGGTTCAGGTATGGCTTATACTGCCTTATACATGTAGCTACTTGGGAATGAACCTGCTCCAAAACTTTAACCTGGCCACTCCTCCACAAAATGTAGGTCAGATCCAGCATCCAAAGCAAATCTGGTAGTTTGCATCCCTAAATGCATTGTCCATGCAATTTTTAGATATTCTTATGTACTTCCAACTCTGAATGAATTGTAAAGCACTATAAAACCCCATTTTCACACCTCATAAAAAATCTCCTCTAGTCATTGTACAATGTACTTGCCAGAAGCATGTCCTCTTTGATTGTCTCCCTGAAGATTTTGGCACGTCTGACATCATCTTTAACATCTCCTCCTACTTTCATTTTAAATCTGGACAGAGAAATAAATCAATACCATTACAATCTATTTAACTGCCTAAATTCACTGATTCAAGGAGAATAAAGGAGTAGATAAACAATTCTGCAATAATCACATTAGAATGAAATAACAGGCATGCAGAGCAACATTAAAACAACAAAGATACATATATTTCATTGTATAAGCTACCAAACTTAATCCATAATAAAAACTAATTGTATACCTTGTCCATCCTGCTGCCATGGCCTCTGTTGCAAGCTATATATAAAAACCAAACAATAGAATTTCTTAATTTTAAAATGCATTGCCATATTAAATTGTCACTTCTAAAATTTTTTTTTTTTCTCATCTTGACTAAACTTATTAAAACACTTCCTAACACATTGATACCTATATTGTATATATACCTTTTTAATTTTCTCGTCCGAGTACCCCAGCCATCCACAGGAAGTGGTGTAGGCGGGGAAACCTTTGGTCAGGAGCTCCTCCTCTACAACAAAGATTATCTTCAATATGATTGGTACCGAGTTCTGTAAAATATATTGCAAAGGAGAACCATTTTCTTGCATGAAATGCGAATAATCTCAAATCATTATGCAATCTGTATATTATGCTAGGAAGTTAGGAACAATGTCTACCTGATCTTCTGCATTGCATCAATAGAATATGAAGTATCTGTGAAATCACAAAATTTCATGGGGGTTAAATTTTCTATGCTTTCATGGTATGAATAGACCAATGAATACTACAGAATTTCAAATTACAGTATCATGTTTTTCTCTTCAACCATGAAATCAAACCCCTCATGAACCAATATTTTTCCTCAAACCATGAAAATTTTATCCCATGAAAATAACTTATTTTACAGTGTAGAGCAGATCAACAGAGAATCAAAATACAGTAAAATTCATTTTATCATGATGTTTATACAAAGTCCTGGGGACCTGTGAATTCATTTTACAGTATCCATAATTCATTATACCCTTATAACAATTTTTTTTTAAGTTTATATGGCAAATTTTAATACACACTTTACTTCAAGTATGACTACCAAATATTTTTGGGGAATTATTAAATACAAAACTTACATAATTTTGATTCGTTATATCAGGGTTAAATAACCCCCAAAATTTTACAAGAAATTGTAAAGAATTTTGCCAGTGATCCAAAAAAAAATTTCACTATATTCATAAATTCACTATGTCTGTGTTCAGTCTGATTAAAATCATACCTTCCACTAGCTCCTTTATTTTGATGGTCGCATGGAAGGACCTTCCACGTAACCATCAAAATAAAGTCTGGAGCTAGTGGAAGGTTTGATTTTAATCAGACTCATCTGTGTTAGTACTAAATGAGTTTTACTATAATATTTAGTACAATTCATAAAGAATTTTTATTTACAGTGTACACCAATAATCAGATTACTGGGTGTGCACAATATTGAATTTCTTGTGATTTCTTTTTTTAAGAAATCTACTATGTTCAGTACATCTACTTAATAATAAATACAATATAAAATTGCACTGATACCTCTTGCTTTCTTTCCATCTTGCATTTTTTTCAAAATCTCTGAAGAAAAAAATAAAACATCTGATTTATAAGAATTAAACTTTCAATGAGATACAATAAAAAAATTCTTGATACAATTACTTTCCTCATTTTCTTTCAGTTGACAATAATGCTTCAGTCCTTGTTTGGAGATAACAGTAAAAAGGGATCTTAATTTGGATCAAAGAAAGTTGTCAAGGGAAAGTTTTGAGGTCGAAACACAAAAATTTACACATGCAAGGAATACCTGATACTGCTTTGATATATGGGTAGAGACAATGAATTATATTTGTTAAGTAAAGGACAATTGAAATGGTGCATTACCTATAGCCTCCTCTTTAGTCAGAGAATCAGACCTACAAAGTTTGGTATATATCAGACGATTTCATGGCAGACACCTACTTTACTCTTACCGATGAAATTCTTAATACTGTATACAGGGAAATTTTTGCCCCCATTTTATTTTCGCCCCTTTCGCCCTACTCACAGGTGGGCGAATTTAAAACGGGGCAAATTCAAAGAACACAGTATAATTTCTTAGACAGAACTGTGATTGGGCAAATTTAAAATGGAGCAAAATTGCTTGCAAGTGTGATAGGGCAAAAATAACCCTGTACAGTAGCCATGTTATGATATTAAGTCTATTAACTTACATATATCTGAAATCAATGGTAGACACAAGCTTTTCTGGCTCCTAAAAGTTAAGAAATAAAATAAGTATAAAAAGTATGATCACTAAAATACAGTTAAAATGACATGTATTTTGAGTTTCCTTTCTATACATAACTGCTTTAAGTATTTGACTGATGAGCTATGAATACATTTGTCAGTGGATTATTCTATGCTCGATTCTATTCTGAGAGAGTCTTACCATATCTACCAGCAATTTCCAAAGAGGCTGAAAAATATATAAATAAATAAATAATAAAAATTAATATATAAATACATCCTATCAGTATGAAAAGTGATGGAGTCTAATGCATAAAATTGACATCAACTTTTACCCCTACTGATTATTTAATCATTAGAAGTAGGAATAATGTGATACATTTATTATGTACTACAGACAATCTTTGTTACTATGAATTTTTGAGCATTTAATACAGATATAGAACCTTGTTTTCCATTTTGGCCCACAAATCCCACAAGGCATTTACAATGGCTGCTGTTGCAAGGTGAATCACTCCTTTCTCCGGACCAAGCTGGAAATAAATTCAATGCTTTCAGACTATATACCCAGGAATAGAGTAGAAATGTTTGGATAATAACTTATCATTTTAAATCAATTTTAACATTTTCATAAAAATATTGTTGATACACGTTTTTCTCCATATTATATTACAGAGACATATCCATCTGATTTAATCATCACTGAAAATTTACAGTGACTTGCCTATCTGATCTGGTCCTCAATGAGATATAGAAACCTACCCATCTGATTTAGTCCTAACTGAGAAATAACAGGGACTTACCCATCTGATTTAGTCCTCACTGAGATATTACAGTGACTTGCCCAAGTAATTTGGTCCCCATTGAGAAATAACATTGACTTACCCATGTGCTTTGGTCCTCATTGAGATATTATAGTAACTTACCCATGTGATTTGGTCCTCATTGAGAAATTACAGGGACTTACTCATGTGAATTGGTCCTCACTGAGAAATTACAGGGACTTATTCATCTGATTTAGTCCTCAATGAGAAATTACAGGGACTTACCCGAGTGATTTGGTCCTCATTGAGAAATTACAGTGACTTACCCAAGTGATTTGGTCCTCATTGAGAAATTACAGGGACTTACCCAAGTGATTTGGTCCTCACTGAGAAATTACAGGGACTTATTCATCTGATTCAGTCCTCATAGAGAAATAACAGTAACTTACCCATCTGACTTGGTCCTCACTGAAATATTACACACATTTACCTATCTGCTCTGGTCCTCACTAAGAAATAACACAGACTAACCAATCTGATTTATTCCTCATGGAGAAATTATATAGACTCGCCCCTCTGGTTTGGTTCTCGCAGAAAAATTACACAGACTTACCCATCTGATTTGGTCCTCACTGACCAAAGACTGCCAGAAATTTCCAAAGTCATCAAAGATCTCTGTGAGTTTTTTACCCACTAGCATCTTTTCAAAAACTTCCACTGCACAACAAACTGAAACCGTACATATTGACAAGCTAGAAAAATGGAAATTAATAAAACCTCACTTCTTTTGTGAAGAAATGCAGACAACCTTTGATTTTTTTTTAAAATTACTAATCAAATTGTGTGTGATATATCTATGAAATATGGATATTAAACAAAAATAGACTTTCTTTTATCAGAAAGTGAAATGATTACAAATACATGTACCTAAAGGCATTCTTCTAAAGTAAAGGAAGGTACAATTACACTTAAGTATTTCAAACACTGATAAATCATATACTTAGCGATATTTTGAATCTGATGTTCATTGTATACAAGTTAATGTTTTCAAATTTATCAAAATATCAAGAACCAGCTCTGATATACATGTATAAAACCCTCAGATCTCAGTCTGTTGACAGTACTGAGAGCTATCAGTCTGATTGTATATTGTGCTGCATTGAGGTGCATAAAGGTTTGTCATGGTTTATTGAAGGATTCTTACTAAAATCTAAATACATGTATTTCAATGGACATTTAATTAATTATAACCATTTTCATTTAATCATATGAAACTCTTTACAAATCTCTAGTTATTGTCCAAATTCTCACCATCAGTTAGGCCTACCTATGTGGTTCCCTCGTCCTACAGTAAATGTGGTGCCATTACCCTGTAGATCAGTGTCTGTCTGTATGGTGACATATGGACAGGAATAATCAGGGGCTTTGTGCTAAAAGCAAAAAGCAGATCAACAAATCAGTGGATGGTGTGATGCTATGCAGACATTTTGGACTGAGTTACATTACAGGTTATGGTGACATGGTCAGAGTAAACTGAGTTTTACCAATGTTTGTCCCTCTTCCATTAGCAAATGTTGTTCCATAAGCTGTGACATCTGAGTCAGTTCTCAGTGTCACATATGCTGCAGAATAATCCGGAGACTTATGCTACAAAGCAATATGCTGTAATTGACTTGTGAAGTCTATATATATTTCTAGTAGAATCCGTCATCCTGATTTGAGTTTTCTACTTTACATTACATGTGTACCAGTATATCTATTTCCTCCCACTAAGCATTCAAGCCCCAACCAAAATCCCTTCTTTTATTGAATAAGCCCCCCCCCCCCCCCTTCTGACTTAAAAATTTAAAAATATCAATAAAATTATTTTTAAAATTAGATTCCGTAATCCTTACACTTTGAAGATTGTACACACTAGTCCAGGGATATGTCAACTACCCTCCAAAATGATACACGTCATAATAGTTACATGTGTTGCATATGAGAATTATGATGTGTAGTGTGAAATCATCCTTGTTCAGGGGGAGAGGGGAACCAATGTTTGTGGGTCACCCTTACCTGCTTATTTTCTTTCCAATGAAGAACAACTTTGTCAATGTATTAGTTCATTAAATCTTCTGTACAAATGAGTTAACCACAAATTACATCCCCACAAATAATAACTGTCAATGTATGAGTTTGTAACAGGAAAGGAGAAAATGTGTGACTGGACCGGGAATCGAAGCCGGGACCCCTGCATCACTAGTCAGGTGCTCTACCAACTGAGCTACCCAGGCCAATATCCATGGCCCAAACCATTACAAGTTCATGGAATCTTCCATATATATATCCCTGATTTACACACAAAATTAGCATCACAACAACCAGTAAAATTGTGATTGCCCACTCACATTGACCCCCGCAAATTAAAAAGACTCCACTGTATATGTTTTATAATAGAATTATTCCACTGTATTGGCTGATCTATCTGTAATTATTACTATTATAGCTACATTAAAAAAAACCCAAAAGACCCATGGGCCACAACGCTCACCTGAGTAACTTTGACCCTGCTGTTCTTCACCAGACTTCCCCCCATGTAATACATGTACCTATTGTGGCCCCATCCTATCCTAAGGGGTCATGATTTTAACAATATGTAATCTATTCTACTCCAGGATGCTTCCACACAAATTTCAGTATTTCTGGCCCAGTGGTTCTTGAAAAGGAGATCTTTAAAGATTTTTCGTATATATATTTCAATGTAAAACTTGGATTCCCTATTGTGACCCCACCCTACCCCAGGGTTCATGATCTTAACAATTTAGAATCTACACTACCCCAGGATGCTTCCACATAAGTTTCAGCTTTTCTGGCACAGTGGTTCTTGAGAAGGGAGATTTTGAATTTTTTTTCTATATATTTCAATGTAAAACATGGATTCCCTATTGTGGCCACACCCTACCCCCGGGGGTCATCATTTTAACAATTTAGAATCTACACTATCCCAGGATGCTTCCAAGTAAGTTTCAGCTTTTCTGGCACAGTAGTTCTTGAGAAGGAGATTTTGAATTTTTTTTCTATATATTTCAGTGTAAAACATGAATTCCCTATTATGGCCTGCCCTACCCCCCAGGGGTCATGATTTTAACAATTTAGAATCTACACTACCCCAGGATGCTTCCACATAAGTTTCAGCTTTTCTGGCACAGTGGTTCATGAGAAGAAGATTTTTTAATAACCCCACCCTATTTTTGCCTTTTCTTGATTATCTCCCCTTGTAAGGGGGCTTGACCCTTCATTTTAAGAATTTAGCTTCCCCTTCATCCAAGGATGCTTTGTACCAACTTTGGTTAAAATTGGACCAGTGGTTCTTGAGAAGAAGTTGAATATGTGAAAAGTTTACAGAAGGACGGACGACAGACAACGGGTGATAAGAAAAGCTCACTTGAGCTTTCAGCTCAGGTGAGCTAAAAAGACTTGCAATTTTGATATTAGCTTCAGGGCTACCTAACCAATATGTTCATAAGAGTGTGTAGTTCAGTCTACAAAACATCAGATTGGAGGTTGTGCTCTAGTTATTTCCAATATTGAAAAACAGCCCAGAATATTAGCTATTTGGAAGACTAAATTTTCTAGAAATGAGAAGAGTGATGCAATTCATGATGTAATACATATACTAGAAATTTTTTAAACAAAATTATTCTGTAGTGGTTATTGGTCTGGGTATAGCTTAGTATGAGCAGCATCTGAATAAATGCAGGGGGCCCAGATTTTATTCCCAGTCAAGCCCCATATTTTCTTCTTGTCTTTGGTGCCATGACCAGGATTAGAGAATGTACATGTACTGATTTGGGTTGTGTGAACCAGGGGTGTCAACCTGAGTGGTTTAGTAATCCAGGTTCCAGTCATAAATGCTCACCTTTTCCAGTAACATTTGGTGTTGTTACATTCCCTGGATTTGTAGTTGAGAAATCCTGCTAGGGGCTAAAGAATCTGGGTTGTGTGTCTTTGGGATTGAAAACAACTTAAGGAGGTAGGAATGTGGTGGTTTGGGGATCAGGATTGGTCTAGATAGCTCATGGATATCCACCTGGATAGCTCATTGGTTAGAGCACAGACTAGCAAAGCAAGGGTTCCGGGTTCAAACCCAGTCCACATGGTCCAGCCACAGATTTTCTTTTCCTCTTATAACATGTTATAATACCCTGGTGTAACCTACATTGACTTAAGCGCAGAAGAAAAATTTCAGGAAAATCCACCATCTAAGTATTTTTAGGAACTGTTTTAAAACACATGTACGTAAATTTACTGTAGGATATTATACATGTTATACAGAAATGATTTTTTTTTTATCTGCATGCATACATCATGCACATCAAAGCAAATCATCAAATGTTACTACAATATCATAAATAATAGAAAATTTTATCCAAGTTCTATACCCATAATACAAAATAAGAAGTTAATATTCTTCTTTCTTTATCAAAAGTCATTAAGCTCAGCTAAGCATTAAACAGTTAAATGTTACAATGATGACAGAGCAGGTATTTCCACATTATTTTCAAAAAAGAATTATTTCCCATACTAATTTACCATTGCATCTGATCCATCCTTTTCTAAAGACGTTGGGAATCTTATATCTTTCACTGTCACTGCTGTGATTTTTGTTGGACGTGACATATTTTGGCTTTGGGACAAAGTCTTGATCCTTATTCAAAAGGGGGTGGGCACTCGAGTAACATGTAAACTAGTTTGTAAAATGTTTCCATCGAAAATTTAAAGTTTGGGGATAATATCAAAGCTTTGCCATAGGTTATTCATATCATTTCCATATGGTAAAATTTTCTACATCAAATAAGAAAAAAACTAATTTCACGATACACAAAATATCGAGTGTACACATCTAGTTTTACCCAATTCTGCTTTCACGCGTGTAACTCTACTTCCGTCGCAATCATGGCGGGCATTGAAAATTTTAGACCACCTGATTTGAACAATATTTTGGAAGAACATGAATTAAATCAGTTGTCTGGTGGTGTGAAAGAGAAAATCCAACGTGCATTTACATCTAGAACGGCACAGTACGAGGAATTGAAGGTTAAATACGAACGTCTTTCAGTTACTTCAGGTATTGGACGTACGAGACGCCGGTGTATGCATTTCTTTAATAACAGAAAATGTGCACATAATTTCATATAGGGGCGGAACGATACGATAAAGTGTTATGTTGTATACGATTTTCTATATAAATTGTGTGTGACAGTGTCTCTGTTGGGATGAAATGAGAAATTCTCTATCAGAATGTGAGAGAATAAACAGGTTGGGAACAATTCCCCTGTAGAGAGATCATCTCGCTAGAGCGCGATTATCCCTTTCTAGCGGGAGAAAATACATCTCGGAAACCCGAGATTTATATTCCGATTCCATCTGTAAATGTGTTAACTACCGGAAAAAGGAAAACCGGAAGCATGTCGACCCATTTGTTAAAAAATTATTGTCTCATCTCAATATAATTGCTTTAAAATATTGCCTCTACTGCTGCATACCTTGGAAATTTGAATAAGATCATGCACAATTGTATAGACTTTCTTCGGAGGACCACAAGTGATAAATATCAGTACGAGTAAACTTGTTTATTGCAGATGTACGTGTATCTTTCGCCTTATTTTTTTTAATAACCCCGTTTGAAAAGCTGGGGTATAGAATAGAATAGAATAGAATAGAATAGGATTTATTACCAAATCAGGGCCCAATGGGCATAAACATATAACATGTATAATTACAGATAAGATAACAGACAGAATACAACATATAATGAAGAGCAATTCTTCCCATTTAGTACATTGGTGGTGTTTTGAGTTTCACATGTAGACATAGGTTGTCTTTATTTAAGATATATTTGTACTCTTAATTGATACAACTTAATGTGCAATGATGTGCATTACTATTACTAATATTATACATATAACTGAACACATAAAAAATGTCTGATACATCAACAAGAGGCAGCAAGAGACGGTGCTAAAGGATATACAGAAATCCACTTCTGCCTCATGTAGAATAAACAGATACATAATCTATGGAAATGAGTATTAAAAAATAATAATAATAATAATAACAATAATAATAGTATAATAATAATAATAATAATAATTAAGAAAAAAAAAATTGTATGTTGAATGGCATGTGTAAATTACATTAAACTGCAATGGACAGCAAGAGTCAGTGCTGAAGGATAGTATTATTATTTTAATTAATCCACTTCTGCTCAATGCAGAGTATACAACAACACACGCATATTAACAACATAACATACTGTAGTATAAGTATTAAATCAAAGTACATGTAAGTAAAGTATAGTGATGAGGTGTCCGTCAGTTAGTGTGTCTATAAAGTTGTCTGTCCGTCCATTTCCGTACCCATCTCTTATCAGCAACTCCTCTAATACCACTAAATAAAATGTAATGCTACTTTTACAGATTCTTTTTTAAATTGTGACCTCCTAATTTATATTTTTTCGGACAGATATTTGGACTTTCCCATAGCAACAAATGAACTTACTCATTATACATGTACACATGTGGGAGCAGGAGTAACATTTCGTGAGCTCATTGCTACACTCGTCAATGTTTGCAGGATCTTCTATATATTTGTTCTTTTGTATATTTTACCCTTGAATTAAAAAACCATCAGTGTAAATTTCGGTTTTTCGTCTTACATGAATAACTCAATTTAAAAAAAAAAAACAAACATTAGATCGTACTATTGTATTGCTCTCAGGACATGACTGTACATGTTGTTTTGGAAAAATCACAAATTTTCGGCGGCGAGAGACGGTAGATGGGGGGGGGGGTGACAATTGCAAAAAATACAGTAGGTAGGTTATGTGACTATAATTCTTTAGATTTATACCGAAGTTCAAAAACAGATGCATGGTAAAAGTTATCAACATTAACCATAATTATTCAATTCACAGCCAGTTTAATTTAAATAGTCTTATGGGTGACCTTCAAGTATGACTCGACTTACAGGAAGCCATTTATAACCTGCAAATCATCGCTTGTACGTGACGGCCCCCCTTGTTAATTCAATAAAAAATATAATTATAATTTTGATTGTAGGAATAATAAAATGTTAATTAAGAAGTATCTCACATAGTGTTAGTAAATCTTCTTTCTAAATAAATACGTATCTTTAAAAGTTTTTATTCTCTTGGGCAATTTTTATTTATTATTTTGCGCAAATTGTTTTGAAGCCCTCCCCCCTCCTTTTTGAAAAAAAAAAAATATTGTACGGGCCTGGGTTCTCCTATGCAACATCTGTATTGTAAAGTATCCAATCCACTTAAAAAATCTACACTTGTTATGCAGGATCCCAACATGATTCCAACGCATGTGTCCTCAAACGTGGAACTGTTCATTGCCACCAGGAAAAAAACGTTAAGAATTTATGTCATTGAAATACGAACACAGAGCCTACTTCTTCAAACTAACACAGCACGTGGAAAGCAATGATCACTCAACAATTTCGCATTTTTGTTCTCTCTGTGTTATAAAAGAATAATTCATACTGAACTGTTTTGTGCTCTTTATCAGTTATGCTTGACTATGTTCCTATGAATATTGATGAGCTAAGACAACCAATGAAAATTTAGATCACCATTTGACAGACGGTTATTATCCATTGAGAATATCACGCCTTAATGCAAGTCCAAGGTTACCATATATCAACATTTTGTACTACGTGTATGTCAATATCGGCTAGACTTAATTTAAACTTTTTTAAATTGATTTGTTTTCAATAAAATTTAATTATTAAATGGGGAATCCAGCTTATATATACGTAGTTGTTTTTTTAATCATGACTTATAAACAAATGTTACAACCCTGTTGCGTTTCCATACTTCTTGTAGTCCACCAAAGATCAAATATTTAAGCTATGGTCATGGGTTTCTGGAGAACGTAATTATTACCTTATGTGCACGAAGGGAAAGCTAAAACCTTAACGAATATAATTTGGATACCTATTCATATTTTATATTGCTTCATAAACATATATAACTGTAAATTTTAAAACCTTTGCAAAAAAATGCACGATTTACACTTGATTTTCGCTCCTATTCTCACATGCAGCAGTGATTGTCTTAAATTTCTAGCCCTGGTTGTCAGTTTTATGTAGGAAATTCAAGCTTCAATGCAGCCTTCTCCCGGATTTTTAAAAAGCACAAGATTTTTGATTATTTTGTAATCAAAACAACAAAACACCTGTTTATGGTAATGTTTATTATACCGCTGTAGAGGGATAATCGCGCTCTAGCGAGATGATCTCTCTACAGGGGAATTGTTCCCAACCTGATAAAAGGTGAAGATTATTTATTGAGTTCACAAATACATTTATGTAGCATTTAATAAGCGCACAATATAATAAGCAGGTTGGGACCAATTGCCTGCATGGGATATAATCACCCGTTTGGGATATATAATTTCCAAAATGTGTTGATATGTTGTCGGTGCGACCATTGGGGTGAGTGCATTATTCACTTAATTTTAAGATCCGCCTCTTCAAACCACATGAGACATTTGGAATGTCTAAACTGTGACGTCACATGACGTATGTTAGCTGCATTTCCATAAATGAAGTTTGAAAAGTGCAAAAATTTTAACAAAGAATGTTTAAACTACTGTTTGTGTGAAATATCCATTAAATAAAATTAAGCAAGTTTATTTTTTTGTGAATTTTTAATTGTTGTTACCTCGCGAACGAATTTAACAGCGAGAACAACAAGTCTTGCATTGTGGGTCCAGAGTTACTGCGTCAAAAAAAATCTATTGAATGAATGTGCAGTAGTCTGAATTTTGATCTTTTGTATGTTTTGTAATACTATCGCATGGAATCCTGGTAGCGAAGGAATTCTGGGAATGTTGCACAAGAAAATTAAAGTGATAAATGTATAGATTTCATTCCAAATTTCCTCTGTTCTTACACGTAAGTCTGTTGAGCTTGCTGCACTCGCTATAATCCTTCAGACTGTGAGATTGATCCCCAAGAAGTTTAGGATCTCCCAAGGGATCAATTTCCTAAATGATGGGAATAGAGAAATCTTGTTAACCAAAAGTTATTGCTTTCTAAAATTATTTTTATGCAGATTTACTTATTTGCACTCTAAATTTATATCCCATTTGGGTGATTGGTCCCAACCTGATAAAAGCAGCATAAGATAATAACGAGAATCACTTTTATTAGGTTAAATTAAAAAGAAATAGCATAAATTTCGTAAAATGTTATATACTGTGATGAACAGGTATGCTGTGTTGTGCCCCAATAATATTTTTTTGTGTACTGCAGTAGACCAATATATCCTTACAGCCCTAATATTTGCATCGACTTATCTGTAAGTTATGTACTAAGGCTGTGTATATACTGTATCAGGGAATGCATTTTAGCATTAATGTTTCAGATACTACATGTTACTCGTGAATTCCAGATCAGAGATCAGATTTAAATTTCAGAAAGAGGGTTATTCTGAAGTGCTTATTTATTAGAGATTTGCAAGTTTGAAGCCTTAAATTGAATACAATTTAAATGAGACTATTTTTTTGTGTAACTGTTTGTTGAAACATGTTCAGTAAGCATTTCAATCTTAATCCCAAGCAGCTTCAATGGGTAAAGTCAAATAGAAATATACTGTCTTATCCTTAATCTTACATTGGAAGGTTAAAAGTCACACACTCAGTCAAGATAAAAGACGTCACATTATGGCATCGTTCATTAAAGTTTGGAAGTCTGTGTTCATGTACTGAGGTTGTTAGTTGTTAGCAATATCAAACAATTTTATAAGGATGGCCTAATTTTATTTATTAAACATACAAGAGAATAAATCAGTCAAATATAGGATTTCGTTATCCCACTTCTGACACCAATGTAGTGTTAATATATATAATATAATATTGTATAATACGTCTGGACTCTGCAAGGTCTAGGGGGTAACTAATTAAAACTATTTACATTATTTATAAACACTATCAGGATCTCGATCCCGATCGTAAATACATCGAACATCACTACATTCCTCCCCTTCATATTTGGAAGTTTATATACATATGATCATAAAAATATTTGTCTTTTAAAATATAAAAACAGCTTACATTGTTTTAAAAATTGCAATGTTGAAATAAAAACACTTACTTATTTATTAAACACAACAAAAATTGACAACAATCAGACGATCCGACTGTTTATCAGCATCATTGATGTGCAACAAATAATTATAAAAAATGTCATCAAACTTTAAATGATAATTTGATTAATTTTAAAACCTTTTAATAAAATATCATATATTTTTTTAAATGTTGGACCTTTCTTCCCCCTTTTTCTTATTTTAAAATTCTTCAGGAATTAAAGGAAGCAGGGACACAAACACAACATTACTAATGTATTAAATCAACAGTATGCAAACTATACTTTCTATAATGTGTAAAACTTTGGGCAGAGCTTAAATTTGATAACAATTAGCAGCAGTTATAACTTTAATCTCTGAATTTCGTCCTAGAACAAAGACAGTTAGAAGTGGAGAGCCAGTTGGCAGAGATCCAGGGAAATTTAGAAAAGCTTGCAGCAGAAAATGCTCAGTTAAAGACAGAGTTAGCTGACACAGGTACTAATTAATTTGTTTTTTGAAATAGAAAACAATCATTTTTTGTCAGGAGTTTTTGTACAAATGAAAAATTCTTGGAACCCTCTGGAATGAAATATGACACTCTAGATCTGAAGCTGGGTACAGTCTAGCAATATTCCAAGTAGACAAAGTTCATTAGCACTATTTTTGTATGGTATAGTTATATAATTACATATTAAATTTTTAGTTGAAAAGTTAACAACAGCAACAGAAAAGTTAAAGTCAATCCAGGAGGAGGAAAACTCTTCTCTCTCTACACAGGTATCTGTATTGAAACTATTGTTAGAGTTTGTGTTTACTTTAATTCTCTGTGTGGAAGCTGAGGCTAGAAACTATCTTAATTTCTTGTTCTCTTTCTTTCAGCTCCGTTTGACAAAAGCAAATGAAACTCTTGAATCAGAGAAAAGGGATTTGACTGTTTTACTGGAAAAGAGGAGTAAAGAGATAGAGAGACTAAATGGTAGGGATTCCTTAATTGTGATCTTTAAGGAAAGTTACCTGTACCCGTAAATTAACTCTTGATTATCATTAATTCTTGTAATCTCTGCCTTCTTGGAGTCCTCTTTGCTTTTGTCCACACAGCTACTTTTGTGTATCCCTGGAACTCTTCACAGTACATGCTTTTGACATCTCCAGTCTTTTTAAAATAACTTTTCCAAACTTTCTGTTCATTATGTTAATGATTTTCATACACCAAGATCCTCTGTCTTTTGCCAAGAAAAGTCATGCAGTGGCATAAACACACAAATATTGTAGCTTCTTGACTACAGTCTTTGGTAATCAGATCATTATTTTCTTTACCTTTTTATCTGGTTTAGCTCCTACTAATAATTTTTGTAACAATTAAAATCCCCTTTGAATGCAGTTTCACAAACTTCAGTGATATTGTTACTAAAAGTATCTGAATCAGAATCTCCATTTTGAAATTCTGTCATTTTCCAAGTACCAGTTCTGGAAATTCTACTTTTAATTTTACTTTCACTCAGCTAATTCTTCAAATTTGATGAAAATTCTGTGAAAGCCTTCAAGGTATCTTATTTAGCAGCAAAATTCCAAATCAGTATCTCTGGAAGGGGGTGTTTGTGGAAAATATTCCCCATTTTTAGGTGGGAATTATTTGTTGAACTCTTAATTCACAAAGTCTTTTGCCCATCAAAATCTAAAGGTAAATCCTTATCTCTCAAACATCTCAAAATCTAACATAATAAAGGATTTCATTGAAGTAAAACCCACCCAATCATAAATAAAACCATAAAGAAGGAGTTTAACTAACAGTAAAAACAGTTCATAAAAACTGTCACAAAGCAAGGATCTGTGCCAACCAGTACTCATGAGATGCTCTTTTAAAGTCCTCAGTCCACTAGTGCACAACCACAATCAGCTTCAAAATAAACAAATACATGTACATGTTTATAAAAAAAAAAAAATGGGGAAAAAGGTAATAAAAACCTAAACATCCTATTTTACATAGAATCTGAATGAGTTACACATGATTTATGATTACAGAGGAATGGAGTAGTTTGTCTGACAAGTTAGCTCAGGCCAACAGAGAGAAAACTGAGGCCCAGGCTCAAGCCGCCGAGTTCCAGAGCCAGGTGGTGACATCACAGGTAAGGTCATCAGATAAAATCATACAGATCATCCCTGACTGGGGATTATGTATCCTGATTTTTGTGTACACCATTACTCTGAGAGTTGATTCTTTAGATTTATACACATGATGTTGTAGTTTACACAGAAGAGGTTAGAGGATGAGAAGGAAGCTCTCCAGAGGCAGATTGATCTGTTAAACAAGGACTTGTCAGAAAAAACTCAGCAGCTGTTTAATGTCAGGAAGGAACAGGTATGGGTTGTACATCTTTTTTGTGATGAAGAATCTTTCTTCTAACACGTTTTAAGATGTTATAGTAAACAGAACTAAGAAATATTTTTAACAATAAACATTAAACTATTTTAAATTACAGATACTAAATATTCTATCTCAAGGTGATAAAAGAAGCGAGAAAGCACAAATTTACTGATTATCTACTAAATTATTCATCTATGTGACTTACTTATAAGTGTTAAATTTGTATATACATGTATCTATTATGTTTGTTTTTATACAAAGTCTGCCAGGAATTTGGACCTACAAAGTCGCTTAGAAGAACAGACAGATGAAAATCAACATCTCCAAAACACGATAGATGCACTGAGAAAGACTAATGCAGAACAAGTCAAAAAGATTGAACAGTACATAGAAAAACTGCAAGATGTAAGGATTCTTAATTTGTTACAGATATACATGTACATGTACAATGTTGTTTGTACAACAATTAGGATAAAAAATTCTGATTTTCAGTATGCATGTATATTTAATACTGTTATTTTTTGTTCCATTTCAGGCCCATAACAATCAGGTCCAGGCAGATGAACAATTCAGACAGGAACTGGAGGCCAATCAGAAGTTATCTGATCTCTACAAGGTAAAAAATAACACCTGTTACTTATAAATCACAGATCTCTACAAGGTAAATAATAATGCCTGTGACTTATAAATCACAGATCTCTACAAAGTAAAAATAACACCTGTTACTTATAAATCACAGATCTCTACAAACTAAACAACACTTGGTACAAGTATTTATAAAGGCAGATCTTTTCATGGTTAACAACATATTACTTATAAATAAATCTCTTCAAAGTTTACAATGCCTGCTTATTTACAAATATTTATTGGAAGGTACAGTGCATGTGCATTAACACGTATTTCACAATTTAAATGCACCGTACCAAAGAATAATCTTTGTTTAACTATACTAGTATATGTACATGTACATAATATCAAGCTTGATTCATACATGTACATGTAGCAGAAAGGTATGTAAATGATTTTCCAGTCTTTAGCACTCAAAAGAAACTGTAAATATACATGTAGTCATTTCAAGGTACATGTATATATACCTGAATAGTGTTAAATCCAGACCCTAAAAAGGGCATGGTAATCCAATGATCAAAAGGGCACTTTATGCCACGACAAGTTTTCATGAGGGCACTTTTTAACGTCTTTGAAATTACAAATATTTTCTTTATCATGTTTATGTACTTAAATTATTATTTAATGCTGAAATCTTTCGTTATACAAGTATCTATAAGAAAAATGTATAAATCTGTCAGCTTAATTAATTTAATACACACTGACAGGGCAATTATTGCCAAAATTTAAATTCAAATTTTTTAATCAAGAAATTAGTATGGTTGTCAAGGTTATGCTTAAAAAGTAATAGGTGGGAATCTTTTTGTCACTTGCTCAAGAATTATTTTAGTTTGGAGTATGAATTTTTTTCCCTTGCTTTAATATTGTTATTTGTGTATGAGGTAAGTAACAGAACAAAATTGCAAGGGGGGGGGGGGGGCTACTTGAATAATAAATGTAGAAGGCATTCTCTTTATTTTGAAAATAATCTACCAACAAAATCAAGTGAACACTGATCATACCAAAAAATTAAACTTGAAATAATATATAAATTGGTTAAAACTTTTTTCTGGCTTAGAAACATTAAGCCTCTGGGTGTCAATTCAAAAAGTTAGAACACAGAATCATTGAACATGAAAGAAACTAACTTCATACTTTGTTGTTTCCTACCCCATTTCACACATAATATTCAGTTTGTTTGTTTGTTTGTTTTTTTCTTGGTACTGTACATTGTAAGTTGACTTCATTCATCAGCAGTTTTATTTTTCACATTTCTTCATCTACTCTGTTTTTTCTACTTTCAAGTTAAAAAAAAACGATCCTAATTTAAAATGTGTAACATTTTAATTTACAAATTAATCTATCTTTGACATTGGGCTAATTCTTGCATAATCAATGCAATCAAATGATATTTTCTCCTGTTATCTCTTATACCCTGACAGCCTGAGGCATGTTACCTGGCCAGGTGGCTGTGTGCGTTCAAGCGAGAAGTGATTTCCTGTCCTGAATTCACACTTTGCATGCATTAAATAAACAAAGGGGCTAATCAGCATGCACTGAATAAACAAAGCCGCTAGTCCATCTTGCCTCTGCTGGGCATATTTATTTATTTTTGCAAGGAAAAAAGGGCATGGCGCTGGAAAAAAGGGCATGGCGCCGCGCCCTGCTAGTTTGCTTTAGATTTAACACTAACTGAACATGTGTAATTGCCCCACACATTCTGTGCTACATGCATTCATGAGGGAGGTTTTTGTCTGTGTTGATCAGGGCCAGGCCTCAGACCTTGAAGAGAAGTGTAAGGAGTTGATGGGGGCAGTGGATGAGCTGAGGAAGTTACTGAAGGAGGCCTCGGTCTCTTACACAGAGCTCCAGAACCAGCATCAGTCAGACGTAGAACAACTCAACGTAGAACTCACAGACAGAGGTACAGTAAGGGTGGTGATTAAAAGTGTAGGTACATGTACTTAGTAAAAGTTAAATAATTATGTAACATTAAATGTACAAATATACCTGTACATGCATGAGGAGAATTTCTCAAACTGAAATTTTCAAGACATTGTGGCATAGTAACTAGTTACATGTAGTTGCAGAGTCATGAACACCAGTTGTTTAGTTTCATTGTTCAATGTATGGTTTCCTCTTTTACAGAAAACCAAATACAGAATTTGAGAAAGGAGTTGGAGAATGCTAATGAACTTATTGAGGAAATAAAAAAGAAAGGTAACACAAAATGTAGAGAAGATTCAATATTTATAATTTTAAAACAAGAAACTCTGACACGTATGTGACCTTTCTCATGTCATTATTGTGTAGCTGCCACCAGTGAACATGTGGAGACTCTCTTCCCTAACGCAGCAGCCACAAGTAAATTAGTAAATTCTGGAATGTCTCTAACACAGATCTATAATGAATATATGCAAGCCTCCGAAAATCTCTACTTGGAGAAGGAGGAAACCAAACGACTCAACAGCTACATTGACACAATACTCCAGGTATTATGCTGTTTTTCTCTGAAATATTTGTCAAAACTAAGCTTTTTAATTAACCAAAGATCAACATGGAAAACAAAGCAAGGTTTCAATAGAAAGTATCTACCGGTAAAGAGTTATTAAATTTATAGCACTGTGAATTTTTTTTATAGGAGATAGAAGAGAAGGCTCCTTTGATCCGTAAACAGCGGGAGGATTACGAGCAGTCCCTGGAGACGATAGAACAGATGAACAAACAACTGGATGCTGCGTTACTGGAGAGTCAGAACATGAGGATTGAAGCGGATGAGGCCAACAGAAAATATAATTACATGAAACGGGAAAATCAAAAACTACAACAGCAGACTGAAGACTTGTCAAAACAGGTTAATAGGAATATTTACCTCTCCAAACAGTTGAGGAATATTTTCATGCCCCTGTAATCGGAGATTTGGGTCACATATAGTTTTTGGTCTTTCTGTAACAAAAACATTATAAATCTTGGCCATAACTTCTGAACGGTTGATGCTAGGCCTTTCATATTTCACATGTATATTTCTTGTGACAAGACCTTTCTTTGGGTACCAACGTTTTTGACCTTATGACCTTTGAGTTTAACCAGCTATTGAAAAACTTGAACCTTGGTCATGAGCTGCCATAGGAAGCATCAGTGTTTCATGAGCATACCTTATTTTTATTGTAGGAATTTCATAGAAATTTCATGAACAGACCTTAAATATTGTTTAATTGTAGGAATTTTATAGAAAATTTAAATTTATCGTAATGTATTATTACATTTATAACATAAATCATTTTGATTTAAGTGATATGTTTTTTCAGGGAATAAAACGTCTATACAATCAGTCATGCAGTTAATATATAGTGTTAGTATTTTATCTGGTTTGGAACATTTACTAGCTGTTGTTTATTTATAGGTGCAGTTTCTAGTGAAGGAGATTGAGGAAGTGAAGGGGAGGAGAATCATACAAGAGGATGACATTTCTTGTGTTGACATCTCAAGCACCACCTCATCAGAAGTCATCTCAGGTCACCTGGTTACATTCAGGTAATCTAATGTCAGGTCACCTGGTTACATTCAGGTAATATAATGTCAGGTCACCTGGTAACATTTAGGTAATCTAATGTCAGGTCACCTGGTTACATTCAGGAAATGTAATGTCAGGTCACCTGGTTATATTCAGGTTATCTAATGTCAGGTCACCTGGTCACATTCAGGTAATCTTATGTCAGGTCACCTGCTTACATTCAGGAAATGTAATGTCAGGTCCCCTGGTTACATTCAGGTAATCTAATGTCAGGTCACCTGGTTACATTCAGGAAATGTAATGTCAAGTTACTTGGGTTACATTCAGAAAATAAAATGTCAGGTCACCTGGTTACAATCAAGTAATCTAATGTCAGGTCACCTGGTTACATTCAGGAAATGTAATGTCAGGTCACCTGGTTACATTCAGGAAATGTAATGCCATGTCACCTAGTTACATTCAGGTAAAGTAGTGTCACCTGGTTTCATTCATGGTTAATAGTGTCAGATCACCTAGTTACATTCAGGTAAATAGTGCCAAGTAATATACATGTACTGTAAATTCAGGTCATTTGGATACATTCAAGTAATACAAGGACATATCAGGTCATTTGGTTGCATTCAGAATTTGTAGTTTCATGTTAGATCTCCTTGCCTGATGTAAAATAGGAACTCAGCTTGCTGGTGCATATTGACATAAACAAAAAAGGCCTTATTTTACCACAAAGAACTTGTTATGCATGTAGACATACAGTACATATCTATTAAAATTTTTCATATTGGACCCCCCCCCCCCAATAAAAAAAATTGTGTACTTAATTGTGTAACAGATTTATCAAGAATTGAAACAGGGAATTTTTTTACAATGCATACTTGAACATTTTCATTGGTTTTAATACACATACATTTATTTGTTGACAGAAACATTGAGGACCTACAGCGACAGAACCAGAGATTATTAGGGGTTGTCCGAGATCTCAGTGAGAAGAGAGATGAGGAGGAGAGCCTGGCCGCAGAGGAAAAGTAAGGTTAAATGTGGATAGGAGGGGACACAGAAGAAAAGTAAAATTAAATATGGATAGGAGGGGGCACAGAGGAAAAGTAAGATTAAATGTGGATAGGAGGGGAACAGAAGAAAAGTAAAATTAAAATGGATAGGAGGGGGCACAGGGGAAAAGTAAGGTTAAATGTGGATAGGAGGGGGCACAGGGGAAAAGTAAGAGTATTGTGGATAGGAATGGGTGTCAAAATAATCAATTGCAGATAAAATGAATACACTTCATGGACATGGATATTAAGCTAGAATATAACTTTTTTACATCAAACAATCTCTTGAATTATTTGAAGAAGGTTTATTGGTAAAATTCAGCTACTTGGTCATTAATATCAAATAGAACTGATCAGCGCAGAGTTTAAATGATGTTTTATGTGCCTGTATTATGTATTTTACAGAACTAAAGATCTGAAGGAGCAGCTAGAGAGAGCCCTCAGTGAGATGCAGGAACTTAAGTCAGCCAGGGACAGACAGGCTACCATGGTTTGACTTTAAAATTCAGTTTAAACGACAGCTACATATACTGATAACTGCTTTTAAAATACATGAAGTCTTTACATAAAAATCCAAGAATAATGATAGGAGAGCTTGGCATTGATAATGTAAGTTTGCTTAATTTTGCAAAAAAACAAAAAACAAAAAATCAAAACAAAACAAAAAAAGAACAACAATAAAATAAAATATTTATAATAGCCTGACTTGTGATAGTGATAATTTGTGTATGAGATATTAATTTATTTACTACAGGTGGAGTCCATTGTGAGACAGAGAGATTATTACCGAGTTCTGTTACAACAAAAAGAAGATGTAAGGAACAAAATATAAACTCTTTAGTTTGACATGAATTATTAACCTCATAGTTCATGTGATTTAAGAATTGGTTTCAAGATTTCATTATGAGTTGCATGATCATTATTCATAGTCCCCAATTAAGAAAATCTTCTGGTGTTTATAATATTGTGGTATTTTGAAGTGAAATATCCTGCAGAAATGAAATGCTGTACATGTACTCTGCATGTTCAATATGTACTCATTTTACATATATTTTGTTGTAATCAGCCTAACAAGTGAACCTTTATCATGGATAAGATTTCATGTTTGTGTAGGGTCAGGTGCTAGAAATGACATCAACAACAGCTGTTACCCCATTGAAGAGCCCCATTTTGAGAAGTCCCCTAAAGAGCCCCGCTCATGTTCCCGACAAGGCCCTGGAGGAAGTCAAATCTGCCTTCAAACAATGTCAGGAGGAGTTTGATCGCCACAAAACAGAAATGAAGGAACAAGTCAGGTACTAGAGTATATAGATAAGCCAGTAAATTATAAATATTATTGTATCTCAGTATTTCCCTAAAACTGTTATTAAATGCTTTTGTTTTATTAGGTTACTTTAGTCACACCTAAGTAATTTGCAGCATGTAATGAATTTGTAATTTTCAGAATGCTGAATGAAGAATTGAGGGAAAAAGAGTCTAAACTTTCAGAAATGTTGAGGCAAAACATGAAGTTATCATCTCAGGTACATGCACTCTGACAAAAGTAACATTAGCTTTTCTTAGTTGTTTCTGGAAGTTTCAATGATCCTAGCAATTACAATGATTTTGAGCATGAAAGTCTTTAATAAAAAACACAACTAACTGACCAAAATGAAAAACATCTCGCAAATTTACAAGTAATTCATCTGTGAAGATATCTGTAACAGAAACTTTTTCACTCCTCAAATATGCATGTAACTGGGTCAGGTGAACTTTTGAAAATGTAACAGACAGATGTATGATTCTTTAGATTTCTTTATTGTGACTTTAATGTTGAGTATAATATCTTTATGTCTTTTTAAAATATTTCCCAGCTGGAGTATGGAGCTGAGAGAAATAAAATTCTACAGGGGAATGCTGAGGGATACAAGAAAGAGCTGGCCTCTCTTAGTGAAAAAGAGAAAAAGTTATTTTCTTCTGTAGCCAAACATGAACAGACTATCAATACACTGAGACAGGTCAGATTTTGTCTATCTGTGTCCACTTAAATTTACATGTGACATGTTGACATAAGTAGGACAAGAAATGTCTCAATATGCTTCAATGAACCATACATACCATAGCAGCAGGTAATTAATGCAGTTGCTTAAATTTTGCGGAAATTCATGGTTCTGTAAAAAAGAAAATAAAAAATAGAATTGCAAAATTTTCAAATCCTATCGCAAATGGAATAGAAATTTCAAAACTTGTAAAGGCAGAAAAAGAATGCTTCCTTTGAAGGATACACATACTTGTAGATGGAGCTGCAGAGAGTAGAATCGAATTAGTCAATTAAATTAGAATTTAGATTTAGATTCGCATATAAAACAAAAGCTTACTCTTTAAACAGGACTTGTTGTCAACCCAAGAGAAGCTGTCTAGAGCAGAAGCCCAATGTCATCATCTTAGAACAGAGAAGGAATTATTAAGGAGTGCAGAACAGAGGCTTCTACTAGACATTGACAATTTAAGGAGAGAGAAAACTTCACAGAGCATGTTGATGGCCAATTTACAGTCTATACAGGTATATTTCTATCTGTGTGGCAAGTATCTTTTTAGGAAATCGATGCAAATGACTTCTATGGAAAGAGTGATTTTGTTGTTCACTAAAGACATCCTTCCCCCCCCCCCCCCCCCCCCCCCCCCATTATGATTATCATTATTTAAAAGCAAAAAGATGCTTGTTCATATTTCAGTACTTGAGAATCATAAATGTAGGTAGATTGAAGATTTAATGTATATGTAAAAGTGGGTTGACAGTTCATGGATTGCTATACATGTAGATAAATTGACAATATTGGGTGTAAGCTTCATTAGGGTGGCGTGGCATGAGTTACTGTTTATGACAAGCTCGAGTGGGGTTTGGATTAGGGGTGTAAAGAAGACTGTGAATTCCAGAAAACTTTTTCCCAACATTTAGCATGTATTGTTTCTTGGCTCATGTTTCAGAATACATTAGAACACTCTGAGAGGGAAGTGAGAAGTAGATATACAAATAAGATAGAAAAGTTAGAGATGGAACTGAACACAGCCAGGAGAAATCTGAAGGCAACTCAAGACGAACACAAGGCAGTGGTGGAACTCTGGGAGGTAATGGTGATACAACAGATTTACCACAAATAAATAACACTGAGCTGCATAATATAACTTAGTCATAAAAATATCTTTAAAATTGATTGTACTGATGTTCCATTTCCAATTCTTCAGATGAATGAAAGTAAAGTTTAAGTGTGATGCTTGTTTATAAGCAATTAATTTTTCAACTTGTTCTGATTTTGTGCAGAATCAAACAAAACAACTTCGTCAACAACTAGAAGGGGAGATAAAAAATCATGAAAATGTCAAAAAAATTCTACAGGACACTCGTCGGCAGCTGGAAGAAGCCAAAGCGCAGGTAGGGGTTACAGCATTTCGTAACTTTATCACTCAAAGATAAGAAATACACTTAAAAATATACATAAATACACATTTTGTGTCAGGAGGATTTACTTTGTATGCATATCCTGTGTAAAATAACTAGAGAGGTAATAAAATGAAAACCTGTACCTTTACAGTTAAAGACTACTGAAGCTAATCTAGTGGAGGCTCAAAGAAGATCAGAAAGTCACACAGTCAGAACAGGTGACTTTTATATTTTTTTAAATGGATCTGTCTCTGTACTCACATAATGTATACACATAAATATATACATGTACATATATACATTTTATTTCCTTTAAAATCAAGATTTTTGGCTTAATACCATGTGTCTATGTGTGTTTTGACAGATGGTCTGAGGACTGCACCAGTAACTGCCCCTGACAGAGCCCCACCAGCTAACACAGAGGAAGTAAAGACATTGAAGTATCAAGTAACGGAAACCAAGAGGGAAGTTCAAAGTAGGTCAATGTTAGCTGGGTTCACAAGTTCAAAGTAGGTCAATGTTAGCTGAGTTCACAAGTTCTAAGTAGATCAATGTTAGCTGGGTTCACAGGTTCAAAGTAGGTCAATGTTAGCTGGGTTCACAAGTTCAAAGTAGGTCAATGTTAACTGGGTTCACAAGTTCTAAGTAGGTCAATGTTAGCTGGGTTCACAAGTTCAAAGTAGGTCAATGTTAGCTGAGTTCACAAGTTCAAAGTAGGTCAATGTTAGCTGGGTTCACAAGTTCAAAGTAGGTCAATGTTAGCTGGGTGCACAGGTTCAAAGTAGGTCAATGTTAGCTGGGTTCACAAGTTCAAAGTAGGTCAATGTTAGCTGGGTTCACAAGTTCAAAGTAAGTCAATGTTAGCTGGGTTCACAAGTTCAAAGTAGGTCAATGTTAGCTGGTTACACATGCAGAGTATCAGGATCACTATCAATTTAATGATAAACTCATTTACAGTACATTAGTCATTTTCAGAAGGAAATTTTTCCAAAAAATATATTTTATCTAAAAAATTCTTTTGCACGTTATTTGCAGGTAGAAAATGAAACTTTTGAGTTTGTTTTAAATCTAATTTGTTATTTCCTTTACAATCAAGTTCTGCTTTTAAAAATATTTTCCATAAAACTTTTTTCCTAGATCTGAAGGAACAACTAGAGAGGGGTAAACAGCATGTGACTGAGTACAAAAGCATTGCAGACAACCTGCAGAAGGCCCTCACAGAACAAACTGAGGTATCTCAGGTCTCCTGCAATTTATAGAATTTTGTAATAGAAGTCTCGCCCTTAGGGAGTATACATATGTTTATATCTGAGAATTAAAGGTTTGAATTTGATTGCTAGCAGGATTTAGTTGATACATGTACATGTAAATAGAACTGAATAAACATTGAAAGAGCTATCAGCCAAATTCATAGTCTAAACGTAGTGTGACAATAAACTCAGACAAATTCCAGGTGTTCAACATGTTGATCAGCTGATGTGTCTTTGCAGTGTACCAATCAGATGGAGGAACAACTGAGGAGGGAGAAGGAAGAGAAGCAGTCTGTGTTAGAGAGACTGAAGGCAATAGAGGGAGAGTCTCAAAAGCAGACAGAGGAAATGATGAAGGGACTTGATGAGCAGCATAAACTGGTAAGTCAGTAGAGGGAGAATCTCAAAAGCAGATAGGGGAAATGATGAAGGGACTAGACGAGCAGCATAAACTGGTAAGTCAGTAGAGGGAGAGTCTCAAAACAGATAGAGGAAATGATGAAGGGACTAGATGAGCAGCATAAACTGGTAAGTCAGTAGAGGGAGAATCTCAAAAGCAGATAGAGGAAATGATGAAGGGACTAGACGAGCATCATAAACTGGTAAGTCAGTAGAGGGAGAGTCTCAAAACAGATAGAGGAAATGATGAAGGGACTAGATGAGCAGCATAAACTGGTAAATGATAGCTGTATAAACATGGACATCACAGCACCATAAACCTCCTCTTAATGTCTTAGATGTATAAATGTACAGTGTCTGTCATCTAGAGATCCCATAATTAGAGTTCTTTTGATATCAGAAATTTTTAGCATTCTCTTTTACTGCAATATGTGATTAGTTGAATTTCTCTATGGGAAATTAGCCTTTACCTCTTATTGTCTTACACAGAATGGTGATCTGAAAAAGCAGTTAACAAAACTACAGATGGAACTAGAAGAAGCAGTGTCAACCCGAGACTCAGCCCTGGCCAGGGAGGCAGCCAGCCGGGAGGAGTGTAATCAGCAGGTCCAGATGGCTAGTGAGGTATACAGTGTACTCTGTATTTTGTTTTTTTATCATAGGTATTGGTACAGGGTGTATTCTGTTTGTAGTTTATTTTATAGTACAGAGTGTAGGTATAGGTGTACATTGAATATTAGTAATATATTAGTAATGTGTATGTAAAGAGATAAATGATTTAAATGTAAGCAGAATTACCCAGTATGAAATATGGCAACAGTTCTAGTAATTCTGATACTTCTTCTGTAGGCCAAGGACAAATACCAAAGAGAGCTGATGCTTCATGCTGCAGATGTAGAGGCACTGGCAGCTGTCAAGAAACAGGTCAGAATTCTTAGTATAGCTCTCTCTCTCTCTCTCTCGAGATCTTGACTATAGCTTATGTTTTATATCAGCTTACAATGACAATCAACACCTAGCAATGATACTTGTAGTTTACAATGACTGCTTTCAGAATCATGACTGTAGGTTGGTTTTTTTTTGGTCAGTAATTTTATGATTGTGATTATATCTGTGATCTATGTAATGCATGTAGTACAGTACATGGATGGAGTTGTATTTTAATATTATGCTTTCCAGCTTGAAGATTTCCATTCTAAATTGGCAATTGAACAAGAAATCAGAATAAAAGCAGAAAAAGACTTGGAGGAAGGAAGGGTAGGTTTAATGGTATACTGTAGATTTGTATTGCAATATAGAATTGAATAGTGTGCAGAATAGTTTACAAGTGGACAACAGAAATTTTGTACAATAATTTGTTTGTGTTTAGAACTCATGGTTAGAACAGGAGAAGATTCTGAAGGAGGAGTGTCTGAGGTTGGAGAAGAGAAGTGAGGAACTCTCCAGTCAGAATGACATTCTTCACCAACAGATGGAGAAGGTGGACATTTACATCATTTTATTGTCCTTGTCTGGCTGTGTTATACTAGATCATGGTCACATAGAAAATTATGAATTAAAAAAATAGAATTTTTGAGTTAGTTTAGTGATTACAATGAAGCACTAGTTACCACCTGGTATTAATAAAACTCTAAAACAATTGTACAATATATAGCCATGATTTCATTCTGACTGCAGATGAGCAATGATGTATTGTCCATACAAAGAGCGGTCACTCGATCCGGGTCACCTCAGAAACTGGCCGACCTATCATTTGATGAAGATACAGCTCGGTCCACAGAACAACTACAGGAAGTCATCAGGTAGACATGATAATTATTCCTTCAGGAAGTCATCAGGTAGAGGATAATTATTTCTACAGGAAGGCATCAGGTAGAGGATAATTATTCCTACAGGAAGGCATCAGGTAGACATGATATTTATTCCTACAGGAAGTCATCAGGTAGACATGATAATTATTCCTACAGGAAGTCATCAGGTAGAGGATAATTATTCCTACAGGAAGGCATTAGGTAGACATGATAATTATTCCTACAGGAAGTCGTCAGGTAGACATGATAATTATTCCTACAGGAAGTCGTCAGGTAGACATAATTATTCCTACAGAAAGTCGTTAGGTAGACATGATAATTATTCCTACAGGAAGTCATCAGGTAGACATGATAATTATTCCTACTGGAAGGCATCAGGTAGAGGATAATTATTCCTACAGGAAGTCATCAGGTAGACATGATAATTACCCCTCTGTTGATGATTTAAGGACATAGGCAACATACCTTTCCTACTGATAATTTTTCAAGATATTCTTAATTTAAGATTATAGTGCCATCAGATGTTCGTAGACAAAAAATCAGTGTGTTTTGAAAAGGTATCAATTGATGAATATTCTTGTATAATTCAAAGAAAAGTATACAAAAATTACAAAACATATTCTAGTTGTTTTGTTTATCCAAACTTGTCTTAGAAAAAGTGTACAAGAGCATAATTATATAGACATCAAAAATGTAGCACACAGTTCCTTCAAGTATTGGAACTCTTCAACTCCAGGGAAAAAGACAATAGAGTTCAAACTACGTTGCATGTGTCCTTAACTCATTCATAAATTTGGAACCTCTGCAGTTGTATGTGTTCCATGTCTACATGTATGTTAAACTTTCTAACATACATGTATGAAGGATTAAAAATCCAAATATGCACAGTATTCACTTCAACAAGAAGATGGACTATTTTGCAGATTTTTACGAAAAGAGAAAGAAATTGCCCAGTCCAAGTTAGAGATAGTGCAGACAGAGTGTAATAATGTCAAGTATAGATACGAGACACAAAAGAAGGAATTAGAGGACATGAGAAAGGCGCTGACAGAGCAGCAGATTAAAGCACAGGTACGTGTACAGTTACGTAAGATAAAAGCACATGTACATGTAAAATTACGTAAGTTAAATCTACTATTATGTTCCCAACTACTGAGCTAATTTTCTGCACTTCATACATTTTGACATTTGTCTATTGGTGTTTGACAGGCCAATGTCCAGACCGCCTCACAACATGCTGATCTGATGAGAAAAGTGGAGAACTTGAACATTCTGACCGACAGTAACAAACTTCTGAGGGAGGACAAAAATCGCCTGGAGCAGCTAGTACAGGAGCTTGAGGCTAAGGTATCATAAAGGATCTCCTCCTTACTATACGGAAATAAATTTTTTTACAAGGTATCTTACGGGAGGTTTTATTTGCCACATGTAGTGTTTTTTTATGTGGTCACAGAAATTGAGTGGAGATTTTCTGTTGTAGGTGTCCAACCTTGAGGCTAGTGTAAACCCACTACAAGCCTCCATACGGGACCTGACAGCAGAAAAAGAGGCATTATTAATTGAAAGGAATACTCTGAAGAACGAGGTAGACCGCTGGAAGAGTCGAGCTAATCATCTTATAGAGCAGGCAAACAGAACAGATCCTGATGAACACAGAAAAATTCTGTAAGGCTTCTTTGGGCTCATATTTGTTCTAGCTTTGTTAAGGCTCATATTTTTTTCATGGTCATTTCAAATATTTATGTCTCCCCTTCTACGGGGAGAGATACATGTCAGTGTATAGACCGTTTCACGGTAACTGCGATACTGCTCTTTTGCAGGGCAAAATGGTATAGTTTGGTGAAATATGACGTAAAAGAAATTGATAAATATACGTCATTTAATTATCTCTCAACAAAAACTTTGCCAAGCGTCATTATTTTGCCCTGCAAAAGAGTAGTACCGCAGTTATCATGAAGGGGCTAATTGTTTTTGTCAAATTTCTTCTCCTTATTTTTCTTTAACCAAATTTTGTTCTGGCTTGAGACCCTTTGACATTAAATTTCAAACTGAGTGTATATTATGTAGATGATGTTAAGGAGAGATGCAGGTCAACAATTTTTTTTTGCCTTTGCTCATTGACAAGGTCAGGTTCGATCTTTTCCCTAAAATATTGTCCAGGCCATAACCTGAGAACCGTTTGACATAAGGCAAGATGTACTGCACCAAAATTTTTTACCTTGACCTCTTTCTTCCTTCAAGGTCAAATTAAGAAAAATATGTCCAGACCATAACTTTAAAACCTTTTGACATGAAGACTTGAAACTTGGAAAACAAATCAATGAGATTTAAGGGAGATGCTCTGCATTTAATATTTTGACATTGACCCCTTTCTTTGAGGTCAAGTTTGGAAAAAAAGTCAGCCCATTGACATAAGCCTATTAAGGACTTCAGACTTCGAACATGGAGAGATGAGATTAAGATAAGGATGTACTGCACCAACATTTTTTTTTTACCTTGACCCATTTATTAAATCAAGGTCAAAGTAAAGGGAAAAATGTCTAGGCCATAGCGGTAGAACCCTTTGACTTTGTGACTTCAAGCTTGGAACAGGAGATTAAGATGAGATGCAATGCATTTAGACTTCAAACTCATAACATTAAATGGTGATTAAGACAGGATTCACTCTACTGAAAGATAATTTAAAACTTGTGACTGTGTAAGACTTGATAATAATGAGTTATTTTGAGCAGTATGCAGTAAGTAAGACATTTAGACTTGCCTTTGATGTTGCCCACTTGATACTCATGCACTTGTGTTGCTTATTATAAGAAAATAAAACCTTGAAGGGGAGATGCGTTTTTTGTTATACCCCCCACAAACGAAGTTTAGGGGGGGTATATTGGAGTCAGCTTGTCCGTCTGTCTGTCCGTCTGTCTGTAGACGAGATTTTGTCCAGACCATTTCTTGGAAACTGTTGCAAGGATTTGTCTGAAAATTTGTACACTTATTCTTCGCCATATGAAGGTGTGCACCTGGTATTTTCATCATGATTGGATAATTTTTTTGCATTTTACAGGTGTTTTTTAGCTCACCTGAGCCGAAGGCTCAAGTGAGCTTTTCTGATCAAAATTTGTCCGTTGTCTGTCGTCGGCGTCGTTGTTGTCGTAAACTTTTCACATTTTCATCTTCTTCTCCAGAACTACTGGGCCAATTTCAATCAAACTTGGCACAAAGTATCCTTGGATGAAGGGGTTTCAAGTTTGTTCAAATAAAGGGCCACGCCCTCCTCCAAGGGGAGATAATTACGAAATAGCAAAAAATTAATGGCATTATTGAAAAATCTTCTTCTCAAGCACCAGTGGGCCAGGAAAGATGAAACTCATGTGGAATTACTGTCAGGTAGTGTAGATTCAAGTTTGTTCAAATCATGACCCCAGGGGAAAGGGTGGGGCCACAATGGACGATCAAAGTTTACATAGGAATATATAGGAAAAATCTTCAAAAATATCATGACCCCCTGGGATAGGGTGGGGCCATATTGGACGATCAAAGTTTTACATAGGAATATATAGGAAAAATCTTCAAAAATCTTCTTCTCAAGAACAGCAAAGCTATGATTGGTCATATTTATATGGAAGCATCTTCAGGTGGTGTAGATTCAAGTTTGTTCAAATCATGACCCCCAGGGGTAGGGTGGGGCCAAAATGGACGATCAATGTTTAACACAGGTGTACATAGGAAAAATCTTCAAAAATCTTCTTCTCAAGAACAGCAAAGCTATGATTGGTCATATTTATTTGGAAACATCCTCAGGTGGTGTAGATTCAAGTTTGTACAAATCATGACCCCCGGGAGTAGGGTGGGGCCACAATGGACGATCAAAGTTTTACATAGGAATATATAGGAAAAATCTTCAAAAATCTTCTTCTCAAGAACAGCAAAGCTATGATTGGTCATATTTATATGGAAGCATCCTCAAGTGGTGTAGATTCAAGTTTGTTCAAATCATGACCCCCAGGGGTAGAGTGGGGCCAAAATGGACGATCAATGTTTAACATAGGTGTACATAGGAAAAATCTTCAAAAATCTTCTCAAGAACAGCAAAGCTATGATTGGTCATATTTATGTGGAAGCATCCTCAGGTGATATAGATTCAAGTTTGTTCAAATTATGACCCCCGGGGGGAGGGTGGGGCCACAATAGACGATCAAAGTTTTACATAGGAATATATAGGAAAAATCTTCAAAAATCTTCTTCTCAAGAACAGCAAAGCTATGATTGGTCATATTTATATGGAAGCATCCTCAGGTGGTGTAGATTCAAGTTTGTTCAAATCATGACCCCCAGGGGTAGGGTGGGGCCACAATGAACAATCAAAGTTTTACATAGGTGTACATAGGAAAAATCTTTAAAAAACTCAAGAACAGCAAAGCCACGGTTTGTCATATTTATATGGAAGCATCCTCAGATAGTGTAGATTCAAGTTTGTTCAAATCATGACCCCCCCCCCACTCCCTTTTTAGGGGTAGGTTGGGACCACTTATGCATTTAAGCTTTTCAATACTTAACTGATTTTTCCTTTTTTTTTCATAGCCACAGTGCTCAGGTGAGCGATATGGCCCTTGGGCCTCTTGTTTTCATTTTTATTATGTGGTTTTGTCCGGATCTGTTCCCAGAGACTATTGCATAGATTTGTATGAAAATTTGTACACTTATTATTTACCATATGAAGATGTCCACCTGGTATTTTCAACATTATTTGATAATTTTTCTGCATTTTACAGGTGTGTTTTTTTTTCATTTTTATTGACTTAGTCATTTCGGATTCATGTCTAAGGTTTGAGACATAGAATCTAGAACATCTGTACAAAAATGTGAACTACAGCTTAAAACTACTCATTAGAACTAAAAAAAAATCACAAAGTATTAAAAACAGTTTTTAAATGACACAGTGCTCAGATAGTGTAAATCCATTTGTCCCTTTGGAGTAATGAGTGGACATGCATCCAGTTAAAGATTAATTAATGAGTTCAGTGTGGGAAGCTCTTAGGGCATCTCTGATCAAGCAAGTCTTATCTATATCTCCTGGGAATTGGGCAGAAAGAAATAAAGATCTCTGTTGTCTAAGTCTCTTAATTGTAATTTATGTCTGTCAAAATACATAGTTACTGGAACCAGCCTTTTATTTCTAAAATGAGTTTGATATAAAGGTATTAAGATCAATTTGATTTTGTATAATTAATTATGATATTTTTTTTCAACAATCAATTTGCAGAGTGTTATGTCTCACAAAGATGACAGATACTTGCAACCTATTTTTTCAATGTAATTAAAAAATACTGTAATTACTAGCATTGATGTTTTATTAGGCTGCACCTTAGTTTCATTCATTAAAAAAATATAATGAGTAATTAAATTTTCACTCTAAATGTTTAAGCAAATTGTGAACACCTCTCACATCTAGAAAACATGAGTGATTTGGTACCTTCTCTGAAAAACCCAGCGGGGGGTATTTGTCCCTTTTGGACAGTTCTAGTTTTTTTTTGTTTTTTGTAAAAAAAAAATACCCACTATAGTTATCTAAGGTATCACACACGGTACATGTGTAGTATATGGGTGATCAATAATGCTTAAAACAGTAATGTTTTAAATGTGTAAATACTCTAAAGCAATTATTATTTGCAACAGCTTTTATCTGAGGTACATTTTTTTTGAAATCCATCTGCAACTATCAATTTTGTGACTGGGAATACACTTTAAATTTATAAACAATTAAATCAATGGTTCATGACAATAAATATTCCGAGTAAAAGAAGATTACAAAAAGTTGTAGATATTTCTTAGATGCAAATAAAAGTTGGTTTACAATATTTCATATATTAAACTGTATAACCTAAGTGTTAAACTCTGTAATGATCTTTTTAACAGTCTAGAAAGAGATGCTTTGAAGTTGAGAGTGAAACAACTTTTTGATGAATCTAGTAAAAACAGGTGAGTAAAGCATGATCTGTAGACATTTTTGTTTATTTTTTCATCTTTACCTAAGTGGGACAAGTTGTTTACTCTTAATTGGTCTTGTTTCTGTTTGTTTAATGATTTGTGGTTTAAATTATACATTTTTGTTCAGGTATTTAAACTTTTGCTGTTTATGCATGTCAATTATTTAACTTTTCTGAATAGCCAAGAGAAAGAGAAACTGACACGGGATCTTAAAACAGCCAACGAAGAGCAGTTACGTGTCAAGTATGTAAATATATGAAAGATAGTCACAGTTAAAAATCAAATATGAAAATATATATAAGCTAGGCACAGTTACGAGTCAAGTATGTAAATATATAAAAGATAGTCATAGTTACGAGTATGTAAACATATATAAGCTAGGCACAGTTACAAGTCAAGTATGTCAAATATATAAGATAGTCACAGTTACAAGTCAAGTATTAGATATATATAAGTCACAGTTACGAGTCAAGTAATTAAACATATATAAGAAAGTCACAGTTAAGAAGCAAGTATGTAGACATATATAAGATATTATTATGCTTCCTGTCAGTTTGTCTCTATATAATCAATACCCAACTATTTTCGCATAGTGTTCTAAGGATTTATATAGCGTAAGCATACTATGCCGAAATAGTGCATGGCTGTCTTTTCTAGAGAAAATGTATTTAGCACCCACGCTGGGGATCGAACTCACGATCTCGAGAACGTCAGTCCAACGTGTTACCGATTACGCCACAAACACCGCTACTTTACGGAATGTATTTTCAAGTATATAAACGTAGTTTTTATACATTTGTCACAAAACAAGAAATAAATGAATATAATTTCTAAAAGACTGATATTATTGATAAGGATCTTAAAGAAAAATTCTCTAACAAATAATCGAATTTATCAGTAACCAAAATTGCAACGTAACGTGAACTGGTTCTTCGGAGTCAATAAAACGCTTTTTGGTATAACGCTGGATTAAAGAATGTTCAAGAAAATTTTCATTTAGATTTAACGTCTGCAAACAGGTTTGGGATTGAGAATTTAATTAAATTGTCGTATACAAACAACAGTCAGCATAATAATTATAATAGTGTTATTATTTGGATGTACTATGCCGAAATAGTAGTCAGGGTTTGACACATAGTGCACTCGCCTCCGGCTCGTGCACCATGTGTCAAACCCTGACTACTATTTCGGCATAGTACATCCAAATAATAACACTATTATATAAGTCACAGTTCTGAGTCAAGTATGTAAAGATAAATACAAAAGTTCCACTGAAATTTAGACACAGTTCATGTTAATGACAAGGGATTTTGGACTTCATTTTATGAACATGTGCAATTGTACGTGTATATTGCAAGGATCATCACTTTGGAAAATCTCTTATGAAATGTAAAATTGAGAAAGATTGTGTTATTAAACATTCTCGCTGATCCAATGTTTTATCTTGACTTTCATGCTGGATTTTGTCTCCAAGGTCAGCAACAACTGCTGTTAAATCTGGAGTAGTATATTAATTTCAATTGATCTCCACTTTAGGGACTTTTTAGGACAAAGTGTTTCACATAATTTCTCTCATTTACTTAACATTTGTTATTATTATATTACTAGAATACTGCTTCCACACAAGTTAAAATCTTGAGATTTTTATGACGTCGAGCTCTTGGAGCTCGAACGTCATCTAGCAAGCGCCCAGTTGAAATCATGACCGGATATGTACGCGACCGAATGTGTCAGTCGATGCATCCGCAATAGAAAGTAGCAATAGCTATAAACCAATTTCTTTGAAAACGCTCGAAATGAATAATAGCTTGAAAATAAAATTGCATCAATTATATCTGCAATTAATTCTATTGCAAAACAACAATATTATGTTTTATTCTCACACAAGAAAAACGTGATGGTTGTTGCGGATGAATTTCTACAGAAAGGGTGCATTGAATGACATGAATAACATTTCGGAACGATAACCGTGTAACATAAACAACACAACAGGAGGTAAAATAATTACATAAACTTGAATACTACAAGACTAAAAAGATTGAATTTCTAAATCTTAGCTTTACTTATACAATTTTCTAACCAACTCTATCCTAGAAACCGATGATATTGACCAGTATTGCTGTATTTCTCCATTTCCTCAATTTCCCAGTATACCGTATACCACGCCCGATCGTAACTCGATCGTAATTGTAACAGAACAGAGTCTTGGTTGTAGTTTAGATGCAATCACTAATACAATGCTTTGACATTGGCAATTAGAAAAAAATATTATATAAATTCATGAAATCCTTCATAGTTCTTCAACTGACTGAAAAGAATTTAGCATGAACATGTTCGACGGTGTCTGGTCAATTCGAACCCTGCTCCATTCGGACCATGACATAAGGCCCCAGACTGTAATTGTGATATTTTGTTTAAACTATTTTTTTAATTATGTTTCCTGAGTCACTCACTTGACTTATTGCTATCTTCAAATTCAAAATGATCTTTTGAAATTGTTTTTCTTCTTCGACGTCATTGAAGCCTTTCAGGCTTTTGATTTTCCTTTGTACAGGAAAGCACTACAAGACATGACAAACACTAGACAAGAACTACTCAACAGGATTACCAATCTACAGTTAGTATCTCATACTCTTATATAAAGACTTATTTTTTTAAATACATGTATGGTACAGGATTAACAATCAATAGTTAATTTACTGTAAATCACTTTTTATTCGAGAGAACTTTATTTTCGCGTAATTATGTGAGACCGTCTGCTTGCAAAAATTTTGTTCTCGCATATTATTTTATTAGCACAGCTAATATAGAGCAAAAACCAGAATTCATGAAAATTTTGTCCCGCTTAAAAATATCAAATACCTATCTCACAAAAATAATCTTAAGTTTAAAAAATTTTGTGATCTACAATGTAGTATCTCATTACTAGGGATGTCAAAATATTTATTTTCCTTAGTCGATCATTCGATTGCATTATTCGAACGATAGTCGAATATTCGGAACATTTTCAGAAAATAAAATTTTATTTCAAACTTCATTGGTACACATTCAAAAATCTTTTTACTTAAATCTATTTAAAAGTGACATCAAAATTAATGCAACGTAACGCGTGGATAGCATGATTCTATGAAATAAATTTAGAAACCTAATTCTCCAAAATGTACTATTTCCTCGTCAATAGAATTCATAAATCGGCCTGTACATGCAGTCATTTTTTATTTAGTAAGCATAAAAAAATTGCCATCGGATATTTTTTAAAGCTTATTATGAAATAAAATGGAGGGGGGGAGGGGTCTCAAAATGTCCTCAAACAGTCTAAAATGCAAGCGCATTGTTTTAATAATTACCGAAGTATCAAACAGGTTTATTCCTTGCATTTGAGCAAACTTAAAATAGCAAAAGATAACTGGTTCATGGTATAAGATCAAGTCCAATTAATAATTTTACAAACAAAGCCCAATATTTTGGTTGGTAATTTATTAGAAAAAGAACACAGGCAGTTACTGACAATTAATTCTCGCTGTAGTGAAGCACTTATAATTGCTGTACTTTCTATACGTACATGGAAAATCTACGGGTTTTTTTTTTTTTGAAAATTATCGACTGTCTATGAGGAAAGACTGTTTCTCAAATTTTTTATGAGAATTCCATCTCACCTATCACTCATTTATTGCATTTATTTAGTTAGAATAATATTCGAATGTCATTTCATTATTCGATCGTCGGTCCATTCGACTGATAGTCGAATAGTCGACTATTCGTTGACATCCCTACTCATTACTCTTAAGATTTATTTTATATATGGTTCATGTATGTATTAAACTCTTAATAGGAGCTTTACATGCTGATTAATGTGATTTAATAATCATTTCTGTATTATTCATACATGTATATAACTCCTGACAATGTTACCTTGTAGAAAAGAACTCAGTCAATCACAAACTATTGCCAGCTCAAAAGAGTAAGTATTACATAGTTAAGTTCTCTATGGTATTTTCCCAGATAGAAAAGGTACCTCAATGAATAGTAGATTGTTGAAATGGTTTTATTTTTCTAGTAAAGTAGTGAATTATTTTGAATAAATTTGTATATTCCTAATTATACCCCACTCCAAAAGAGGGGAGGTATACTGTTTTATTATACCCCTTCCAAAGGAGAGGTGGGGTATACAGTTTTACCCTTGTATCATCATTGGATACCCACAGATGATCACGTCTTTTACTCATCACCCGTGGGCAAACTTTCCGAAAAATTGTCGTAAAATATGCTAATTTGTTGATTATAGACAACCAATCAGAAAATTGGAACTGTTCAATTTTGAAAATATGTTTCTTAGTTTGCTAATTATGCTTAATATCCTGAGGCCCGTTAAAAGGTGCAAATTTTGTTTTAAAATGATTAAAGACAAATCATACAGGTCACTTACATCAAATACCGGTAGAAAATTATATGAGAGTACCTTTCTCAAACTGCAAAATGCACAGGTGAGTGGATTTATTTGCAATCCGTGTGTTAACTACAGAAAAGTTTTTGTCATTGCCGAACATATATACTTAACATAAACTTTAATTTGTTGACTTGCCATCGCGACTCTGTGGAGCAACCAATCAAATGACCCGCACATATTAATTACATATGACTTTTTTTCGGTGAGTTTGCCCACAGGTGATGAGTAAAAGACAAGATCACCCGTGTGTATTCGACGATGCCCTTATAAGTTTGTCTTTCTGTCTATCTGTCTGCTTGTCTGTCTGGCTGTCCGTAACAAATTTTTGTTGCAGTATTCTCAGCAATTAATTATTGGAGATGCTTGAAATTTTAGCACAGTCTTTGTTTAAGCATGACATATGGTGGGATTCATTTTTGTACAAATATGATGTCAACTTCCTGTTTCTCCATGCATCTGTCTGTACCAAATTTCCATTGCAGTTCTCTCAGCAATTACTCATCACAGATGCTTGAAATTTTAGCACACTCTGTTTAGGCATGCCATAGGGTGGGAGTCATGAGATCATATATTCACATCGGGGTGGGGGGGGGGGGGGGTGTATTACTAGTGTGCATTGGCTCACAGACTTCTTGTTTTTACTGACTAAGAAAATTATTTGTCAATTTTGCACAAACAGCTCTAATTACCATACATCTGGTATCTGGTAACTTCTGTAGGAGTGCAAGCCCCATCATACGAGTACATGAAATATACCTTAAAATCACTAGACTTGTAAATTGTTATGTAACTATAGCTATTGCTAGAATACATGTATCTTTAAAATCAAAGTCATTTAGACAAGGTTGAGGTCATAAGGCTCAGAAGTGTAAAATCTTAGAGATATAGCTAGTATTGGTGGAGCATTAGGAGGTCGAACCGATTGATTGGGATCAAGAGGTTTGTAATGATTCTACAGACATTTGGGCAGGGTCAAGGTCACAGGGCTCAGAAGTTTAAATGTTTTCTGCAAAAAGAGCTTTTAGTACTCAGGATCAGATGTTACGAACCTTAACTAGTTTTATTTTGAACAAAAAAATGAAGGTTTTCACAAAAGCGAGGGGACATTAAAACATTCATCTGTTACAGGCCTCTACATGACTTCTAAAATTTAGGCGCCAACTGGCTTCTAATAAAAAAAATTTAGTTGCCAATGCATATTTTTAGTCGGCAGGTAAATTTTTTTAGGCACCAATTTTAAAACTGATATTAGTCAATATAAAGAGACATGGCCATTTCTAACTTTTAAACTTTTTTTCTGCTCTTTATAAAGAAAATATTGAAAATGTTTATAGTTCAGTAATTTGACGAACGCCAAGTAAATTTAAAATGATCGCCAATTTGGCGACTTATAGAAAAATTTAGGCGCCATGGCGACTAAATTAGTCACCAGTTAGAGCCCCGTGTTAGTCTGTCACAAAAACTTTAATCTTAGTCATAACATTGAATGAGAAGAGGTAGGGCTTTTATATTTCAGATGTCAATTACCTCTGACAAGACGTTTCCGAATATACTATGACTTTTGACCCCGTGACCTTAACCTTGAAGTTTGACCTACTTTTCAAAAATTTTAACATTACATTTACCTTGATCATAACTTTTGAATGAGAAAGGTAGGGCCTTCGTATTTCACATGTACATTACCCTTGACAAGACCTTTTCAAATATTCTATGATTTTTGACCCCTTGACATTGACCTTGAGGTTTGACCTACTTTTCAAAAAAAAAAAAATAATATTGGATATAATTTCTGAATGAAAGAAAATATGGCATTTATATTTGACATGCACAGACAAGACAGGACACACAAACAATGAAGACAGTTACAACATGCATTAATTATTGAATCCCATCCACTAAAACACCAAAAGCTGGGGACCATAATTCTTTGAATTTGCTTGTCAGCATATTTTTTTGGTAACTTGATGAAGTCATGGCAATTGAAATGATAGCATTTAATAATATACATTGATTGGTCCATGTATTTATACTCCTAGCAAGAGAGAGTGTTTTGTTAATGTGCCCAATAAATGTTCATTACCTTTATCTTACAGAAAGGAAATTTTCCAGTTGAGAAATAATTTAGCTGAGAAAGAGTAAGTCAATTCTACAGTAATAATCTCAATAAAAGTAAGAAAGATTAGGTCAATTTACAGTAATAATGTCAATAACAGTGAGAAAGATTAGATCAATTTACAGTAATAATGTCAATAATAGTAAGAAAGATTAGGTCAATTTACAGTAATAATGTCAATAACAGTAAGAAAGATTAGATCAATTTACAGTAATAATGTCAATAACAGTAAGAAAGATTAGATCAATTTACAGTAATAATGTCAATAATAGTAAGAAAGATTAGGTCAATTTACAGTAATAATGTCAATAGCAGTAAGAAAGATTAGGTCAATTTACAGTAATAATGTTAATGTCAATAACAGTAAGAAAGATTAGGTCAATTTACAGTAATAATGTCAATAACAGTAAGAAAGATTAGATCAATTTACAGTAATAATGTCAATAACAGTGAGAGAGATTAGGTCAATTTACAGTAATAATGTCAATAACAGTAAGAAAGATTAGATCAATTTACAGTATTAATGTCAATACACATGTAACAGTAAGAAAGATCGGGTCAAGTTACAGTAATAATGTCAATAACAGTAAGAAAGATCAGGTCAATTTACAGTAATAATGTCAATAACAGCAAGAAAGGTTAGGTCAATTTACAGTAATAATCTCAATAACAGTAAGAAAGATTAGGTCATTTACAGTAAAAATGTCAGTAAAAGTAAGAAATTGTGCATTCCTTTAGAGAAATGTTTATTTCTTTAGAGAAACCTACTTGTAATTATTTTTTACTTTTAGAAATGACTTCACCCAGACCAAAAACAAAGTATCTGAACTTGAGTGAGTATAATGTACCTTCAGTCATTGTTTAGTCATTGTCAATGTAATGCACTGCTGCTATCAAAAGGTGAAAACACATGTATCTTTAAGGAAATTTTCAGTAATATCTCAACTTTACCCAAACATTATAGTAAAACACACTCATAGCCAAGTAACAGGTATGAACAATCCTAATCCATTATAAATATAATTTGTCTCATCGGATAAGTTCATAATCCATTTTAAAAAAAACTGCAAAGAATGAAAAATCACATCATGTAAGTATGAATTCATCATAAGCTCTATAATGATATTTTTAAGAAATGAATTTAATTTTTGAAGATTCATGAGGACATGAACTACGAAGCTTCACGCCGGCATATTTCATGAAGCGCGTTAGCATTATATTTACATTATTTTTCTGATGAGTTTCCACCAGTTACGCCATTCAACTCTCATTTTTGAAGCAAAACAGTTTGCACTATAGTTTTGACGTCAAGTACGATATTATGTCGTCACAATGGAGATATTCTTGCTCATCTCATGGTAGTTCATGAGAAAATGAACAATCATCTAATTTTCAAAGAATCTTAAGGAAAAATACTTGGAAATGTAAATATTACTGTATAAATCATTTTTACCAATTTTAAGTTTGCAGAAAGGCGTTTTCCTACTCTCACCTGTTGAAACTTGCCGAATTAAAAAATTTTTGTGTTTGCCTGTTGGTGATGATGAAAAGGGAAAAACAGGCAGAATTTTTCTTCTAAGCAGTACACAAGCATTTGTATTTTGTTAAAGGAATATTTATAAGTGTACAAAATAAAGAGATGCAGATAGATTTATTTACAAAATAATCATACATTAAAAATATATATTAATGCATATATATGAATGTTTATGATATATGATAAGAAATGCATTTTATCAGTCACTAGTTATAACTTTATGTTTTGTGTGCAGTTCTATTTTCCTTATTTTAATGGATGCTAGACTGAATTCAGCATGGGAAAAAATTAACTGTCACTGAATAGTTAAATTGATTAATGGTTTGTTATAATGTTTTACATCCCTTGCGAGAATTTTTCTCTCATATGAGGCATTACCAAATACTGGTGAAGGTCATCAAATTTAGATATATACTCAACAGTCAGGGCCATTGAGCAGAGAGTGTTCTTTATCATGCCAATGCGTACTGTAACATGGGACCTATATATTTATAGATATATCACAAAGACCTGAACGTTCACTTTTAATGTTGGGCTTTTGGAGAAGGAACAGACACTGGCTATGTTAGCGTCTTAGGTTTGACGCGGTGCTTGAAACAAGAATTGAACCCGAACTTCTGATCATAAAGCAAATCCCCTACTACTAGGCTAATGTGACCGCTCACTATTTGAAAATCGAAAAGTCAAAATTGGTGCTTATACAAAAATGTGAGAATTTCCTTGAGTGAAATGAAAGCTGCATACAGTATACATAATTTTGTCTTTCTCTCCTCCTGTTGTGTAGAGCTGAGATTCAAGGTTTCAAGGCACAAATTGATGAGAAGGTCAAGGATGTAGAGGAAAAAGCTAAGACCATTAACCAGGTGAAATAAGAATTCTTACTCTGACTACAGAAACACTGACATCTGTACAATGTAGATGCAATTTCTTGTCTCTTTTGTTCATTAGAGCAGTATTTTCTTAGCCAGCATACTGCTTATGCTGTCAAGTTTGAAATAAAATTTGCTTTTACAGTAGATAAAATAAAGACAACAATATTTGTACATGTAGTTGTTAAATATACATGTAATATTAAAGCATACACATGCAAGTTTGTTCTTTTTTTTAGCTCAGAAAAATTGGGCGAAAATACAAAGAGCAGGCAGAGTCACTAAACAAAGAGATAGAAGAACTTAAAACTAAGTCTACAACGGAACAGGCCAGCCAACCAGCTGAGGAGGAAACCACCCCAAGTCAGGAAGAGGTGGATCAACAGGTGGTGGCCATCAGGGAACAGCTGACGCAAGCCGAACAGGAGAGGGATGATTTAAAACAGAAGCTAGAGGTTCAGAGTGGGGAGTATGGGGGAACAAAGATGCAGCTGGCTCAGGCACAACAGGTTTGTTGACAAGCATGTACAGCAGAGATGTTGACAGGTCAATAATTACAACAGAGATTTGACAGGTACACAAACACATACAACAGGTTTGTTGAAAGGTTAACAAACACATACAACACAAATGTTGACAGGTAAACAAGCACATATATGTACAACAGAGATGTTGACAGGTAGTCAAGCACATGTTATGAGGTACATACAGGTAAACTTCGTTATCTCGACATCGACGGGACCATCGGAAAATGTCGAGATATCCGAGGTGTCGAGATATCAGAGTTGAGAATTGACGTCCAAGATTTCACTGCATAGCAAAACAGTCAAGCTTTTTATTAGTTAGAATAATCTAACTGTGTCTCGGGACAAGCCCTCACCACGGTTAGAATACGTCCCATATACTTGCAATGTAGCAAATCGGAGTGGATCCACTCTGAAATGATTTTGAAGAATACAAAAGGAGTTGCAATGAAAATAACTACCAAATTAATCATAACAAACCTTTTTGAGATTGTATATGCCTTTTAGCCTAAAAATTAATCCATATATATACGAAAATTCAACTCATTTTCTCAACATTTTTCCTCGCTTCAAATTTAACGCCATGTTGACATTTGGAACTCTCTGGATTCTTCATACAAAATGCACAGAGTTTGAGTTATCGCCCGTGTTTATTTTGCTACATTGCGAATACACGGAACGAATTCTATCGTTAAACCGGGTCCGTAGGACAATATCATTTTAACAATAGAACGTTCTATCTAGCTTATTATATGTACATGATATCAATATAGACTGTAGCTCAACATATTTCAGAATTCCCTCTATTTTTATTTAAAATCTAAAAAGTTATTTTAAAAATCTTGTTTATAAAACGTGTTCTTTATTGAAATCTTTCTAAATTCACAAAGTTACAGCATTCGCGTACGTGTAACTTGCCTTTTTTTCAAAACAGGATAAGAAATGCGCTCTATAAACTTCGAACCGTATATAGTTGACATCCAATATACGGAAAAAAATTAAATGCGGATTATTTTTTTCTTATTTCATTCAGGAAGAATGTACATTAAAATTAATTTTCTTTAAAGAGATTTGTGTATCTAAACTAACGTAGTGTTGTTACAGATGCATGAGTAATGGCTGATTCGGTCAATCGTGTCGTTAATTTGATTGTTTCCTGTTGAATACATTTTAACTACAAAATATCCTTAAAACATCTTTTAATTCCTTAGTTTGAATTATTCAGTGTGTTTGCTATTCATTGTAATTTAGCTACCTTTTTCAAATTTCAAAGTTATGTTAGGTTTCGATATAAATAACCGTCTGTACATTTACGAAGAATCGTATAAATTTAGCAATGATATTACCCAAGCTGAACATTAAGCAATTAACTTCTCAAACACGCCAAGGGGGCTTTGGATTCACCTACAAACACAGTCTATAGAATTAATTAAGCAGCCTGCAGTCAAAACTTAGGTGTGAAAGGTGTGAAATTTTGACGACTTCGAGATACCCGGAGTCGTCCATGCGTGACGAGCGACCCTGACAAACAATTAGGTTCAGTAGAGCAGAAAATTGCCAATGTTGACATATACCAGGTAAATTTTGCTCTTGGGACTGTGAATATACGTCGAGATAACCCGGGTTATCGACACTACCGAGGTCGACATATCAGAGTTTTTGCAAATCATTTATATAGCAAATACTGCCGGGACCGCGGAAGGACGTCGACATATCCCAGATTGTCGACATATGCGATGTCGAGATACCGAAGTTTACCTGTATGTGCATATGTACATATACTAAGGTAATGAGTATTGATAAGTGTTGGTCTTTCTTCTTTGTATTGATAATTAATTGTATGTGTATAGTATACAGCTCTCAAATGAAATTTTGAAACATTTTTAGGAGATTTCCCAATCAAAGGCAGAGATTGACCAATTAAAGAAGAAGAATGAAGAATATGAACAGAAACAAAACCAGTCCAAAAATGTTCTTCAAGCCGTAAAGAAGAAACTAAGTTCTCAGAACGAGGAGATCGGGAAACTCACGGCAGAGAATACCGAACTTAAACAGAAGGTCTCCGCAGAACCACCTAGTGGTGGTAAGGCAAAGATAGACACTGAAAATAATGTGGTTTTGCCACTTAAACATGTTTCTAATTTATGCATACTTTTTCAAAAATATTGGATATCATCTATAAATTTTCCTGAAGAACAAATACAAATTAAATGCATTTTTAATGGCTCTAGATACAGACCTGCCTACCCTTCCGCTTTTGGCGTAATTCTTCCGCTTTTTACCACAAAATTACGCCGTTACGCCATGAAATTTAATTTTACGCTTTTAAAAAAATGTCCCAGAAAACTTATTTATAAAAGGCTTTCTTTGGAGTTAAAGTAAAAAGCGTTCCTAAATGAAACAAGAAGATAATTAATACTAATTAATAGAGGGTTTCGATTCTTCACGTTATGATTATTTATGATACAATCAACATACGTACATGTGTAATATACCTTGTAGTTATAATACGCCTTTTAAACAGGTGGCATGCCAAAGATTATAAAACTATTGAATAATACGTGCAATAAGTAAAGTCAGTTCAATTTTCAATTCAGTATATTCTTACATTGCTTAGAACAACATATAAGTTTGATATGACCGTATTTAGGATACCAGTTTTACAACATTTGGATGTTTAGTCAATAAACGATTTGAAAAAGAAATATTCATGCTTGCTTTACTTCAGTGATGTACAATTACAGGTTATTGTCCTGCTCCATAATTTGTATTGCTAAATGGGCTTTTGAGCTTGAATACTGTTCTTTATCACCATATGTTCCATTAGACAATATAGTATTGCAAAACATCAAACTATGGAAACATAAAGGATTACACCTTTACCTCTGAAATTCCACAAAAATGAGTATTGAAATTACACCCTCGCAATAAAAAGGGTAGGCAGGTCTATAGATATGGTGTAGATTCAAGCTTGTTCAACTAATGACCATCAGTTAAAGTTAGGGGTTCAAATATTTTTTTTTGGAATGTAAATGTAACAAGAGGCCCATGGGCCACATCGCTCACCTGAGTAGCTTTGGCCATGCTGTTCTTTACCAGATTTCCCCCTTTTAATATACCTATTGTGGCCCTACCCCCGGGGGTCATGATTTGAACAATTTAGAATCTACACTACCTCAGGATGCTTCCAAATAAGTTTCAGCTTTATTGGTCCAGTGGTTCTTGAAAAGAAGATTTTTAAAGATTTTTCTTATGTATTTCAATGTAAAACTTAGATTCCCTATTGTGGCCCCGCCCTACCCCCGGGGGTCATGATTTTAACAATTTAGAATCTACACTATCCCAGGATGCTTCCACATAAGTTTTAGCTTTTCTGGCCCAGTGGTTCTTGAGAAGAAGATTTTTTAATGACCCCACCCTATTTTTGTCTTTTCTTGATTATCTCCCCTTGTAAGGGGACTTGGCCCTTTATTTTAATAATTTACACTCCCCTTCACCCAAGGATACTTTGTATCAAGTTTGGTTAAAATTGGCCTAGTGGTTCTTGAGAAGATGTTGAAAATGTGAAAAGTTTACAGACGGACGGACAGACGGACGGACGACGGACAACGGGTGATCAGAAAAGCTCACTTGAGCTTTCAGCTCAGGTGAGCTAAAAACTTTAGAGATTTTCTTCATATGAATAGCAAAATAATGAGTCAAATAGATATATAAGCATCTTCAAGAAATATAGATATAAGATTATTCAACCCAATGCCCCGAGTGGGACACAATTATGGGAGGGGGCCAAAGTTTTACATGGAAATCTTCTGGGAAAATCTTTTATTTTAAATTCAGAACAAGGCCACATTTACTTAAATTAATTATCAAACATCTTTGTCTAAGTAAAGGCCCCACAGACATGGATAGGTCAACAATTTTGCATAGGATGTTGTGTGGGAACATTACAAGTTCTCTTCTTAAAATTAGCAGGTCTAGAGTGAGTGAAATAGATGTGTAAGCTTTGCCATGTTGTGAAGAAATAATGACCTTGCTTGATTGGGAGTAGAGAAGGGGGTCAAAGTTATGCCTTGAATTTTTTAAAAAAAAACCCTTTTAAGGAACAACATAATAATGTACAATCTTCCTTAGGAATAAGAAGACCTTAATTTCTAAACTTGAATTATCAGTTATCAACATCCTGTAGCTTAAGATGATGGAAGCTTTGAAATTTAAGTTATGGTCACTCTAAAGATAAAAGGTTTCACTGAGCAACATATTTCTTTCTCGGTAAATAATTCTTTTGTGAACATTTCATTCCATGAGCCCTTTGTCATGTTTTACAGCTACAGAGGAGGCAGAGTCCAGAATGGCTGCCATGAAATCGACATACGAAAACAGAATCAGCACCTTAACAAAGGAAGTCACTGACAACGCCCAGCAGGTCAGGACATCAGTAGCCGAGATAGCGGACAAAAACAAACAGCTGGAACAGTTAATGACCGAGAAGGCCGAGCTCCAAGATAAGGTAGTGGGCCATAGTTTTTATAGGGAAGCCCCTCTGGATGATTGAGCAAAGAAAATTAGTAGGATTGAATGCTCTTTTACTTGGTTGTATATATTATGTACAGGATATAAGAAAAAATGGCAAGGAGACAAGCCATAAACCATCATTAATCATAGAATATTAAAGCTATTTGTACACTGTATTATATGTATTACAGATTGCAGCCATGCAGAAACAGATTGATGCCCAACCAAAGCCAGTGGCCCCACAACCCCAGGCAGCTCGTCCGGCAGCCACGGTCACAGTGGAGAGGGCAAGGCCTGTAGATAGGTCAAGGTAAAAATCATCAATATTGTTGATACACAGTTGTGTTAAAATTTAATTTTTTTCGAAGCAAGAATAAAGGAACTTGTCTTTTCTTTCAGTGTATCAGTGGCAGAGTCACCTAAAACAGCCAACATCAAACCCATGTCTACATCTCCAGCTGCAGTACGGCCTCAAGTCCCTACCTCCCAATCACAGACGGCAGGGTCAAGGGTGATCGCTAACATTCGTCCAATGGCTATTGCTCCCACCAGTATATCACCTTTAGCAGTCAGTGTGCCTACACCCACAGCCACAGTAATGCCTACAACAGTGTCTCAACATGATGTCACCGATAGTAGTAAGCCGTCCACTCTCTTGTTTAAAAAAAAAAAAAAAGAAATATTAAAAAAAAATAAGAAGACTTCATTGATGAAAAAACTTTCTTACTAACAATAGATGAGGTGACTCAGGCCCAGTTGTCTCCGGTGATGACATCTCGCCCGACCCAGCAGGTCCAGAGAGTCACACCTCAAGTGGAGGCCTCCGCAGGTCAGTGAATGTCCAGAACAAATTTCTATACAAAATATTAAAATCAATTCAATCATTAACTCTTGACATTATTTGGTTTTAGATTCTTCCACATCCTCTAGTGGACAAATCATTCAAGAAGTTCCAAGCATTCAAGGTAATTAGGTCCAAATGAGATTGTTCTCAGAAAAAAAGAAAATGGCTTGATGATCACTGACATCTTTATTGCCATTATGATATTCTATAAGTACATGTACATGTGTATGTTAACTTTCCAGAACAAACAGTGACACAGTCTGAGGTAGAAGTTTCCTCGGCAGCATCCTCAGCTACAAGTGATAATAGTGAGAGTCAATCAACATCAACTGCAAGGGAAATAACGCCATCTACTTCCTCCTCCGCTGTGACAAGGGAGGTCACTCCTACAACATCAGTGGCACCAGGAGCAAGGGATACCACCAGTGTTTCTTCTGTCAGCAGGGAGGGTCAATCTCTGGGGAAGAGATCAAGAGAAGAGACTGAAGGGTATAAACCTTAACAGTTTGAGAGTTATTTTATCCTCTATAAGTTTAAGACTATTTAATATCAAAAATTGGAGATACACGTATATATTTAAATTATATATTACATGTGCATGTACATGAATTTTTTCCCCTTTTAGCAGCCAAGGAGAAGAAACAGAACCAAAGAGAACTAAGGTGTCAACAGCTCAGGTCAGTTAAAGAATGTAATAAACATGGTACTCAGATAGTATTATATGATATTTTGTTTTATTGAATTATTGTAATGACATGCATTGTAATGCTGTTTAGGGCTCACCGATTCCAGCCATAACAGTTACAGATGAACATGCTAATACACTGACAGTAACAGAGGAAGAACCAGTTCAGGAACCAGGACAGGAAGTCACTGAGGTTCAAACTCCACAACTGTCAACCCAGGAGTCAGAGGTAAGTAACGATGGAATACTCAGCTTAAAAGGAAGGAGGGAGGTGTCTCCACTACTCAGAGGTAAGTACTAAAAAAACAGTCAGTTTGGGAGGCAGAAAAGAAACATTAAGGACCCCCCCCCCCCCCCCCCCCAACCAAACATACAAATCAGGTTTTAGTGGGAGAGAAAATATCACTCCATGAGGCAGATTGAGGCATCACTTAAGTCCCATCACTAAGACTAAGCTTTCTTGAGATGTTGGTTTAATATTTCAGATATCCCTGGGACCAGCAGAGTCTACAGATGACTTGGTGGAGGATTTGTCCTCAGAACCTGCAGCACTCTCAGACTCGCAAGGACAACAGGTGAGTTAAATCATTATACTGAATATTTTTCAATGCTTTACCCATGAAATGGTGTCTCAAATCAATTCAAGAGTGTTCTCTGCTTTGGAGAAGCATAGCAATTACATGTTTGTATTACATGTGTGATAAGTTACAAAATGTAATGTTGAAGGTAATGTTATGTATAGAGATTTTATGACTATATTTAGAATGTTGAGGAAATTCAGGAAGAAGAAGCACCAGAGGAAGAAGAAGATGGAGATGATGCTATCATTATTTTGGAGAGTGATGATGAGGTAAGTGAAGTCTTCCTCAAATGTACTGCTACAATGTGTATTTATAAAACAAGAATTTATGTCCCAATATCATGAATCAGTAAGTTCACAGTGTCTCCCATATTCTGGTAGGAAGATGAAAATGAGGGCATTGAAGAAGAGGAGGAAGATGAAGATATAGAAGAGGAAGAAGAAGAGGAAGATATTGAAGAGGTTGAGGAAGATTATGTGAGTAATGCAGGGGCTTCTTGACTAAGTTGTATCAGTGCTATTTAATTATACTCTACAAATTAAGTTTACTAAGATATCAATATGACAGTGTCAATTGATTTTGGCAATTTGTTTGCAAGCATTTTGGAACATCCAAATTTTGCAAACTGAAGAAAAAATGTTGTTCTACTTGGTCAGTAATTTCTGTAAATGTAATTTGATACATGTATACATGGTATGTTGTAGAATGAAGATGATGAGATGGAGGGGGAATACACAGCCTCTCAGCTGGAGGAAATCCAGGAACAGACTCAGACAGAGGGGGAGGAGGAGGATGTCATCCAACTGGATGGTGAGCTCTTCAGCTGAATCCAATATGTGGATATTTCTTCTCCGTAAAACAAAAAAAAAAATCAGTCCTCTGTTTATAAAAATGGAACGATGCCAAACTTCATGTACAATTGGAAATATTTCCTGCTTTTTATTTTTACTGATACATTTATATAGTGTCATTGGACATTTTTACATACAGAAGCCTTTTTGGGAGTTGAACTATGTTCAATCTCCCTTGGTCATCACGGGCTTTCTAAGCGTAGTAATTTGTATTGATTATATAGTGGACGTCCGTGGGGCTTCTGTGTTGACCAATTTACTCCTGTGATATTCAATGTAAACTTGCATAAACGTCCGCCATAAAATAGTCCATTTCAATTTTCTGAATTTATCAAATTTTGATAAATGATATGAAACTAAATGCAATTGAATTTCATTTAACTTAATTTGAATACTATATTTTGATTAAATTAAAATTGATTAATACAGAACTAAAAAAAATATTGAAAATTGTCGTCACGAACCTCCTTTGCAGCACATACAGCGGCATCTATAAACAATGAGAGGGAAATTAACGACAACTCTGCACATGTGACTAACCTCTTTGCATTGACTGACGCGTGGTAAAATTATTTTACAATCAATGTTATACCTTTTTTTAGCCATAAATATTCGAAGTTTTCAACAATATTTATTTGGTAATACAATAAACATCAAATTAAAGAATAAACAAATTACATTGATTTGGATATAAATGAAAAATTGTTCGTTTAATTTTGAATCCTAATACGTTTAACATCGAAGAGGAAGAAAATCGAAGAGAAGGTGATTAACGTACGCAGAAAGGCGAAACTTTAAGATAAATTACTAGATTAAGCTTTTTGAGTTTTCAAGTTGTTTTCATGTGGCATAAAATTTATAAGCATTTCACATATGAAATTCTTGATAAAATAAGTCGGAACAGCCAGGTCTGACATTCGAACTACATGTACGTATGTAAATTTTAAGTGGGAAAAACAACAAATTATAACCGTTTACGTTAGATCATATAACAAGCTGAAACTTTTTTTTATTGTTATTTTTCAAACTTCCAAACAATTAATAGTCATGTGATGAAGGAAATAAACCATGGCAAAATCTTGCAAATATTTCACCTATGCTTCTAAGTATATTAGGACAGATACAAATGTAAAGTCTATACAACTGTAAATGAATTTACTGTGCAGTGATTTTCGGAGCAGAGTTGTCAAAATTTTTGATTCACTGTCAGACATTTGGTCTGACAAAGTCAAATGATCTGTTAGACTGGACAAAGTTTTGTCAGACCAGATACATGCATCTTATTTTGTACGCTGAATCCGCTGATAAAGGGAAAAAATAATAGCACAAAAATAAGATGCCTTTTAAGTTTTATGATATTAGATCTCACAAAAAATCCTATCTTATGATACAGAGTCTCTAATCAGAGACATGCTTTAACAATTTTGATCGACAATCGTCACCATACGGATGATTTCAGTGTTTTGTGGTCCTTACCTAGGCACAGCGTTTTAGAAATTTGCATTACGTTCAATGTTTTAAACGGTCGTTTGGACCACTGTTTTCTTGTATGTTATCGATCCAGAAAATTCCTTACCCACCTTGCCGACAAGACTGGGTGTTTTTGATAACTCTGCAGATAAAAATTACTTATAAAGAAAGAACTAAATGTGTGACAATTTCAGATGACATTAATTTTTAATCCTTAATTTCATGAATTTATCAGCATTTAATGGGTCACGTGTACAACACTAGTACTGAACTTGAAAAATGTGTGTTACATTAATTAATGCATTTCAACATGTCTGCATATAAAAGTGTATTGCAGTAGTACGTTATCATAAAAAAATGTTTCATTTGATTTTATTAATAAAAACAATTAAAATGAATGAATGCATGCATGTGCGGACACAATGGCTTATTAAGACCAGTGATCGATATGTGAGAAAGATCGATCCTCATAATTACAACAGTTTTATTTCTTGCAGTAGCTCGTTAAACTACATCTGATTTTTAAAAAAAATCAAAACAGATTCAAGTCGATCGTTTTAATTCATTGAAAGTTTGAAAAACTTGTCAAGCTCAGCTACATGTATATAGTTTACCTGAAATTCAATTACACTGAAATTTGTATCAAATTAAAATCATAAATAGTAAATGTCACTCGCGTCGCACAGTTGTTCAAAATCGTTTGCTCTAGAGATTCAAAGTAAGGTGTTAATCATTACGTCGTGGGTTCGAATCCCACTGCGGTATGCATTTAGAAACGGACCCTTCGGATGAGACCGTATAAACCGAGATCCCATTTTGCAGTAGGTGCTGGCACCTCCAAAAAAAATCCCTCACTGCTCAATGGTTCTGAGTGTCCTGTATAGGTAAAAAATTGCAGCCCTAGCCTCCATTGGCAAATGGTAGTGTCTCTTTATGAGTAAAGTTCTCGAAGAGATGTAAAACAAACAAACAAAAGGCAAAGTATTCAGAGATACTTACTTCTATATAGAAATTTCTTGACATGAAATTAAAAATTATGGGATTTAAAAAAAATACATAATGATTGAGTTATAAAGATGAAAAAATTTTGATAGAAAATTTAAATACAGAAATTCTATAAAAATTAATTATTGTGTCCGAAAAGAACCAGTTATACCCAAAAGATAATATCAACTGCTTGTTCCAATCGGAGGAAGAAAAAAATGACAATTTAGTATCTGGTGATGGTAACATTGAAAATAAAAAGTGCCAGTTGGTTGTTGGCACCAAGGATCTTGTACATATTCAGAAGAGAGTAGGGAGGGCGTTGTGCTTCAAATGCTTTCATAGGTATTTTAAATAAATTATCAATGTTCGAAAAATTAAAGAAAGGAGCCCAGAAGATAAAGATTTTATTTTCAGAAATTGGGATGAGCTGTATCAGCATGTCCATTAATATTTTACTGATTCATATATTACATCCAAATGACTTAAAAAGTTACGTTTGTTTTGAGAAAACTTTGCTGCAATAGAACCATTAGAATGCAAACCATTCAAAGTTGTGTTGATTCAGTTTGCTTAACAAATTAAGACCGCGGAACATTAACTGGCCAAATTGGAAATATGCAACTTACGTCATCTCCATCTGTTACCGTCAAAATGTTAAACGATAAACAATGAAATGGGTGGGTACAATTTGACACGGACGTCCGAGAAAACATTGGATTGAAATTCATTTTCAATCCACCTTAGCTACGCAAGAATGTACGGTGTTACTGATTGACCAAGAAGACAAATAATTTCAATTTTGGAATAGTTTGAAATTTATATAAATCAGAATTTTCTGTCCAGTGTATTTAAAGAAATATAAAGGGACAATTATTTGATTTCTGTTTGGTATGTGAATGTGTGTGCTGGGAGGGAGGGGGCTGAACGATCTTGGAATAAATATGAAAATTTTCTTTTAAATTGACAACCCCTCCCCGCTTTTGTTTGTCAAACAGTTTTCAGTGAAGAAAAACTAAAAAAAAAAAAGCTTTTGTCATCCTAGAAATAAATACATTCTATCATGTGGAGGCATGATCTGACTCGACAATTTTTGACCCCCTCCCCTTTTAGAATCAAATGGCCGTCCCGTGAAAAAGTAATCTCTGTCTTCTTTTACTTTTACGTATCCTTAAAATTATATGCTAAGTACTCATATAAATATGAATGTCAAACAACATGTATTTGGGAATTGAAATTATTTGTCTTTTGGATCATACATTCACACTTTAGGTTTGAAAACAGCTCAGGTGGATTGAAAATGAATTTCAATCCAATGTTTTCTCGGACGTCCGTGTTGAATTGTACCCGCCCATTTCATTGTCTCTCATTAAACATTCTGATTGTAACAGATGGATAAATGACGTAAGCTGCATATTTCTAATTTCGCCAGTTAATGTTCTGCACTCTTATATTATATGGATCCTATGTGAGAATTGGCTAAAAATTAATTTGGGATATTTAATGAATTAAATAAATTGGGGTTTAAGATGAATGTATGTGTACAGGAAAAAAATCTTCATAATTGCAAGACATTGTTATTAATATTGTGTAGATTTAGAGACCCCTCAGAGTTTGATATCGCCATATTAATTTATGCTGACATTTTTTTTCATGACAGGCACGTAGCATAGGGGAGGGGGAGGGGTCTGCCCCCTTTTTTTTCCAAACATGAAATTTATAAAAATTTAATATTGTGAATGTTCACTGAAAGTCCGTCCCCCTACTATTTGTTGCAGAATATTCAAATAGGGGTGATGTAGTAGTGTATGAGTAAAATTTGATACTGAAAGAAGTTTGAAACCTATCCCCACACCCAAAAAATAGAATTTTTTCGAGGTCCCCTCTTTCAAAAACGATGCTACGTCCCTGCATGGGAATATTAAGTGGTAAAAGTTTTTGAAAATCTGAATAAGAACAACACGGTTAAAGTCATTAAAGTTACTCAGGTGAGTATTGTGCCCCATGATCTTCGTTATTCAAATGTTTTTGAAATTATTTCTTATGTTTGATGTTGTATCTCTATCAAATCTGCAATAGTTGACATGTATCTAAAGCATGAAAAAATGTTTCGACATTATAGCTCCTTTACTTCCTGTTAAATCTTTCACATTACAATGTTCAACTCCCATGAGTACTTTCAGTACTTTGATTCTTTTAAGATGATTCCAACGATAGAGCAATGGAAGCACAGGAAGAGGAAGTCCCCCAGACTACCCAGTCTGCCTCCATCTCCACCCCCACTGTTCTGTTTGGACAGAGAGGGCCCTTTACCATGGAGAGACAAACATCCATGAACAGACAACTGGCACCTTTTATTCTGGGTGTAGGTTTACTTCTCATTTTTATTTTTTTAAAACAAATATTGTTTTTAGATTATTGATAAAAAAAAACCCAGATTTTTTTACAATGAGATTTTGTAATTTTTTCATACACTCTATGTAGTTTCTGTCAAAACTTTGGTAAATTTTGTTGATCTGGTGCAGGGGCAAACTGGCACATTTGAGGAAGGGGAAGATGGAATTGTCCCCAGTACCCCTACACTGTTTGTCCCAAACAGAGGAGATGGCTATGCAGAAGTTGTCAGGTATAGTTTGTTATCCTGTGTGACTGTATAGTATAAGTCCTACAGCCTTTAAAAAAAAAATAAAGAAAATAATGAAATCTCTTTATTAGATCACATGGCAGGAAATACATGTAAATGACAGGTACAAGTATGTTTTTGAAGCCTTTCTTTTACAAAAAGATGACGTTTTAGATGTATTTCACTTCCTCACTTTCCACCTTCTGTATGTAATTGTATATAATAATGTATTTCTTCAGTTGTATGTGTGCACAGTGTATGTACATGTCTATATATGTAATGTTTCAGCTCCCCCAGAATTTCTAATCAGAGGTTTACATTTGGAGCACTCAGTGAGTCTACTTTAGCTCAGCCAGAGCTGGGAGAACTGGCTTCTCAAGGAGGTAGGGCTTTTTCAAATTTTAATGATTTTTGTCATGAACCATAAAGATTGTTTATACCTATACTTAATACATGTATTTATATCTGCATGCAATTGTGTGTAACTGATAACGTGTGTGTATAGCTCTTGGAGGTATGGAGAGTACCAGCATGGACCTGTCTGAGTTAGATGAGGGGACAGGACGCAGTGTCCCCAGCACCCCCCTGAGGACAACAGCACCAGTCCCAGTCATCAGTGAAGCAGCCATAGCATCAGCCCTCAACCCCCAGGCTACAGCCACAAGCTCAGCAGGGGAGACAACAACAGCTCAACCTGACATGGAAGAAACTCAGGAGGAAGTCAGTGTGGAGGAAGGGTATGTCTGATGAGTTTCTGTTGGGATGGGATGGGGAAGTGTGGAGTAGGGGTACATCTTAATGTCTGTTGGAGGGGATTTGGTGGGATGGGAAAGTGTGGAGTAGGGGGTACATCTTAATGAATATCTGTTGGGATGGGATTTGATGGGATGGGGAAGTGTGGAGTAGGGGTACATCTTAATGAGTATCTGTTGGGATGGGATTTGGTGGGATGGGGAAGTGTGGAGTAGGGGTACATCTTAATGAGTATCTGTTGGGATGGGATTTGGTGGGATGGGAAAGTGTGGAGTAGGGGTACATCTTAATGAGTATCTGTTGGGATGGGATTTAATGGGATGGGGAAGTGTGGAGTAGGGGTACATCTTAATGAGTATCTGTTGGGATGGGATTTGGTGGGATGGGGAAGTGTGGAGTAGGGGTACATCTTAATGAGTATCTGTTGGGATGGGATTTGGTGGGATCGGGAAGTGTGGATAGGGGTACATCTTAATGAGTATCTGTTGGGATGGGGAAGTGTGGAGTAGGGGTACATTTTAATGAGTATCTGTTGGGATGGGATTTGGTGGGATGGGGAAGTGTGGAGTAGGGGTACATCTTAATGAGTATCTGTTTGGATGGGATTTGGTGGAATGGGGAAGTGTGGATAGGGGTACATCTAGGGTTGGATACCGTGGGATGGGGAAGTGTGGAGTAGGGGTACATCTTAATGAGTATCTGTTGGGATGGGATTTGGTGGGATCGGGAAGTGTGGATAGGGGTACATCTTAATGAGTATCTGTTGGGATGGGGAAGTGTGGAGTAGGGGTACATTTTAATGAGTATCTGTTGGGATGGGATTTGGTGGGATGGGGAAGTGTGGAGTAGGGGTACATCTTAATGAGTATCTGTTTGGATGGGATTTGGTGGAATGGGGAAGTGTGGATAGGGGTACATCTAGGGTTGGATACCGTTAAGGATGAAACGGTACGATACCAAACCGGTATTTTTGAAATGATACGGTATTTTTAACGATACGGTACTATGCATTGATGAATGAGAATGAGGGTTCATTTTATAACAAATGTGCTTTCACCATTCACTAACCTTTCAATGATATAATCTAAAATGAGCTTATAAACTGTGTTCCATGCTTTTAGGAGATAACAAAAGATATTCCTAATATTCAAATTACAAACATTTCAGTCGCCCGCGTGGCGCAGTGGTTGGAGCGTCTGCTCTAGAGTCGCGAAGTAAGGAGTTGATCCTTACTTCGCGGGTTCGAATCCCACTATGGGACGTGGAGACCGGTCCTTCGGACGAGACCGTACAAACCGAGGTCCCGTGTCGCAGTAGGTGTTGGCACGAAAAAGATCCCTCACTGCTCAGTGGCCGTAAGTGCCGAGCATAGGACAAAATTTGCAGCTCTCCACCGGCAAGTGGTGGCGTCTCCATATGAGTGAAAAATTCTCGAGAGGGACGTTAAACAACATACAAACAAACAAACATTTCATTTCAACCTTTTAATAATGATCAACAAAACAAATCAATTGAATCACAAACAAATTAATTTGCACAAATCGGCTGACTGCTTCACACGGTTGTCAGGACCCCTTTCGTTTGGTCTCACTAAATGATGAAACATTAGATAATGGATAGATCACATTTTTTGCGACATTTTGCCTTTTTAATTTACATTTATTATCAGTTTTTATTTGTAAAATTAAAATAAGATTCATGTGAATGTATTTTGATTTAAAAAAAAAAATTGATTGATTTACCTCGAATATCGGCAGTCAAAAGTAGGTATCGTTCTAAGAATCCATTTCGTTACATGTAATTAGCCTACCCTTTCAATGAGTGGAGAATTCGATTTTTGCAAGTTTGGAATCGTTTTTTTTAAAATCAAATTGAATGTATTAAAATGTTTTAAGATTAGGAAGTACCGTTATTAGTACTGGTATTAAATGAAACGGTATTTTACCAGTATTTTTGAAGTAACTATTCGGTACGATATTGGTACTGAGTACCGGTATCCAACCCTATGTACATCTTAATGAGTATCTGTTGGGATAGGATTTGGTGGGATGGGGAAGTGTGGAGTAGGGGTACATTTTATGAGTATGAGTATCTGTTGGGATGGGATTTGATGGGATGGGGATGTGTGAATTACGGGTACATCTTAATGAGTATCTGTTGGGATGGGATTTGGTGGGATGGGGAAGTGTGAAGTAGGGGTACATCTTAATGAGTATCTGTTGGGATCAGATTTGATGGGATGGGGAAGTGTGGAGTAGGGGTACATTTTAATGAATATCTGTTGGGATGGGATTTGATGGGATGGGGAAGTGTGGAGGAGGGGTACATCTTAATGAGTATCTGTTGGGATGGGATTTGATGGGATGGGAAAGTGTGAAGTAGGGGTACATCTTAATGAGTATCAGTTGGGATCGGATTTGATGGGGTGGGGAAGTGTGGAATAGGGGTACATCTTAATGAGTATCAGTTGGGATCGGATTTGATGGGATAGGGAAGTAAAAGTCATATAGAAAGGAATTAGGTTTGATTTATCAGATCTCAGGATGGTTATGGATGTAATAGTCCTGTATTCCCAGAATTTTGTTACCTACAAAAAAAGACAGAAAATCAACAAGTTCCTATAATCTAATTTAAAAAATAAATAAAATAAAGATTATACTTCATAAAGGTTGATTATTGCGTGGTATTTTTTATGTTTAGGTCAGGAGAGCAAGCAGAACCTGAATTATCAACAGAAGTAACTGAGACAACAGAAGGAGAAGTCACAACCTCCGCTGGTGAGTTGTCCAAATCCCAACAAAAAGTCACAACCTCCGCTGGTGATTTGTCCAAATCCTAACAAAAAGTCACAACCTCCGCTGGTGAGTTGTCTAAATCCTAACATATAGTCACAACCTCCGCTGGTGAGTTGTCCAAATCCTAACATATAGTCACAACCTCTGCTGGTGAGTTGTCCAAATCCTAACAAAAAGTCACAACCTCCGCTGGTGAGTTGTCCAAATCCTAATAGTCACAACCTCCCCTGGTGAGTTGTCCAAATCCTAACAAAAAATCACAACGTCCGCTGGTGAGTTGTCTAAATCCTAACATATAGTCACAACCTCCGCTGGTGAGTTGTCTAAATCCTAACATATAGTCACAACCTCCGCTGGTGAGTTGTCCAAATCCTAACAAATAGTCAGAACCTCTGCTGGTGAGTTGTCCAAATCCTAACAAAAAATCACAACCTCCGCTGGTGAGTTGTCCAAATCCTAATAGTCACAACCTCTGCTGGTGAGTTGTCCAAATCCTAACAAAAAGTCACAACCTCCGCTGGTGAGTTGTCCAAATCCTAACAAAAAGTCACAACCTCCGCTGGTGAGTTGTCTAAATCCTAACATATAGTCACAACCTCCGCTGGTGAGTTGTCCAAATCCTAACAAAAAGTCACAACCTCCCCTGGTGAGTTGTCCAAATCCTAATAGTAACAACCTCCCCTGGTGAGTTGTCCAAATCCTAATAGTCACAACCTCTGCTGGTGAGTTGTCCAAATCCTAACAAATAGCCACAACCTCCGCTGGTGAGTTGTCCAGATCCTAACAAAAAGTTTCATAGGTCAGTGAATGTTCTAGTGAATATATGAAGAAGTCATATATTCTAAATCTGCTGAATGAAATTTATCTAGGTAACAGTTTAGTAGTCAAAGTTAGCATCAGACATATAAATACAAGGTAAGGCAGAATCATTGACAGTGGTTATTGATACATATAAGTATGTACCTGACCAGAATTAGTTAAAAAGAATACGATTCAACAAGATTACATAAGATATACATGTAGTAGGGTGATTTATTTACAGTTGGTACAGTTAAGTGTCTGACTGAATTTTAGGTGAAACAGCTGGGGACACAACAGAACAAGAAAAAGAAGGTGCAGGTGCACTAAGAGAAGAGGAACCGAGCACTTCACAAGAAAAGACAGAAGTTATAGGTAGGTATTCCATTCCAACACTACAGTAATAGGTAAGTATTACATTCTAACACTTCACAAGAAGATAGAAGTTATAGGTAAGTATTACATTCCAACACTTCACAAGAAGATAGAAGTTATAGGTAGGTATAACAGTCTAACACTTCACAAGAAGATAGAAGTTATAGGTAGGTATTACATTCTAACACTTTACAAGAAGATAGAAGTTATAGGTAGGTATAACATTCCAACACTTCACAAGAAGATAGAAGTTATAGGTAGGTATTACATTCTAACACTTCACAAGAAGATAGAAGTAATAGGTAGGTATAACAGTCTAACACTACACAAGAAGATAGAAGTTATAGGTAGGTATAACAGTCTAACACTTCACAAGAAGATAGAAGTTATAGGTAGGTATAACATTCTAACACTTCACAAGAAGATAGAAGTTATAGGTAGGTATTACATTCTAACACTTTACAAGAAGATAGAAGTAATAGGTAGGTATTACATTCTAACACTTCACAAGAAGATAGAAGTTATAGGTAGGTATTACATTCTAACACTTCACAAGAAGATAGAAGTAATAGGTAGGTATTACATTCTAACACTACACAAGAAGATAGAAGTAATAGGTAAGTATTACATTCTAACACTACACAAGAAGATAGAAGTAATAGGTAGGTATTACATTCTAACACTTCACAAGAAGATAGAAGTAATAGGTAAGTATTACATTCCAACACTTCACAAGAAGATAGAAGTAATAGGTAGGTATAACATTCCAACACTTCACAAGAAGATAGAAGTTACAGGTAGGTATAACATTCTAACACTTCACAAGAAGATAGAAGTTATAGGTAGGTATAACATTCTAACACTTTACAAGAAGATAGAAGTTATAGGTAGGTATTACATTCTAACACTTCACAAGAAGATAGAAGTTATAGGTAGGTATTACATTCTAACACTACACAAGAAGATAGAAGTAATAGGTAAGTATTACATTCTAACACTACACAAGAAGATAGAAGTAATAGGTAGGTATTACATTCTAACACTTCACAAGAAGATAGAAGTAATAGGTAAGTATTACATTCCAACACTTCACAAGAAGATAGAAGTAATAGGTAGGTATAACATTCCAACACTTCACAAGAAGATAGAAGTTACAGGTAGGTATAACATTCTAACACTTCACAAGAAGATAGAAGTTATAGGTAGGTATAACATTCTAACACTTTACAAGAAGATAGAAGTTATAGGTAGGTATTACATTCTAACACTTCACAAGAAGATAGAAGTTATAGGTAGGTATTACATTCTAACACTACACAAGAAGATAGAAGTTATAGGTAAGTATTACATTCTAACACTACACAAGAAGATAGAAGTTATAGGTAGGTATAACAGTCTAACACTTCACAAGAAGATAGAAGTTATAGGTAAGTATTACATTCTAACACTATACAAGAAGATAGAAGTAATAGGTAGGTATTACATTCCAACACTTCACAAGAAGATAGAAGTAATAGGTAGGTATTACATTCTAACACTACACAAGGAGATAGAAGTAATAGGTAGGTATTACATTCTAACACTTCACAAGAAGATAGAAGTGATAGGTAGGTATTACATTCTAACACTACACAAGAAGATAGAAGTAATAGGTAGGTATTACATTCTAACACTACACAAGAAGATAGAAGTAATAGGTAGGTATTACATTCTAACACTACACAAGAAGATAGAAGTTATAGGTAGGTATAACATTCTAACACTTCACAAGAAGATAGAAGTTATAGGTAGGTATTACATTCCAACACTACACAAGAAGATAGAAGTAATAGGTAGGTATTACATTCCAACACTACACAAGAAGATAGAAGTAATAGGTAGGTATAACAGTCTAACACTACACAAGAAGATAGAAGTAATAGGTAGGTATTACATTCTAACACTTCACAAGAAGATAGAAGTAATAGGTAAGTATTACATTCCAACACTTCACAAGAAGATAGAAGTAATAGGTAGGTATAACATTCCAACACTTCACAAGAAGATAGAAGTTACAGGTAGGTATAACATTCTAACACTTCACAAGAAGATAGAAGTTATAGGTAGGTATAACATTCTAACACTTTACAAGAAGATAGAAGTTATAGGTAGGTATTACATTCTAACACTTCACAAGAAGATAGAAGTTATAGGTAGGTATTACATTCTAACACTACACAAGAAGATAGAAGTTATAGGTAGGTATTACATTCTAACACTACACAAGAAGATAGAAGTTATAGGTAGGTATAACAGTCTAACACTTCACAAGAAGATAGAAGTTATAGGTAAGTATTACATTCTAACACTATACAAGAAGATAGAAGTAATAGGTAGGTATTACATTCCAACACTTCACAAGAAGATAGAAGTAATAGGTAGGTATTACATTCTAACACTACACAAGAAGATAGAAGTAATAGGTAGGTATTACATTCTAACACTTCACAAGAAGATAGAAGTGATAGGTAGGTATTATATTCTAACACTACACAAGAAGATAGAAGTAATAGGTAGGTATTACATTCTAACACTACACAAGAAGATAGAAGTAATAGGTAGGTATTACATTCTAACACTACACAAGAAGATAGAAGTTATAGGTAGGTATAACATTCTAACACTTCACAAGAAGATAGAAGTTATAGGTAGGTATTACATTCCAACACTACACAAGAAGATAGAAGTTATAGGTAGGTATTACATTCCAACACTACACAAGAAGATAGAAGTAATAGGTAGGTATAACAGTCTAACACTACACAAGAAGATAGAAGTAATAGGTAGGTATTACATTCTAACACTACACAAGAAGATAGAAGTAATAGGTAGGTATTACATTCTAACACTACACAAGAAGATAGAAGTAATAGGTAGGTATTACATTCTAACACTACACAAGAAGATAGAAGTATAACATTCTAACACTACACAAGAAGATAGAAGTAATAGGTAGGTATTACATTCTAACACTTCACAAGAAGATAGAAGTAATAGGTAGGTATTACATTCTAACACTACACAAGAAGATAGAAGTAATAGGTAGGTATTACATTCTAACACTACACAAGAAGATAGAAGTAATAGGTAAGTATTACATTCTAACACTACACAAGAAGATAGAAGTAATAGGTAGGTATTACATTCTAACACTACACAAGAAGATAGAGGTAAAGGTTAGGTATTCCATTATAACACTTCATTTCAGGAATCACAGCATTCCCAAAAGTGAAAGTTATAAAATTGATCGATATTTAATATTAAAAAGTTTAGAAATGTTTTTACAATGGCCAGATCCTTTGTTTTTCAGTTTGTTACACTTATAATTTTCAGTGAAAATTTATAGATCAAGAGCAAGTAAGAAATTGTATGCATGACAATTAATATGTATTTTTAAGTCACCTGAGTCACTCAGGTGGCCTATTGCTATCTTTTTTCGTCTGTCGTAGTCTGTCATGCGTTTACTTTTTAACATTTTCAACTTCTTCTCCAAAACTGCTAAACCAATTCAATTAGCATCTATGGGTGAAGGGGATTAAAAGTTGTGAATTTCATGGTCCCTGTCCCCCTTGGGCCTGAGGGGTGGGGCTAAAACCACCAAAATTGATGCAATCTTTAAAAATCTTCTTCTTTACTCCTTTACTCCTGGACACCAAGCAGTCAAACTGTTGGCATGATTGTAATAAGCATTGGGCCCTCTACCAAAATTGTGAAATTCATGGCCCCAGGGTCCGAGGTTCTGGTGCTCGGGTGGGGCTATATTATATATATGTAGATCATATAGTGAAAGTGCCTTATTTTTTTTTAAATATTCTTCTCTTCTCCAGGGTATAATTTAAACAAACTAAGTGCATGGTTATGATAAGCAATGATGCCTTTTCTAAAATTGTGAATTTCATGGCCCCTGGGTCAGGGGTTCTGATGTTAGGGTGGGGCTCTATTGATTATATAGTAAAAATGCATTAATTCTTTGAAAATCTTCTTCTCTGCTCCTGGGTATTATTTAAACAAACTAAATGCATGATTATAATCAGCTGTGATGCCTTTTCAAAAATTGAAATTCATGGCCCCAGGTTTTTATGACGTCGAGCTCTTGGAGCTCGAACGTCATCTAGCGATCGGCCAAGTGAAATCGCCAAGGGATGTACGCGACCGAATGTGTCAGTGGATGCATCCGCAATAGAAAATAGCAATAGCTATAAACCAATTTCTTTTAAAACGCTCACAATGAATAATTATAGCTTGAAAATGAAATTGCATCAATTGTATCTACAATTAATTCTTTTACAAAACAACGATATTATGTTTTATTTTCACACAATAAAAACATGATGGTTGTTGCGGATGAATTTCTACAGAAAGGTGCGTCGAATGACATGAATAACATTTTGGAACGATAACCGTGGAACACAAACAACCCAACAGGCGGTAAAATAATTTACAAAATTACATAAACACGAATACTATAAGACTGAAAAGATTGAATTTGTAAATCTTAGCTTTACTTTTACAATCTTCTGACCAACTTTATCCTAAAAACCGATGATGTTGACCAGTATTACTGTATTTCTCAATTTCCTCCAATATACCACCCCCTATCGTAACTCGATCGTACTTGTAACAGAGCAGAGTCATGGTTGTAGTTTAGATGCAATCACCAAAACAACGCTTTGACATTGGCAATTAGAAAGAATAATATATAAATTCATGAAGTCCTTCATAGTTCTTCAATTGACTGAAAAGATAGTAGTTTGATATTTAGCATGAACATGTTCGACGGTGTCTGGTCAATTCGAACCCTGCTCCATTCGGACCATGACATAAGGCCCCCGACTGTAATTGTGACATTTTGTTTAAAACTATTTTTTTATTATTATTATTATGTCACCTGAGTCACTCACTCGACCTATTGCTATCTTCAGATTCTTTTGAAATTATTTTTCTTGTTCGACGTCATTGAAGCCTTTCAGGCTTTTGATTTTTTTTTGGGGGGGGGGGGGGGGGGCTCTATTGATAACATAGTGAAAAAGCATAATTTCTTTGATAATATAGTGAAAATGCATTATTTCGGTCAAATAATCCTGTCTGTCCCTTATTGTTGAGCAAATAAATAAAGTGCATAGTTATGTTGAACAAATGTGCTTCTTACAATTTTTTTAAAAACTTGTGACCCCAGGTTTTGGTGTTTCGCAAGGTGGGGGGGGGGGGGGACTATATTGATGATATAGTGAAAATGTGTTAATTCTTTGAAAATCTTCAACTGAGTGCATAGTTTTGATAATGACGATACCTCTACCAAATTTGTGAATATCATGACCCTGGGACATGGGTTTTAGTGTTAGAATAGGGCTGTGTTGAATCTGTAGTGAAAATGCATTATTTCTTTGAAAATCTTCTCTGCTCCTTGGCAAATCGAAGGCAAACAGAATAAATGTTTTAATAAGCAAGGATGTTTTTACCAGATTTTTGAACATCAGGACCATTTGGTCAAGTGTTCTGGTCCTGGCCAGCGCTCTATTAATTTGCATTCTACTGAGAGAAGTTATTCCCCTTTGCCATTCACTTTTGATAATTAATCACTGTAAATAATGTATTTGAAAGTCCATTGACTAAGATAATTATGCAAAAAATGATATTGTATAATGCAAAAATTACTTTCACCGTTTTAATGATCAGGTAGACTTGTAAATAATAAATAAATCAAAATGAGACAAAAATAACTTATATCGTTAATTGTTCTTCAAAGACCAAGAGTGGCCAATGTTAGAGGTCACAACATGGAATTAAAAGTGGTATAGAAGATTGAACTACATGTAATACATGTAGTTAATTGTCTGCATTGCAATAGTGATAAATGGGGGATAGATTAGAACTTAATTCATGTGTTGTTACTGAATACTTGACTAATTATTTCATTGATCCTGATCATCCTATTTCTCTTGCTTTTGGGCAATAAAGCTTCATCTATAAGTTTATTTTATACTTTATGGATCCTCTAAATTGTTGTATTATACTAAGGTGACCATTAGGGCCCTTGGGCCTCTTGTTTGTTTTCTGTTTTTAGCTCACCTGAGCCGAAGGCTCAAGTGAGCTTTTCTGATCGAAATTTGTCCGTTGTCTGTCGTCGTTGTTGTTGGCGTTGTTGTAGTAAACTTTTCACATTTTCATCTTCTTCTCCAGAACTACTGGGCCAATTTCAACCAAACTTGCCACAAAGCATCCATGGGTAAAGGGGATTCAAATTTGTTCAAATGAAGGGCCACGCTCTCTTTCAAGGGGAGATAATAGAGAATTTGTGAAAAATTAATAGCATCTTTTAAAAATCTTCTTCTCAAGAACCACAGGGCCAGGAAAGATGAAACTCATGTGGAAGCATCCTCAGGTAGTGTAGATTCAAGTTTGTTCAAATCATGACCCCCGGGGGTAGGGTGGGGCCACAATGGAGGATCAAAGTTTTACATAGAAATATATAGGAAAAACCTTTAAAAATCTTCTTCTCAAGAACAGCAAAGCCATGATGAGTCATATTTTTATGGAAGCATCCTCAGGTAGTGTAGATTCAAATTTGTTCAAATTATGACCCCCGGGGATAGGGTGGGGCCACAATGGAGGATCAAAGTTTTACTTAGAAATATAAAGGAAAAATCTTTAAAAGTCTTCTTCTCAAGAACAGCAAAGCCATGATGAGTTAAATTTTATATGGAAGCATCCTCAGGTAGTGTAGATTCAAATTTGTTCAAATTATGACCCCCGGGGGTAGGGCGGGGCCACAATGGACTATCAAAATTTAACATTGATATATTTAGGAAAAATCTTTAAAAAATCTTCTTCTCAGGAACAGGAAAGCCCTGATTGGTCATATTTAATTTTATATGGAAGCATCCTCAGGTAGTGTAGATTCAAATTTATTCAAATTATGACCCCTGGGGGTAGGGTGGGGCAACAATGGAGGATCAAATTTTTACATAGAAATATATAGGAAAAACCTTTAAAAATCTTCCTCTCAAGAACAGCAAAGCCCTGATTGATCATATTTATGTGGAAGCATCCTCAGGTAGTGTAGATTGTATTGTTCAAATCATGACCCCTGGGGGGTAGGATGGGGCAACAATGGAGGATCAAAGTCTTAAATAGAAATATCTAGGAAAATATCTTCTTCTGAAGAACTACAAAGCCATGATCATAAGTCATTTTGATAAGGAAGCATCCTTAGGTATAGTGTAAATTCAATTTTGTTCAAATGATGACCCCCGGGGGGTAGGGTGGGGCCCAATGGGGGATTGAAAATTTTACATAGGAACATTTAGGAAAATATCTTCTTATCAAGAACTGAAAATCATGTTAAGTCATTTTGATATGGAAGCATCCTCAGGTAGTGTAAATTCAATTTTGTTCAAATGATGACCCCCGGGGCAGTGGTGTATCCAGGAATTTCATAAAAGGGGGGGGGGGCAGTAGAGGCATTGGGTCTGGGGGCTGCATTGAAGCCTCCAGTGGGTCTAGAGCAAGGCCCTGGTGGGGGTCCGGGAAGCTGATGAATTCTTACAAAGAAGAGATGTTTTTTCCTTGATTTTAGGATAATGGACATATAAGTTCTATATAAAAAAATTAAAACGGGGGGCGCACGCCCGGCTTGCCGGCCCTGGATCCGCCTTTGCAGGGGTAGGGTGGAGCCCAATGGGGGATCGAAAGTTTTACATAAGAACATATAGAAGAAATATTTCTTCTCAAGAACAGAAAAACTATGTTTAGTCATATTGATATGGAAGCATCCTCAGGTAGTGTAGATTCAAGTTTGTTCAAATGATGACCCCTGGGATAGGGAGGAGCCACAATGGGGGATCAAATTTTTACAAAGGAATATATGGGAATTTTTAAAAAAAATCTTTTCAAGTACAACAAAGCCATTTGTTAAATTGACATGGAAGGTTCCGGTTGTTTAAAATTCAAGCCCCCCCCCGCCCCCCCCAAGGTAATCTTTTCAATACTGAACTGATTTGTACTTTTGCCTAACCAATGTGCTCAGGTGAGCGATGTGGCCCATGGGCCTCTTGTTTGGTTGTTTTTTGTTTTTTTTTGGACATTTCTTCATTTTCTTTGTTAACTTCAGTTCTGCACAAGAAATGTGCATGCATTGATAAATTGGTTTAGTAAGGTTACATACATTATGAGTGGCATTACTTGCAAGGGCTCCCTGCTTTATTTTTCTCTCAGTTTCAGTTCATTAGAGTAGTGGTACATGTACTACTTTTTTTTCTATAAAAATCTGTAATTTTAGATTGTTATACAGCATATTTTTTTAAATTGTTTATCTCTTAAGATTATAAAGTTTTTTAACTTTCATCAATTAAGACCATAGATAATTCTTTGAATCTGTGTTTGTTTCTTTTTTAGAAAAGCCAAAGATCCAGCCTATTGTATGGGAGGGATCTCCTACATCCTCTGGCCAGCAGACAAGGGGTCGCCCCATCAGTACTCGTGGGACCCCACAGAGGGGCCAGCTACAGAATAGGGGGAATCGTGGGGGCATGTTCCAGAGGGGACGGGGTGCAATACAGAGAGCAAGGGGGACTGGCAGAGGTAACCGAGGAGGGGCCTACAGATCACCAAACATGTTCTGATCAGGAGGTCAAGGCAAGGGGAAATCTGATGATTGGAGACAATTTCTGTAAACTGAGACAGGCTGTTAATGTAATCATGTGTATGACATGTTCTTTGTTTTTGGAAAAAGTAAATGTCATTTACGAACATCAAACAGAATCTGATCATGAGGAAAATGTGTTCATGTTTCTCAAGGTACACTGATCACCAACTGTAATTCCATAGCAGTAATCATGTCGTTTGTTATTCTGTTGTACATGTGACTTAAGCTTTAATAAATGGCCTGAGCTGACTTGATAGAAGATTGAAGAAGAAAAAGTTTTTGTTAAAGACTGTATGAGATCCATATACATGTATGCATGTGTGGATCGGAAAGGGGGGGGGGGGGGGGTCATACCCACTAATAAAAAGTTTCTTTCCTTCATATATATATATCATTGACTCTCCTTACTATTTAACTGGGGTCAAGCAATGTTTTCTAGGAGTGGAGGGTCCAAGGTAATCTTTTCCTTACTTTATTACACAAAGAAGAAGGTATGGTTTTGGCTTTATTGTGCCCTAAAAATTTAATGTTTTCAAAAAGTTTTGAGAGTATATGAGTGTGATAATTCATGAAAGAATATGGCATTAAAGAGGACCATTCTACAAATATGAAGTCATTACTTTTGTACATTGTATTTTTCTAATTTTTAAGCAGAAAAAGCCTCAAAATGACTTTTTTCAGGGGGTATATTCCTTGAAAAAAATAGTGTCCACAGCCATCACCCACTTCAATATTCAGATATGTTGTGTAAAATTCTTTGAAAAATCAAAATTCTCAAAATCTTTAGGGGCGATGCATGTGGTCTTTATTATCTAAAAGAAAATTTCATTGAAAATTGATGTCTTCTGCAACTTTTTAAGAAAATACAGGAAAATGTCCAAGTTTATGATGTCACTTAACAATTTAGGAAGTCAAATAAGAAAAATGATTTGTTTGATCATAGTGCATGGGGTTTTAACATTTCAGAAAGCATGAATTTTAATTTCTTTCATATTTTAGATAAATACAGGGCCAGATTTGTATTGAAACTGTACCTTGTTCTGTGAAAATCTGGACTGGGTGGGTGTCAAGACCTGACCCCCCCCCCCCCCCCCCTTCTGGATCTGTGCATGTGTATGGATTGAAATTATTTAAAGTGCTACAAAAAATAAAAAATTATCATCCAGATGAAAATTTTGTTGTGTTCAGTGATGTGTGCAGTCTAAGACCGTGAGTATGTTGTTAAAAAATAAATATCAAAAACCAGCTCCTGATTTGTTTCCATTTCATACAATGACAGAGGCACCTGTACTATTTATAGGATAAGAATGACATCTTGCATTATTACAATTGTGGACAATTTTTCCCCACCCATTTCTAAAAGGCATGATACCCGTAAAAGGGATTGGGCCAGACTGGGGGAGCTTTTTAGGGCAAAGTTTTTGTCACTGAATTGGAGATAAAGTACAAATTTAAAACTGATGATTTACACTTTTATTTTCTGTTATGTACAACATCACCTATAAAGCACTACCAAAGATAAACCACTGAAACACTGTAATACAGGTATTTGCTTTCTATGCAAAATGACTTGTAAATATTTCACATGCACACTTTTCCAGCCTCGTCAGACACAAGTAACTAAACACACAGTAGATTGGGCAGAAAATGTATTATATGAGCTTTACCAAAGATTTGCTTAATTTTTGGTAATGCAGTAATAACAATAATGAAAGACGTGTCAAATGTATATAAAGAGAGTGCACCCAGTAAAAGTGAAGATCAGGACAAACACAGAAAAGTTGTTCAACTTTATATCTTCAATACTTGTATCCCATAAATCATTTTAATATATAAATAATTCAATGCAATAAACTGTCCAATAGTTTAAATTCCATGATCACATGATATTTGTCTTAAAATACTGATAGCGTAAAACATGCTTGACCTAGATTCATATTGTAAAAAATGCACTTGGATTTTCCCGAAAATTATGCCAAGACGTGTGACTTTTCCCTCTGAATTCCAGTTAGGGTTAAATTCCTCTCTAGAGCAGTCTGGGGGCGGATCTGAAGCTTTTTACGAACATCCATGCATTTATTGTCCAAATTGAGTGAATTAATTTTCTGAGCAAGATCATCATTTATCCTGTGTAGGTTTTGTTCTAGTCCATCCAAGGCATGTCTGTGAAAAGGAAGGAACTTGAATGAGAATCTGTTTTACCACTTACCAAAATGATACAAAATACGTCTATATCCCTTAAATCCTGTACATACTTTATTGAAAAAAAAAAAATGCTAAATTTTGAAAGTTTTATTCGTACAGTCAAGGGAACATTAAATATAAGCTGACGGGGGCTAATAATGTATGAGATGTAGCAGACTCTACCATAATTTGATGGTCAACTTGGATGCTTTACTTACTTGGCCTGTTTACATTTCTCCTCTAAAGCCCTCTTTGTGGCTTCAAGCTGCTTAACTTCATCTGTAAGACCATACTGAGAGGCATCCCTACAAAGCTCAACATTAGGCCTGTATGTACGATTTTCCAAGCGAGTCTGAGCAAGCTTCATAGGGGCAATCTTTGCTCGGATTTTCTCCTCAATTCCTCTGATGTCATTCTCCAGCTCTGCAATTTCTTCCTCGGTCTATAAAAAGTGTGTGAAAATTGCATATATTAATGTACATGGGTATTCATTATATTATTGTTCTGTTCAAAGAAATTACTGGTAGTTTTAAATTTTTGAACTTCTTACATTTTTCTTTTGCCATTCCAACTCGCCCTTGGCTCTCTCAAATTCGTGGATCCTTTTTCTGTATGCATACTCTGTGGCGATTCTCTGAGCCTCCAGATCATTGGCACACTGCTGAAGGGTGTGATGGATAGCCTCCCTGAGGCGGGTGGATGCCTTCATTTCTGCCTCCGCCCTCTCTTTGTTGTATCGACTGAAGTCTTCCCACTGCTGAGGAGTGGTGCTTCTGTCAAAACAAAATTAATACACATGCATGAAAATCATGCACAGGCTTTGTTGTATTGCATTATCAACTTTTTTAAAAACAATCAAGTAGGAATGACGGAGAGTAATATCCATACCCTTTGGGTACCCTTAAGGAATCGGGTTTGAAGCTGATGTTGGGTGACCTGTCAGTGAGATTGTACTGATCTACATCTATTCCTAGGGCTAAATTCTTATCCTGTAAGTCAGCCTGGAGCTGCTGTCTGGCCTCTTGAAGAAGGCAGAGCTGCTCAAATGAATCTCCAATTTTCTGCTGAAGAGCCTTTTTGATTCCTTCAATAACCTCTACTTCCTGGTAACAAAATTTCAAGTAGAAAATTTTCAGAATGATAGTCACTTTAGTACAAGTTTTTATGGTACATGACCTACATTTGTGTTGAATTGTAAATAATTGGGCCAATGTAAGAATTCAGCATTTGCATATAAAGAATGTAATTATATTAATCACAGAACTGAACTTTAACTTGCCTTGTGTAGCTGGTTCTCTGCCTCATCCTGTACAACGTCAATACCTTGACGTCCCTCTCTGAGTGTCAGGCATTCAATGGCAACATCAAGTGGAAGGTTCTTGGCTTCCAGAGCTTGTTCTGTGAGCTCCTTGGCATCAGACAAATCAGCAATCTCCTTGTCAATATCGGCTAGTGTTTTTTCTAGGATTTCCTTCCACTGTCTGATATTGTCTACTCTGTCTGCCAGACGGACATTGTTGGAGTGCTGGTCCCACTTTGTTTGGTTGTCTGTCTCGTTTCTGAGAAATCGACTCTCCTGGCGAACTTGATGAGAGGCATCTCTCTGCCTCTCGGCATTTGTGGAGATGGTGTAGTTACTTGTGAACCAGTCAGGTGGCTGGTGTCTCGTGGTTGGACGAAGTGCTGTAGCCATTTTTCTATTAAATAAATTAAGAATAAAGATTTGAATTCATCACGACAGACATAAGCACTGGAAGTTGACGTAAATATTTAAGATGTGCATGTATACATACACATATACAATATTTACATTAACTTCAGTGTCTGTGATGTCATGTCAGTTCCTTTGTAGAAAGAAGTCAGTACTGTACATGTATTGGGGCCTGTATCATATATAACATTTTAATTATATACATTTTGTGAAACAAATCCATTGTTAACAATTGAGTAACCATACAGTGTTGTCCAAGCTAGGACACTGAATATTTACACGAATGCTTTAAACTATGCTCCAAAAGTAGAATACACAATGTACCCATGATATAAATAATGATTGTATGCCATGTTTGGTAAAATCATTAAATAAATGAATATCATTTGATTTGGCCAACATGGCCAATTATGATTTAAGTATACAATCATTCAGAATGGGGATTCGTCAACATATGCGATCATGAAATATAAAACGTGTATGCGACTTAATTGATAACTATAGAATATATATGCTAAATCAAATGTTTATGAACTACTGGAGGCTTCTATTATCTCATACTCAGTGCAAAATCACACTTTCCTACCTTATTACACGTCCAACGGTTAGAAAGTCTCCTTGTTGATACGGCCCTAATTTCCCTTAGTACTTCAGATGGTTGCTATCTAAACACCTACCAATGACAAATGGTACGCCCAAAACAATTGGTTGACCCTTTCGCCAAGACCCAATCGCAGCAGTTTTAACTTTACCACTGAATGTCGTCATAACAACAGTAGTATCGCTCACTAGATGGCAGTCTAATCATAATATAGGGCGGATCTATGGCCTATCAATCTGTTATTAATGAAAGGGGTTTAAATTCAAATATTGGGGTATATGTTGTTTACATTAACACATTTAAACTGATGCTTTCATCTCTGTATAATGTAATACTTTATGGGATATTTATAAATAGAAAGAATATTCACCCCCCCCCCCCCCACTCGGAAAAGAAACAGATGGGCCTAGCACAAAAGAGACTTTACCATTGATACTTAATTTTTTATATCATGTTAAACTATCTAAATCATTCGTTTTGTGTAAAATGAAACACAAAACACAGGGCACGTGTTAAAGTGAAATTACACCATCAGCGTTTTAATTTACAAGTAAATTTCATATATTTATTTTGCAAAAAGTATTTTTTATAAACTCCTTAAAATAAAAATTATAGTATGATATATAATGTAATTAACATGCGCCATCGCCTGAAGACTTTTCATATGCCTGATCAGAGAGATGACCAATAACATGCACCGTCTCTCTGATATTTTATCAGTATATATACTTGTCTATATGCACAAATCCAAGATTAATCGGAACATGGACCAGTGCCCGACAGTCTGAAAGACATAGAAAGGTAAAATTGTGTCACTTTGAGGGGGAAAACCATACATTTTAAGTTGGGGGGGGGCTATCAACTACCAAAATTCCTTGACGCACCAAAAACAAAGGTCATCACACGTTATTATTGAGGGGGCACAAGCATATAGTAGCTATGTTTTTCTATAGTATTTTATATATCGGCAAAATTATTGGGGGCACGCCCCCGTGCCCCCCCCCCCGGTTCCTACGGCCATGTGTGCATTAATTTTATTAAGCAGAAATTTTTAAATTCTACCACCGAAATTCGTTAATTGGTTAAAAGCAGGAGAAAAGAGAGAGAGAAAAAATAAGATTAATAATATTTAACCAAAACCAATTTTTCTGTAGTTTATCACATATTAAACATATATTTGTTGTAAAATCTATGCAATATGCTAAATAATTTCCTGCTTTATTTATCGATAAAATAGCATGCCGCTCCAAAATATATTAGCAAAGTTGACCATATCCACGCTCTCTAAACACATTATCTTTCCATTCATGCCAAGAAATCCCGTCCATTTTTCCACAGCGATGGAGTCAATAAAAGTGTAATTGATGCAAATCACCCATATTCCCCTAACGCTGGCGAGACAATTAACGGCAGCAGATTTGAGGGGGTGGATCCTAAGTTTTCCGTTTTCTTAGTCAAAGAAAAAATAAACTTCTACCCCAGGAAGTAGCCTCCTATGCCCTGAAAAAAAAATAGTTCCTGTCAAAAACCTTAATTTATTTACAAAATATGTAAAATGCACTAGACACAGGCACCAAAATTGTAAAAATAGACTGGAAGGAAATTTAAAAAAAAAAATCAAAAGGAAAAAATAATTTTATATGTATGGAACTACAATTGACTAAGTTCATTTTCATTGGTCAATTACCGGTATGATACCTTAATAAGGCGCGAGACTTCCACAACAACCAAGTTCATCGTGCCCGATGTTAATTTATACTAGGAAAAAAATATTTTGATATATAAACACTGAAAAATTTGAAAGGCGTCTAATTTTTACTGAACAATTAATTAGTTCACTACAATTTATTTCACTTTCTTTTTCTTCTTTTTTTTTCTTTTTTAACTGCATATGATTTGCATGGAAAATCGCCCCCCCCCCTTTAAAAAAAAAAACAACAGGAAAAAAGTGCAAAGGCTTCTAAATAGTAAGTATTCTAGCTTTAATTTCAAACCAGTAAAACTTAAGATCCTTCCCTCAAAACTGCTGACATTAATTGCCTCGCACACATCTCCCTGGGGAAAAATCACAGATTAACGCTAATTCCGCTTTTATTGAGTTCGCTCTAAAACTAGAATGCGTACCTTTTCTTGGCATGGATGATGGGTCCTCGCTCCATTTTATAGGAAGTAATTGTATCCTCTACCTATTCATAGATAGATGCATACACCTGGGTTAACAAAAACATTGAATTACACATGTCCAGTAACAGTCTTTCCTGAAAACGTAGTCCATCCATTGGAATGTCATACACAAAATACTAGTTTAAAAATGCAAATACAATGCATTTCTATATTAAGTGAGATGTATAAGTAAGTGTAATTCTGACTGATGAAAAGTGATCGTCCAGATTCATTCGTTTGGATTCAATACTTGCACAGAATTTTCCTTTCTTTTACATAATTTTTCATTGAAAAATATTACTTGATGTGAGATTTACACCTTATTAATTGCTGAAAAGAAACTACGTAAAGCATTAAAAAACCGAAATCGTTATACATGCAATAAAGACTATCAGCATTCCGTATAAGCCTCAATATGGTACTGATAGTTTGTAATATGCCGTTAGTAATGGTTGTGGTTCATCATTATCAGCATTCCGTATAAGCCTCAATATGGTACTGATAGTTTGTAATATGCTGTTAGTAATGGTTGTGGTTCATCATTATCAGCATTCCGTATAAGCCTCAATATGGTACCGATAGTTTGTAATATGCCATTAGTAATGGTTGTGGTTCATCATTATCAGCATTCCGTATAAGCCTCAATATGGTACCGATAGTTTGTAATATGCCGTTAGTAATGGTTGTGGTTCATCATTATCAGCATTCCGTATAAGCCTCAATATGGTACTGATAGTTTGTAATATGCCGTTAGTAATGGTTGTGGTTCATCATTATCAGCATTCCGTATAAGCCTCAATATGGTACCGATAGTTTGTAATATGCCGTTAGTAATGGTTGTGGTTCATCATTATCAGCATTCCGTATAAGCCTCAATATGGTACCGATAGTTTGTAATATGCCGTTAGTAATGGTTGTGGTTCATCATTATCAGCATTCCGTATAAGCCTCAATATGGTACTGATAGTTTGTAATATGCTGTTAGTAATGGTTGTGGTTCATCATTATCAGCATTCCGTATAAGCCTCAATATGGTACTGATAGTTTGTAATATGCCGTTAGTAAAGGTTGTGGTTCATCATTATCAGCATTCCGTATAAGCCTCAATATGGTACCGATAGTTTGTAATATGTCGTTAGTAATGGTTGTGGTTCATCATTATCAGCATTCCGTATAAGCCTCAATATGGTACCGATAGTTTGTAATGGTAGACAGACACCTCGGCCCAACGACACCTCGGCCCGTCGCGCTTGACACCTCGGTCCTGACAGGTCGGCCCAAAATTATTGACACCTCGGCCCATACTAAAGACACCTCGGCCCAAGGAATTTTTTTTTTAGAATAATTATCTGTATTCACTATGGTAATATAAATGTATGTATGTTTATAATGACGATATGTATACGATAAACGGGCAAATAATTTCAGAATTTTTGAACGAACGACAGCATAGATGTCAGCTGCTGTATTTATTGAGTGGGAGATAGGAGATCTATTTATTTATTTATTTTGTTGCTTATGAAAATGCAACTTTATTCATTTCATAATATTTAGAATTCTTTTACTTAAAAATCACTTTGTAGTAGGGGCGTATTGTACACTTAACTATATATAATAATTATATTTATAAACCAGTGCACAGTAGCATATGTCCTTAGGTATTCTGTCCTGATCAATAAGATGTCTTAATTGATTCTTTTTTTTTTTTAATTTATAAACTCAACTTAACCATACACAGATATAGAAGTTACGTTAACCTGATAGATCTTTGCGTAATATTAGAGCATAATGGATATATTTCCCTAAATCAACCAAGGAAGATATGTGGTTTGTACCCAACAATTGGATTAATTAGCCTGCTCGTAATTAACTCCTCATTGTCACCACCCCATATGACACACGCTTGAGACTTCGAAGGATGCGCTGCGTCTTCTTGTTTGTTTAACGATTAGCACAATGTGATAGACAATTTTTTTTTTTTTAATTACCGTCAACTTACTCTCGGAAGATTATTCAATTATTTTCTTTTTTATTTCATGGATATATATAATAATATAATCCGTCGCATATAGTCCCTATAATAATAAAATACTTAAGAAAATATCAAATAAATATGTTTAAAATAATACATTTTTGTTTGTGCCGAAGTGTCTTTTACGTGAGCCGAGGTGTCTCAAATCTTGGGCCGACCCGTTGGGGCCGAGGTGTCAATGGGCCGAGATGTCGTTGGGCCGAGGTGTCGTTGGGCCGAAGTGTCTGACATTCGTTTGTAATATGCCGTTAGTAATGGTTGTGGTTCATCATTATCAGCATTCCGTATAAGCCTCAATATGGTACTGATAGTTTGTAATACGCCGTTAGTAATGGTTGTGGTTCATCATTATCAGCATTCCGTATAAGCCTCAATATGGTACTGATAGTTTGTAATACGCCGTTAGTAATGGTTGTGGTTCATCATTATCAGCATTCCGTATAAGCCTCAATATGGTACTGATAGTTTGTAATATGCCGTTGGTAAAGGTTGTGGTTCATCATTATCAGCATTCCGTATAAGCCTCAATATGGTACTGATAGTTTGTAATATGCCGTTGGTAAAGGTTGTGGTTCATCATCACATACATAGTACATGCATTATAGGGTTATTGAACTTATAGTGGTGAATATTGGCACGAGTTGGCTGGAAAAATTCACGAGCTTGTGACATGTCATGAATGATTAAAGCAGACTGTGCAAAATCAGGGTAAAGAATTGAGAATAAAACACATATCATTGATTGTAATTCTGCCAGGGTTCAACCTTACCAGCCCTTCAATTTTTTGTTCATTTTACTTGAAACAGTGCATTATTTTGAATGATTTCCTCAGTATTAATTCATATCTGGTGTCCAGATACAACATAAAATACAATGTACAAGGAGTATAATGTTGTTTTTGTGTTTTTTATTTCTAAGAAAACTAAAAACTCATTCATTTCATTTTCCGAATTGCAAGAATAGACATTACATGTACTAGATTTATTATCTTGGTACTAGTATAATAATAAAAAAAAAAAAAAAGCTGACCTGGCCCCAAGACCATAAACGGAGAATAGACTTAAGTCAAAATTTCAAATCAATATAACTTTTGAAATAATTTTGATAAGAAAATAAAATTTTCATCATATGTTAAAATTAGAATATTATGCAAAACTGCAAATTTTTAAGCACACATATTAAATAAAACTCAAGATTTTCAAAATCAAAATTTTGACTTAAGCCTGTTCTCAGTTAATGGTCTCGAGGCCAGTTTCATTTCCAGCGTGTTAATGGAAGCGCCTACTGTCTTTCTAACTACTGATATGATGTACATTTTACTAACTACATACATGTATCAATAGTATTCATGTATTAATTAAATACACATGCTCTGAATAGAATCCAGTGCCACTAACCTTGAAGTAAAATATATGTGTCAAAATGACTTACAACACTATTTGTAACAATAAACAAAGAAAAGGTAAAATACCTCACTAAATAAAATGTAAATGCAACCCATTAACATGCAAACCTGACCAAATTTTTCTGTTCTTCACCATGATGACATGTATTTAGAAATACTGTATGTACATCAACGTACGTAAACATTAGGGAAAAAATGACTATGTGTGGTTCGTAGGAAGAAAAACAGAACATTGAGCAAATATCAGGGGTTTAATAGACATGAAATTAGAGAGGATGTATGAGTAAGTAAAAAATTAATGAAATCACACTGTAAATTTGATAAAATACATTAAAAAAGTAAACTCAATATAAAGAATTCTTAAACTACACTATATACAGTTGTAGGTATAAAATGGGTATGGGACATGATCAAGAAAAATTGCAAGTGCTCTGTAATATTCAAACCAAAGGAAAATCTTGGTAAACATGAGGTATTTCAGAGTACAGTGAATTTAATCAATCAAAATTAAAGCTGAGGAAAAAAATCTTCACAATGTTCATGTAATGCTAATCACAGTTTTTTTTTATTGCTATCTTCAATGATTATCAATCAAGGTTGGCCTTAAACAAAGGTTAACAAGAATTTATTTAATTTACATGTATTAACATATACATACAATGCACCAATCTAACTGTTCAACATAAAATAAGGTATCAATTACCGCAATAGCAAGCAAAATCTACATGCAAGTGATAAATATACACACACAATGGATAAGAATTCCTATTGTAAGGTGTATGGATATCATAACTTTTATTCATAAAAGCAAAATGAACTCCAATGGAGAGGTTTTGTTAAAAAAAAACCTTTGCAATTTTTCTGTGTTTATAGAAGTTAAAAGCAGTGTCCTTTTTATCTACTCAGCTAAAGGTTAATCTATCTTTCTACAATATCAAAAGTGTATCAGTGGAGCTTCCTTAATTCAGATGCCAAAGATCCATGATGTTTCTGTCAAACAGAATTTATAATTATATATACTTATTATTGTTTCAGTAAACCAGATGCTTTATTAATCTGGATGATTTTCTTGGGAACACGAGTGCCAGGATTAACAAGGATTGACAGTAATAACACTCTATACATTCTGCACCAGTATCATGAGGAAAACCTCTTTGTTTTGCTGTCTATTTAATTTCTGGGCACCAAAACCACCTGAGTTCATGAAATTCATACATACATGTAATATGTTTGCTATTATGCTTTAAATACTTTAAATAAAGAAAATTCTGATAAAAAGGCTTAATACAATCCTATCTCATGCTGCTCTCCTCGACAATATAAACATTCATTTTCTTTAAGAAAACAATAATTCATTGCTGCATTAAAAATCAAAAAATACAACCAGATTTACTTAACATATTTTGAATATGTTGATCCCCTATTAATAGTGACATCCATGTTTTTACAGAAGGTGTCTGAGAAGGGAATACAATTGATGTATTGTAACCAGGTGCTCTCTGTCAGAGGGGCAGCATAGAACATAATGATGAGGAATAGAAACAAGGCCAGGGACAAAATCCCAAACGTAATGACTACGTGGACGCGCGTTATTCCCTTCTCTTTAACATCCGTCTCCTTCATCACAACCAGGGAGATAAACAGTCCAAAGATAAAGCCGAAAATGTGGGACCAGTTGTCCATCCACGGGAAGACTCCCAAGAAGAAGAGGACGAGTAGTATTGCACTAAAAGCAACTAAGTTAAAGCAAAGGCTTCGATTTTCTGATGATTTGTCTTCATTTGAAAACTTGTTGACAAGTATTTGGTTGACGATATCTACATACATACAGGCCAAGATACCAAACTGAGCTCCAGAGGGACCCACCTGCAGAAAAATTCCACAGTATCTTTGATCACTGAGGTTCTCATAATGGAAAAATATAAATGTACAAACATATACCATTGTCATATTTCAAAATAATTTCACACCTAAACAAATATATATTGTTTAACCCTATATTTCCTATTGTCATGTTAAATGTATAAAAAAGGTAAATGTAATCAAAGCATTTCTCAATATTAAAGATTATTGCAGATCTATCTGAATGCTGTCGTGTAATTAGATAAGATTAACAATTAGATATGCAAGGAAAGAAGCATGAAAAGAAATAATGTACCTAAAAACTGATAATCCTGAGCACTTATTTACCTACCTCTACCTGGTACGGTGTGAGTATGGCACTGGCTAATGTTCCCGCACAGCCACTACTGACGTAGATAATCATCATTCTGATCCAGCCAATCATCTGCTCAATACGCCTCATAATCCATAACTGGAAAATCCAGGTCACTAACAGATGAAACAGACTGAAACAAAATTAACAACGTATTAGTAAAATACTCATGCCCCCCATACAGCAGCTCATGCCTATGGTTAAAGTTTTTCAAATGTAGGTAAAATTCCAAGGTCAAGGTCGAAAGGTAAAAGATGTTGGTACCTAAAATAAGGCCTAGTCAGAAGAAATATACATGTGAAATATGAAAGTCCTAGTACCAACTGTTAAAAAGGTATGGGCAATGTTAAAGGTTTTGCTGACAAACAGACAGACAAAATTCCAAGGTCAAGGTCGAAAGTTAAAAGATATTGGTACCTAAAAAAAGGCCTAGTCAGAAGGAATATACATGTGAAATCTGAAAGTCCTAGCACAAACTTTTAAAAAGGTATGGGCAATGTTAAAGGTTTCGCTGACAAACAGACAGACAGACCAGAAACTACTGTTTTGTGCCTCCGAATCTTGATTATAGGGGCATAAAAATTACATCTAGGTCACCTACAGGTGAAACAAAATATAACAAACTAATGTCAAGATCATCAACAAGTAAAACAAACTGGAACAAAATTAAAAATCACATCTAGGTCACTTACAGGTGAAGTAAACTGAAACAGAATTACATTCTTAGGGGTTTTAGACCTTGAGCAAAAAGCCCTTCTGTTTTTTTTCTTTGCTTTTTTAAAGTACTGTTATTTTTTTTATCAAGAATTTAAGATATATGTTGGGTTAAAGGTCAGAGAAATAAATGTAGACTAATGCTAATTTTTGGTGGGAGATGGTTTATAAGTGATTCAGAATCTGTTCTTTTCCTTTAAACTTATCTTCTGAAAAAATTTGAGCAAATGCCCATCTATGGATAAATAATCAATTCTTAGATAATTTATCGTTTTAAAACATATACAGTATAAAATACATGTACATGATATTTTATGAACAAACAGCTTTATTTTCATGTTTTAACTATTGGTAAGATGTATCTTACCCAGCATGCAGTAGATTGGCTGACAGAATTCTGCCAAACTGGTCAGGCCGATCATCATACACAAATGGGATCATACCACAAATCTCTTCAAAGCAGTTTACCTATAATACAAGATAAACTAATCAAAGAAATATACAACAACGTATTTTTTAAAAAATCAAATCCTTACAGGAAAAAACATCTTAAAACTGTCACGAACAAATGCAGTAAAAAATGTTTGGCATCCAGTCTTCATTGTAAAATAAATGAGTAAGGTAACTCTTGATGGCTCAAACTTTGGTCTCGAGAAGTTCTTCATCTCTGGAAGTGAGTCTCTCTTCCCAATTTTTTTCTCCTATATAACAAAGCAAATTTACTTTGGACTTCTCAAATCTCAGTCTCTCGAAACCCTTGATCTCTTAAATTCAAAATGCTCTCGATTAACGCATATTCTGTTGTTATTTACCCTGGTATCTCAAAGTGGCTATGTGTACCCAAGCTTGACGAATTAGTACCTTTATCTGGACAAAATGTACTTAAATTTTCTCAATTGATGACAAAACAAGATGCTAAGACACTGAAAAAACTCTGTACTATATGATTTAGTCTGTCCTCCATGATTTTTTCCCCATTTATACTATTACAATGTATTATCTGTATTACATGTGTATGTATTTATGGGTTTTTTTTTCTTTTTTGTCCTGTTTCACTTTCATTTTCTGAATAAGTATATCATATACTTGTACCTCTGACCTGAATTTATATGCTGTACTCATGTACCATATATTTTAGATAAATGAACTTGAACTTGACAATGAAACGGCTCCAGGTTTACACAAGTGTCACTGCACGAGGACCACAAGGTGACAATACTTACCAACTAATTATCACCTGCACTTAAACAATAATTAACATCAAACAAACAAAGATAATCTGGAAAAGCAATGAATGTTGAAAATAATTACTATAAGACCAGACATTAATTTTGTTTCGAGTTGTGGATGCTAGTGACAGAAGCTCAGTTATGTGTAATACAACAAACTCAAATGAAAATAATAAATGCCTCAGTTTTTGTAAATATTTATATATGAATATTAAATCTAATTTATCTTTCAAATGTCCATGAATATTATTATTCTACAGTCTTGACAGCAAAAAATAGGTTAACACATGGTAATGTCAAATATCAACACTAACTCACTTTCATCAATTTCTTGGGAGTAAATACTGTAATACCATGTCCCCTTACCAGGGTTCAATGTACAGAGTAAAAATACACATCCATTTTAATTTACCCATAGCTAGTAAACTTGAAAAACTTGAAAAAATACTAAGTGTCTGGAGAAGACGAAATCTAACAATATTCGGAAAATGTACCATCATAAACACATTAGCTATTTCTAAGATATTGTATAATGCCTTCATACTACAAAATCCAAATGCCGATTTTTTCAAAAATGTTTCAAAGCTCATATATAACTTTATATGGAAAAAAAGAGATAGGATTAAAAGAAATACTCTTATTGGTAATGTTGAAAACGGTGGAATCGGAATCGTCGATGTTGAAAGCAAATTTCATGCTGCAAAGGCATCATGGATTAGCAGAATAGTTAATGTAGAAAGTGTTACACACCGAGTTCTCAATAATATTCTGCAACAGTACAATATTTCAGTATTTGATATTTTCAAAACTAGCGAGTGTAATTTGATCAAATCCGAGTTTTTCAAAATGTTGAATCTGCAAAAATTTTACGACAATGTGTTTACAGCATTTAACAGATGCAAAATGCAAAGAAATGCCAATAATTTAAAGAGAGACAAATTTTTAAGTGAATTTTTATGGAATAATAATCTTTTTCAATTTAATTCAAAACCCCTGTGTTTTAGAAATTGGATACAAAGTGGTGTTTTGTATATTAAAGATATATCTGACGAATCAGGGGAAATGTATGATATCAATTATTTTTTTAACAAATTGAAACGAAAAAAATAATATATTACGTGAATATTATATGCTTAAAAAAGCTGTTAAAGAGTATAAACAAAATTTTGACTGTTCCTATGCTAAATACGTGAAAGTAAAACCAAACATATATTTTTTATTTAAAAAACAGTTTGTAAAATCAATACGAGAGATAAGAAGCAATTTTTTTTACTCTATAGGTATGAAATTTCCAAAACCTTTATTTGAAAACAGATGGAAAAAAATATTCAATGTTCAGGATGGTTGTATATGGAAAAATATTTATAAAAACAAGATTTCGAATATGTACATGAAGAGAATATCAGAATTTAATTATAAATTATTACATGGTATCTTGAACAACAATGTTTCTGTAAGCAAGTGGAACAAAGATATTTCTCCTTTGTGTGAAAATTGTGAAATTGAAGATGATACAAAACATCTCCTGTTTGATTGTAAAATTATTAAATTCATATGGGAACAAGATGCCCAAGGGCCAGATCGCTCACCTGAGCACTGTGGCTAGGAAAAAAGGAAAAATCAGTTTAGTATTGAAAAGCATAAATGCATAAGTGGTCCCAACCTACCCCTAAAAAGGGAGTGGGGGGGGGGGTCATGATTTGAACAAACTTGAATCTACACTTCTATCTGAGGATGCTTCCGTATAAATATGACAAACCGTGGCTTTGCTGTTCTTGAGATTTTTAAAGATTTTTCCTATATATTCCTATGTAAAACTTTGATCATACATTGTTGCCTCACCCTACCCTCGCGGGTCATGATTTGAACAAACTTGAATCTACACCACCTGAGGATGCTTCCACATAAATATGACCAATCATAGCTTTGCTGTTCTTGAGAAGAAGATTTTTGAAGATTTTTCCTATATATTCCTATGTAAAACTTTGATCGTCCATTGTCCCCACCCTACCCCTGGGGGTCATAATTTGAACAAACTTGAATCTACACCACCTGAGGATGCTTCCAAATAAATATGACCAATCATAGCTTTGCTGTTCTTGAGAAGAAGATTTTTGAAGATTTTTCCTATGTACACCTATGTTAAACATTGATCGTCCATTTTGGCCCCACCCTACCCCTGGGGGTCACGATTTGAACAAACTTGAATCTACACCACCTGAGGATGCTTCCACATAAATATGACCAATCATAGCTTTGCTGTTCTTGAGAAGAAGATTTTTGAAGATTTTTCCTACATATTCTAATGTAAAACTTTCATTGTCCAATGTGGCCCCACCCTACCCCCAGGGGTCATGATTTGTACAAACTTGAATCTACACCACCTGAGGATGCTTCCAAATAAATATGACCAATCATAGCTTTGCTGTTCTTGAGAAGAAGATTTTTGAAGATTTTTCCTATGTACACCTATGTTAAACATTGATCGTCCATTTTGGCCCCACCCTACCCCTGGGGGTCATGATTTGAACAAACTTGAATCTACACCACCTGAGGATGCTTCCATATAAATATGACCAATCATAGCTTTGCTGTTCTTGAGAAGAAGATTTTTGAAGATTTTTCCTATATATTCCTATGTAAAACTTTGATCGTCCAATGTGGCCCCACCCTACCCCCAGGGGTCATGATTTGTACAAACTTGAATCTACACCACCTGAGGATGCTTCCACATAAATATGACCAATCTTAGCTTTGCTGTTCTTGAGAAGAAGATTTTTGAAGATTTTTCCTATGTACACCTATGTTAAACATTGATCGTCCATTTTGGCCCCACCCTACCCCTGGGGGTCATGATTTGAACAAACTTGAATCTACACCACCTGAGGATGCTTCCAAATAAATATGACCAATCATAGCTTTGCTGTTCTTGAGAAGAAGATTTTTGAAGATTTTTCCTATATATTCCTATGTAAAACTTTGATTGTCCACTGTGGCCCCACCCTATCCCCGGGGGTCATGATTTGAACAAGCTTGAATCTACACTACCTGACAATAATTCCACATGAGTTTCATCTTTCCTGGCCCACTGGTTCTTGAGAAGAAGATTTTTCAATAATGCCATTAATTTGTTGCTATTTTGTAATTATCTCCCCTTGGAGGAGGGCGTGGCCCTTCATTTGAACAAACTTGAAACCCCTTCACCCAAGGATACTTTGTGCCAAGTTTGATTGAAATTGGCCCAGTAGTTCTGGAGAAGAAGATGAAAATGTGAAAAGTTTACGACAACAACGACGCAGACGACGATGACAGAAAACGGACAAATTTTGATCAGAAAAGCTCACTTGAGCCTTCGGCTCAGGTGAGCTAAAAAGTGAGCCTTTTTCTAAAATTTGATATTACTTGGAAATTAATTGTACTTGGATTTTATAATGAAAGTAGTGAAAAAACTTTGCTTTTTAATAATTTGTTAGCATTTATTAGCTTCACTATGTATAAATATAAGATGAAATGTAGATTACAAAATGAGAAATTGTCTGAGGAAAATCTCCTACATAGATTGAAATATATGCTTTATATTCAAAATGATGTTCTTAGGAAGACTGGTCAGATTAGAAGTGATATTTATCATGATTTAGCTGATTTTTTGTAAATGTATGTGTATGTATATGTATGTATGTATATATATGTATATATGTATGTATGTATGTATGTATGTGTGTGTACATATATATATATATATATATATATATATATATATATATATATATATATATATATATATATATATATATATATATATAAAGCACTAAAAACCAACAACACTGTATATCCTAAGTGTTGGATCTACTAAGTAGATGGATGGAAATTTATATAAAGCACTAAAAATGACCAACGACACGAACAATAATAATAATAATTATTATTGTTCGTGTCGTTGGTCATTTTTAGTGCTTTATATATATATATATATATATATATATATATATATATATATATATATATATATATATATATATATATATATATATATATATATATATATATATATTCATAAAAATGCAAAGGAATATCATTGTTAAGTACATGCACACACATATAATTTTTTTAACACTGTTGTGAATTAGAATAAATCACTCCCTGTTGGACTTATTTCAAAACCAATCAAATGACCTGGAAATTTCCACACTCAACTTCAAATTATTGATCGCACAGAGTTTTTCCATTCCCCCAGATTTCCAGGTATCTTGAGTCACCTGTACCTTGTATACAGTCTTGTCAACTTGAGGGATGTTTTACTGTCCAAAACAAAGCAAGCTGTAAAGCATACATACAAGTGTGATCCCGGAGATTTGTTTGATTGTTGTTTTTATGTCCCTAGCAAGACTTTAACAGTACTGAGCCCTTGGAAAAGGAACTCTTCCTACCTATTTTTTAACTGAATTAGGATTAATTATTGCAGCCAAGGGGGGGGGGGGGGGATGACAACCAACGACCTTCCAACTTCCAGCACTCCAATGCCAGAGATAAGTCAAAATTTTTAGCCACTTAGAAGATAGATTGAAATATCATTTTCATTAAATTCTATTCATCAAAATAGAAAAAGTGATTCAAACATGTCTGTATAAAGTTCTTACAGAAGATTTATGGTTTTGAGTAAGGCAAAAATATTGATAACCCTCAAACCTAATTTTGTCCCCAAAAAGATTGTACTATACTCTTTTATACAGTGGTTTGAATAATTTGAATTGCATGTGCTTTATTTTAATAGATTTTATAATTAAATTAAGCCAACCTGAGAACACAAAAATTTGTCATCATGGAAGTATCCCTGTCTAAATTCACAATGCTCCCTGGTGGTGATCATGCATTCTCCTTGGATACCAAAACAACATGGCCGCCCTAGTAAATCACATGTCATGTGACAGTCTGACCCAGGCTGGGAGCAACCTTTAAAACTACGACTGACATTCTTCGTTTCTTTACAAACCTACAGATAAAACTTATAATACAAACTGATACTTTCCTTCAGAATATAAATACATGTACATGTAATACAAATATCATGAATCTTGTGTAATTTGAGTGAATAAGTATACAATTATGGATTCTTTCGATGGGGAATATGGTTTGTTATTCACCAGAAAAATATCAATATTGACCTTGGCTTCGCCTCGGTCAATATTGATATTTTTCTGGTGAATAACAAACCATATTCACCATCGAAAGAGTCCATAATTGTTTTATTATATAGTCAGGATTTAATGAATAAGACATTGAAGGCCGCCTGACGATTCCATTTTCATTAACGAACTTCTGTCGTAGAAAAATAAAAAATGTCCAGATTACAACCTATAACCTCCGTGTTTTCCTTTTGATGTGCGTAAGACATCGAAATGGTAAGAAAATAATCCTGCGATAGACTTGCGAAACAATTTTTCCTGCTCATATATTCAGCTAGCTCCGACCGTTGCAACCACTGTTTTCAACGTTGTTTTGGGTATTGATTGTGACGTCACAATGCCACTGCACGCGCACTGACCCTCCAGTGAATACGGCTTCAATTTCGGTGAATATGTAGTGTTATGAACTGTTTGCGTTTGTATAGATTATATAGGGGCTATTTATAGACTATATAATAAAGATTAATCTACTTGAACATACATTAGATGTTTTCCTTATGAACTTGCCAAAGGGTCTAAAATAAATTGTGTGCTAAATACCAGTAATCTCATTATATTAAGTTGAAAACAAGAGGCCCACGGGTCACAACGCTCACCTGAGTCAATATGGCCCTGCTGTTCTTCGTCAGCAGATTTCTTCTCCTATACATTCATATGTAAAGCTTTGATCGCCTGTTCTAGGCATACCCTACCCCCAGTTGCCATGTTTTGTATGAAAATGAATCTAAACTTTCTGATATGATGCTTCTATATTCATATAACTAATCATGGTTTTGCTGTTCTTGAAAACGGAACTTTAAAGATGTCTGCCACCCTACCCTGGGAGGGGGGGGGGGGGGGAGGGGGGGTTCATGATTTGAACAAACTTGAATCTACACTACCTGAGGATGCTTCCATATCAATATGACTAATCATGGCTTTGTTGTTCTTGAGAAGAAGATTTTTAAAGATATTTCCTATATATGTTCTTTTGTTAAACTTTGATCCCCATTATGGCCCCACCCAACTACTGGAGGTTATCTTGAACAAACTTGATTTTTTAAAGAATTTTCTTATGTATTCCTATGTAAAACTTTGATCCCCCATTGTGGTCCCACCCTACCCCTAGCAGTCATGATTTGAACAAACTTGAATCTACACTACCTGAGGATGATTCCATATCAATATGACTAATTGTGGTTGTGTTGTTCTTGAGAAGAAGATTTTTAAAGAATGTTCCTATATATTCCTATGTAAAACTTTGATCCCTCATTGTGGCCCCACCCTACTCTGCAGGGTCATGATTTCAACAAATTTGAATCTTCACTACCTGAAGATGATTCTATATCAATATGACTAATTGTGGCTTTGTTGTTCTTGAGAAGAAGATTTTTAAAGAATTTTTCTATATATTCCTACGTAAAACTTTGATCCCTCATTGTGGCCCCACCCTACCCCTGGGGGTCATGATTTGAACAAATTTGAATCTACACTATGTAATGAAGGTATCATATAAGTTTCAACTTTTCTGGCCCAATTGTTCTTGAGAAGAAGATTTTTAATAGATGACACCAAATTTTCACCAATTCTTAATTATCTCCCCATGGAAGAGGGCAGGGCCCTTCATTTGAACAAACTTAAACCCCCTTCACCTAAGGATGCTTTGTGGCAAGTTTGGTTGAAATTGGCCCAGTGGTTCTGGAGAAGAAAGCGAAAATGTGAAAAGTTTACAGACAGACAGACGGACTACGGACAAAATATGATCAGAAAAGCTCACTTGAGCTTTCAGCTCAGGTGAGCTAAAAAACTGTAAAAATACACATACACCTTAAGTGTCCAAAAAGAAATTTTGCACTTTATGCGCTAACGAGAAATTATTTATTTTATGCCTGCACACCTGTGATTAGTATAATCAACAAGAGACCCAAAGGCCACAATGCTCACCTGGGTAACTTTAGCCCTGCTGTTCTTCATCAGATTTCTAAATAGATTTTTATATTTTTGTGAAAAATTGTGACCCATAATATTGCTCCACTCTAACTTTATGGGTCTCTGAATCAACAAAACATGGGGATGCTTAAATATCATTATAACTAACATGGTTTTGATGTCTTGGAGAAGGAATTTTTTATTGTATACATGCATTATAATGGAAAATTTGTTCCCTATTTTGGCTAACTCTAATCCAGGGGTATAATCTGAAAAATATGAATCCACTTGGGAATGGTTTGATTGTGGTTCTTGAGAAGATTTTCACTTTTCCCCCCTCTATAGTACCATGTAAAACTATGAACCCCTATTGTGGCCCTACCCTACCCCTGGTCTTTTTTTAATTATTCAGAATATGCATTAGGAAGCACATATTAGGAAACTTTCACATACATGTGAGTCTCATCTTTTCTGGTCTTCTTGAGAAGAAGATTGTTCATATATATATCAATGTAAAACTTTGATCCCCTATTTTGGCCACACCCTACCCTCCAGGTCCATGATTTGAACAATTTAAAATCTACACTTCCTCAGAAAGCTTTCACTTAAGTTTCATCTCTAATGATCCAGTGGTTCTTGAAAAGAAGACTTTTTAATGACCCCGCCATATTTTTGCCTTTTCTTGATTATTTCCCCTTGGAAGGGGACTGGTTCTTCATTTGAAGAATGTATATTCATCTTGACCAAAGGATGCTTTGTGCCAACTTTGGTTGAAATTGGCCCAGTGGTTTTTGAGAAAAAGTTGAAAATGTAAAAAGTTTACAGAATGATGGACAAAGAGACAGCTAAACAGACAGACAGATGGACTCCAGACAATTTGTGATCAGAATGGGTCCTTGAGCTTTCAGCTCAGGTGAGCTAAAAAGTGCAAAATATCATATAATGCTTATCATGTAACTAATAATTAAGACTTAAACATAACATACAGGCCAGTTTGTGAAGTCTTTCTTGTCCCATTCAAAGGGTGGGGTAGAGGAGGGACTCTTGCAGTGACTAAAAGTATCAAGACAGTCATAATTTTTTTTTGTTGCATTATATGTACTTATAATTCTCTACACATATTAATATCTTCCTTTTTCAATTAAATTCATGTATATGACTGCTGTCATGAGAAAAAGACCCTTATCTTTTGACGTCACAATGCGCAGAAAATGACGTCAAAGTCGCGGTATTGTAAACACAGAAGTAAATTTTATCGACTGAGTTTCGTGTACAAGAAATAATATTGGATTTCCAGGTGTAACAAAAAATTATCAAATTATATGAAATTTGATGCAGAAATTTTTAATAAATAATATTATTACTAAATAAAAAATATTATTACTATTTAGTACATGCATTTATTCATAATTTTGTTAAAGTATTTAACTTGTCAATTTGATAATATCAAGTTGATATCACATAATTAATCTAAACACGACAGTGAACACATTGTTAGGTACAGCGATTTATAGCGATCTGTATATATTATGCATGGCTAAAGATACTGTGTATATTTGTTTTCTGAGCAATTTACCACATTAACACCAATCTTAAGAAAACAAAGACAATCAAGAAATCTAAATACATGTAATGGGAAAGATGAAAAATAAAAGCACCTGTAATATTTCGAGCGGCAAAAGGGAGGTTCATTAAAAAATTTGATGACCATGAAATATGTAAGGAAGCAATTTTTTTTTTACTGACTATTGAATTCATGTATGTAATAATTTAGTCAAGTCTTGCATTTAAATCTTGGACGTCAAGTCTCAGCTTTGATATCTTGATACCCCAGATATCTCGACAAGTTCTGTTGATGCTGGGATACTGAAGTTTATACATGTACAGGCTTTTAGGAATATGATTAGACAAACATGCACACACACACACACACACACACATTTCTGCTTTAAAAGAAAGATTCTATTCCAGTCGTGTTGTAGTAGGCAAAAATACCAGTCATGTTCTTTAATTTCGAAATTCCAAGAAAGTGATATTTTTAAAATAATAACTAGGAAAAATGGCTTACCTGTTTAGCTTCCAAGACAAAAACAGATACTTAGTCGCATATGAAGAGAATCAAGTTAGAGTGGTCAAGTTTCAAACATTCAAGGGGATTTTGTTTACCTGCATCGCCTCACACAAAAAAGTATAAACATGTATGTTGGACGTATCATTTAATTACTGCTTAAGACATATATGTACATTATCAGACCTGCCTACACTTTTCATTACGAGGGTGTAATTTCAATATTCATTTTGGAGGAAATTCAGAGGCAAAGGCGTAATCCTTTATGTTTCCCTAGTTTGATGTTTTGCAATGCTACTATATTGTCTAAATAAACCTGTAATTGTACATCACTGAACAAAGCAAGCATGAACGTTTTTTCAAATTATTTATTGACAAAAAGTCCATGTGTTGTAAAACTGGAATCCTAAATGCAGTTACATCAAACTTATTTAACTTACATGCCTAATGAACTTTTGGAAAATTTCTAGCAAATCACATAATTCAGAGTTTCATTTCCATGTTAATACCAATTCTACCTTGCATTAACTTGTCTCTATTTGTCCCTAGCAATGTAAGAATAAACTGAATTTAAAATTAAACTGACTTTACTTTTTGCACATACCATTCAATAGTTTTTTTTTAATTTTTGGCATGCCATACGTTTAAAAGGCATAACTACAAGATATATTACGTATGTTGTTTGTATAGTAAAAAATCATATCGTGAAGACCCGAAACCCTCTAATAATTAGTATTATTTACCTTCTTCTCGTTTTTATTTAGGAAAGCCTTTACTTCAACTCCCAAGTTAGCCTTTCATTAAGTTGTCTAGGAAAAATATTTAAAAGTGTAAAATTAAATTATATGGCATAACAGCGTAATTTCGTGGACAAAAGCGGAAGAATTTCGCCAAAAACGGAAGGGTAGGCAGGTCTGCATTATATGAGAATCTTAGATGTCAGGTGAGCAGATGTCACGGAGGAAGAGGATGACCTTTATTGCGTAAAAATATATTCAAGTCTCGGCAGAAATTCAGCTTCAATTTCAAATAGATTTCGTTAAAATTGTAATGCAACTGTATTTCATTTTGCTCAGAAAAGTCCAGCTCCGTAAAGTGTGCATATATAAAAAGATCCTAAGAGCGGTACATCCATCTCTAGATCTTTTTTTAAGAACTTTCCATAAATCTGAGTTGGAAGCCAGACAATCGTCGTAAACATTAACATGAAATAACATGATTGATTAATATCTAATGAGATTTTATCAATTCCAGAAATCCACAGAGAATATTTCAGATCGAGCGCAATTCTACAAGGGATTTTATTTTTCCAAGGACTGAAATTTCGAGCTTTAATAAGCTTATATTTGACACATGACTGCAGGCTATATTTCTATGTCCAGCAGGTGAGAATAAGTATCTGGCAATATGATCGCAAATTGCCAATTCATTCCAACAATAGGAAGTATTTTTACAGAAACCAATTCCCATAATGTTTTCTTTTTGAGATTACAGTAGCGGCCTTTTTAAGAAATGATGTACGATTGTTGTGTCCAAGTAATACAGCAGTACTTAGCGTAGTGAGCACAGGTTCCCCCCCCCCCCCCCCCCCCAATATAAATAAATGAATAAATCAAAAGAAAAAATCAAAGTACAAAAGCAATTATAATCACTTTTGATAAATTGTGATTTTCTGGAAAAAATGTTAAGATGTTGACAAAAAGATTCAATTTTTATGTACCGAATAAAATTTCATAAGACAAGTCCTTTGGCTTTGACATTATTATGTGCCTCTTTTTTTATGTTTCTACTCCATAACTAAGACAGGCAAAGAAATTGAATAGTATGAACAATGGAAACTGATTTAAACTTTTTTTAAGTACATGTATTAAGAAAGTTTAAAAAAAATCAAAATCCGCTTGGACATAAAAAAACAGATTTTTTTTTTCTCTTTATGATTTTTATGTACGGAATAAACTTTTATTAAAAACAATTTCACACATCATGACGCTTCTGAATTTAATTCCCATTACCATCCATCGGTGAAACGGAAAATATATGGGGTGATATTATCCCCTCATGACAAAGGATATAGTAACACGTGTGTGTGTATGTGTGTGTTGGGAGGGGGGTGAATGGCGCATATGTCTTTTTTTTTTGTTGTTGTTGTTGTTGATGTTTTAATGTTACATGTGCTTTATATATTTTATAAATTGAGCTGGAGTATTCAATGTAAAAAGAAAAATTTGAGTGGAATTGTACAGGTATTATTTTTTCGACTGAATATAAACCATTCCTGTATCCGGTTTAGAAACCCTTCCCCGTCCCCTTACGAAATTACTGGATCTGCCTCTAAATAGAATGAACTAAGGTGACTTTCCCTAGGAATAATTGTATACTTGTAGATTGGAAGAAGAAATCAAATAATTCTCAAGTTTTTATGTGTCAACACGATTAAGGTTATTTAAATAATTTTCAGAATGTTTGGAAACTGAATTTGACGCACATGACTTCATTAAATTTTCAATGAGTAACATCAACGTTGTTTTGAAGCACCTTACTAAAATGCTGAGCCTCATAAAATACTGAAAAATTGAGATATTTTCAAATGTTCCATATATTTGCATTCAGAACAAGTCTGGCTATCAAAATTTACCAAAAAGTCAATTTGTGAAATTTTGACCTTAAGGGCCCTTTTCTCATGATGGCAGTCATATGTACATGTATTAATGAATTATGCAAGTTTGCTGCATAAATATGCTGATGAAGATTGTTTCCTTTACATGATAATAACGTCATAACTTTATACCAAAGAATATTTTTTTTAACTGGAAATGGAGAAATTATACAGAGATGTACAATGTCCTTCTGTTATGACACTTACTTGGGATCTAGACCACACACTGCCCCCGACTTGTAGCCATTGTCTATCTTACTGGTGTCATTCCACTTAACAAAGGTGGAGATTAGTTTCTACAAAAATCAAGCATGCCACTTAACAAAGGTGGAGATTAGTTTCTACAAAAATCTAATAATGGATATAACCATACAGCATGTGCTGCACATGTATAATACTTTGCTCTTTTATATTACAATTTTAACTAAGTACACTATACTTAAGTAAGTGTACACTTCTGTGACTTACACTACACTTGTGGATGGTGGTCTGTACACACCCTGACCCGTCGTCACGGACACAACACCCTGTATTTCTCTCCTCCTTCCTTTGCTCTGCCAATGCTGCTTCTAAATTTGGATCTTTTCTCATACAAGGGGAATACTTTGCTCCAAGATGAATCAAATCTTTCTGTTTGTGAAGTGATACAAGTTCAGCACAAAGAATACTGTACATACATGTATGTATATATAAGAAGTACAAATGCTAGAAATTTGAAAATCATAGCGCATATTTGTGAATATTACACATAAATACATACATGTATATATCAAAGAACAAATAATATACTGAGACTCAACACTTGCATATGTGAAGTTTACCAGTTTATACATGTATAAAAATTGAAAAATAATTGTAACTACATGTATCATATTTTTAAATAAAAAAAAGAGTAAATTGTAAAACATTCTTGCCTGACTAGGACCTAACCACATGTTTCCAAACTCCCGCCTTGCCTCTGCTTCCAAAGCCAGATTTGGTTTCAATACCTGTAGGAATTTTTCCACAAGTTTTAAATTTGTATTTTGTAGGAAAACTTAAGCAATCCTTCATATGAGTAATGTGCAGGTAATTTATAGATGGCTAATTTTTAAATCCAACATCCATGTATACATAACTAGATGGATATCCTATATAATACTCACCACATCTTGAACTACAACCTCATCAACCCCAAATGGACCAATTCCATAAATAGCCAAAGCACAGATAAGTATAACAGTTTGTACAAAGGTGATAAAGTATGTAAAGTAAGGTCTACAAAAGAAAACAGACAATTATCAACAAACACGTATAATACAGAGAACAAGCACCTGCTGGGACACAGATGTCTTTTCTGTATCCTAGACAATCTTTACCTACTGAATTTTTCTTTGGTCTGCAGAGAATTTCTGGATTTACCTGTTCATGTAATCATCTTCATCATCTCCTATAACCGAGTTCTTCTCTGAACATCTACAGCTGATCAGGCTACAGAAGTCTTCTTCTAAGACCTTTAACACCGGTGCAGCATCCACCACGTCCTGTGACATTCGGGACATCCCAAAAGTCGTCACCTCTGTCAGCTCAATGTCACCAGAATCAGCACCCATAACCCTAGACATAACCAGGAAATAGTAAAAACTACAAAACAGCTGGCTCCAAACTCATAACCCTAGACACGATCAGAAACAGTTAAACTACAGAAAAGCAGGCTCAGCACCCATAACCCTAGACATAACCAGGAAATAGTAAAAACTACAAAACAGCTGGCTCCAAACTCATAACCCTAGACACGATCAGAAACAGTTAAACTACAGAAAAACAGGCTCAGCACCCATAACCCTAGACATAACCAGGAAATAGTAAAAACTACAAAACAGCTGGCTCCAAACTCATAACCCTAGACACGATCAGAAACAGTTAAACTACAGAAAAGCAGGCTCAGCACCCATAACCCTAGACATAACCAGGAAATAGTAAAAACAACAAAACAGCTGGCTCCAAATCCATAACCAGGAACAGTTAAACTACAAAACAGTTAGCTCAGCACCCACAATCCTAGGCATAACCAGAAAACAACGCAGCTATGTTAAGGCTTCCCGAAGCTTTAAAATGCGCTCAAAACATAATATGTCATTGCGAGGTCGGTTTTGGTTTTAATTTGTAAGTATTGAACTTTAGTACTTCCAATTTATATAAAGGATTTCCTCGGCTATATATTAGCATATTTGTTATGATATCACATGACTTTGTTGATCACGTGACGGTCATTTATAATTTTTTGAAGTGTTTCATATAAATCGCTTCGGCGCAGCTGATTAACACAATAATTATTAACATTTTGTTATATAAATAAACTCATCGTATCCTTGTGTATCCGAAATGTGCTTGGGAAAAGTCATAGTATTACTCGGGTACAAAATATTTCCTGAGAAATTCAACTTACCTACAAATTTGAGGGTATTTTCCACACAATATCGTAATCTGTATTAAAACAAAGCCAACACACATTTTTCCCAAGCAAGATTCAGTTAGAGAACAACCTCTTCTTACAGATTTCCACAAAAATTCTCAGATTAATCCTCATTAATCACCTGCGCCAGACTCTTTTATACACACAAAATAAATTCTACCTCCAACCACGGGTATAAAACAGAGTACATTTCAAAAGTATATTTTTCATAAGCATTTTGAACATGGTGAATTTCAATCAAGGGTAGGTAAGCGGTGTATTTCTAAAATATTCGGACATATAAGACTTAAAAAACCTTTAACAACCCGTGAATTTTGCAATAGCTATCTATCATTTTACATGCAGTTTGAAATTAAGTGTAAAGTTCATGACACTCTCCCCGTCATAACACCTCAAGTTTGCAGTGACCTGACGTCATTTTCGATTATGACGTCATATTTTGGTAGTTCAGAGATGTGAAGGCACAGAGTGCACTGTCATATTCTACGGGAAGCCTTAACCTACCTGCGAACTAAACTACAAAACAGCTGGCTCCAAACCCATAACCCTGGACATAAACAGAAAATTGTAAAATTACAAAACAGCTAGCTCTAAATACAAAGCCTTCAACATAAACAGAAAATAGTAAAATTATAAAACAGCCAGTTCAGCACCAAAACCCTAAACATAGCCAGGGAATACATGAAGAAAAATTATAGAACATCTTTAATGTAGAGAGATGAAGCTTGAAGGTTGTAGAGATTTTAGAAAATATGTCAGCTATTTTTGGGTACAATAAATTTAGGTTATTCAGAGTATATGTAGTAGAGAGAATAGCTGGATTTTTTGTATGTTAATGTAAAGTTCTGATCAGTTAACAACCAGTAACAGTTATAATTTAATATCAGCTAGACAAATGTAAGAGAATCATACCACTTTCATAAATCCTTTGGTTGTTTTTATAAGAACAGATACAAACAATCATCCCTCAGAATGCCAACAAAATAAATGGATTTCATAGATATATTAACAATTGTCCGTAGAAAAGTTTTTTTTCCCAAAATTTTCTGTAATGTTTATCTTTCCAAACATCTCTATATCAGATGTTCACATACAGTTATGAATTCTTAGAGTAAAACTTTCCTACCCTTTCTCTCTTTTCCCCATTCCTGAATCTACTTCTTCATCATTAGACTCAGCCATGCTGAAACAGAAATGAGTAAAATCAGAAACAATGCATGAAGTAACTCTGGTACAGTAAGTTCTGTACAACATTTCACTCGGGATATTGATACTTACACTTCTGGTCTGGAGGGCAGTGGTTCCTCTTTGTCATCAAAAAATTTCTCATCCCTCCACCTCTATAGCGAGTCAAAAATACATGTAGCATATATAAATATCTGTGTATGTGTATAACATTTGTTCATATCATACTAATTATCAAGATATGCACAGTATGAACTGCATCAAAATATATCATTTGACTATAATGGACAGGCATCAGTGCTTAAGTCTGAAATAAAATGGAATGGCTGTTAATAATGAGGGAAAACTGCAATAATTTTAACTGCCATTTTTTTAAAATTCAACAAGCTTTAAGATGTAGCATTTGGGAATGTGCATCAATCTGGGTTAAGGCTGACATAAAAGTGTTTGATGTTGACTAAATGTAGGATCTCGCATGGTTTGTGCTTGGATACAATTTTTTATCCAACAAGCTGTGTGTTTTTAACTCTGGGCTTTGGTGAGGGGATAAAAATACACAATGATTTGGATAAACAATCATATCTAACCACACACCATGGGAGATTCTTTTTATTACATTTTACACATACATGTAGCTATTTCATGAATTTGTTTTATGTAAATCCACAATATCTGACTAAATCAAATTCACGCAAAAACCATTGTGACATCACAACTGAGGATATGAAAACAATATCTTATGAGCTATATTGACTGGGCCATCCCTAAAAAATTGTTTGTTTGGAATTGCCGCCTGGGAGGTTTCAGACCCAGGAGGGAGGGAGGGAAATTATTTTTTTTTCAAAATTAAATTTAAATTAAAAATTTATGATAAAAATCTCAACAAGCAGGAAACACGTTATTTTCTGCCTTTTTGTAAAGGGTAACTCCAATCAACAAGGAACCCAATTTTGCTTAGATCCGACACTTATTTTAAGTGATTGGGTAGCACATGTGATGACAGGCCAAGAATTGATTGAATAAAAAAAATCTTCTTATTTTTGGTCAGTAAAATTTTTCTAGGAGGGGTCATTTCAATGAGATGGGAGGCAATTGCAAACAAACAATAATTTTATTTTGGCCCTGTATAAAGGAGTAAACATGTGACAAATATGATTTCTAATCCTCTACTAAGATGGCTCAATTCTCACTATTTGTATTTTGTTTTTATCCTCAAATGAATGTATTCTTAGGATTAGTGATATTATTACATATGTATGTTAACCATTTCTTGGTAAGAAAAATCAATGAAATTCAAGTGATGTTTTAATAATTCCTAGTGCTAATTTTTCTGAAAGTTTATAAATATATAAGTGCTACAAAAAACTTCTGTCATTACAACCTTGACCAACCTCATCAAAAACAGGTTTAAAGAACTTGTCCAAAGCTGCCGGTGCAAAGCTTCTAGGTGGTTCCCCTTCTGTTAGTGTTCTCCTTTCTTTGGATAATCCCTACAATGTGGGAGTTATCTATAAATAGATACTGTCCCGCAATAAATTTTAAGACAATACTAAATCTCATATGGGCCACTAAAATTGGTAATAGCACAATTAACTTTCAGAATATTTATTCTGCAAGACAAACACAAAGGTAGGACACTTTGTAGCACTTTTCTACAGTTTTCTTGCCATATTGGCTTTGAGAAAGCTTATACAAAATAGCTGTAAATGTGGTAGAAATTTACTTGTGGGTGTAATATACACTAAATACTCAAAAAGACCTTTAAGGTCAATATTCCCCCATGAACCAACACCTTTAACCATATTTTATTCAGTTTTAGCAATACAAAATCCATGTATTGTAGAAATAACTCCCACACATAATGTTCTTGAATCTAATTCATGTAATTAACAACACATGTAAATATCCACATTTACAAATTACAATACTATCATTCAACCTAAACAAGAGGCCCATGGCCCACATCGCTCACCAGAGCACTCTGGCTAGGCATATCAGAAATCACTTCAGTATTGAAGTGGTTTCAACATTTGATCTTCTATTGAGGCCTTGCCTTACTCCCAGAGACATGATTTAAACACACTTGTACGATGTATCTACACCACCTGAGGATGCTTCTGAATTAATTTGACTAATCATGGCTTGGCTGTTCATGAGAAAAAAATTGTATAACTTTGATCCCCTGTTGTGGCCACAGACTAGCCTCTCAAGGTCATGAATTGAACAAACTTTAATCTACACTACCTGAGGATATTTCCATATTACTATGACTAAACACAGCTGAGCAGTTCTTGGAAAGATTTTTAAAACTTTTTTCCCTATATATTCCTATGTAAAACTTTGATCCCACATTGTGGCCCCACCCTACCCCCCAGGGGTCATGTTTTGAACAAACTTGAATCTACACTACCTGAAGATGCTTTCATATTACTATGACTAAACATGGCTTTGCTGTTCTTGAGAAGAAGATTTTTAAAGATTTTTTTCCAATACATTCCTATGTAAAACTTTGATCCCTAATTGTTGCCCCACCCTACTCCCTGGGGTCAAAATTTAAAGAAACTTGAATCTACACTACCTTAGGATGATTCCATAAAAATATGACCAATTAAGCTTTGTTGTTCTAAAAAAGAATTTTTCCTATGTATTCCTATGTAAAACTTTGATCCCCCATTGTGGCCCCACCTAACCCAAGGGGATCATGATCAGAAAAAATTTTTAATCTACACTACCTGAGGATGCTTCCATATCAATATGACTAAACATATGGCTTTCCTGTTCTTGAGAAGAAGATTTTTTAAAGTTTTATTTGTGTGTAAAACTTTGATCAGCCATTGTGGCCACACCCTACCCCTGGGGATCAGGATTTGAACAAACTTGAATCTACATTAGCTGAGCATGCTCCCATATCATTATGAAAACATGGCTTTCCTGTTCTTGAGAAGAAGATTTTTAAAGATTTTTTCTCTATATATCCCTATGTTAAACTTTGATCCCCATAGTGGTATAACACAATTACTCAATGTGTTTGGATTAAGAAGACTTTTGCAAGTTTATAGTTTTATTATAAAGTCACAGCAAAGGCAAAAACAATGGTACAAAAAAAAAAGTTCAATGGCTGCAGGTCTTGGAGCCAAGATGGTGAAAGCTCACATATTCAGTCTAGGAGCTAAGATGGTAAAAAGCTCTCATAGTCAGTCTTAGAGCTAAGATGTTAAAAGCTATTGATACTCAGTGCGCACATCTTTTGCACAAGAAGCTGCATCATAGGGATCACATATTTGGTAACAACAATTAGTTAGTTAGAGTGTCACTTCATTAATATTGATATAGTCCGCTCCTCACTGCATCTACTTATAGGATACAGTCTGTTTATATTAACATTGTGTATCTTGCACATTCTTCAGTTAATTATATGGTTGCAGATTTGCACAAAGTCTGATTGGAAGTGTCAATGTTAGAAAACAACACATCGTAAAAACTAATTGTCCGTCAAATGAAGACACTCACTTATTGTATCCAATCTCCCAGAGTTTGTAAACAAATTCATAATTAAGATGTTATTGTCCATCGCTATACACACTGATAGTATCAATTATAATTTAAAACACAATATTTAAAATATTAATAAACTCAATGTACAAAATTAATATATCAATTAAAATTATAATTTGTACACTCATTGTGTTACAGTGGCCCCATCCAACCCCCAGGGGTCATGAATTGAACAAACTTGAATCTACACTTTGTGAGCAGGGATAGACATTAACTTTCAGATTCACTTGCCCTTCGGGCAAGTGAACTCAAACTTTGACTTGTTCGAATGCAAAACTTGGTTGCCCAAAATTTAGAAAGAAGGGAAACCGAAAACTTAATTTATTATTGTAAATAAAGTGAGATATTTTTTATGTTTGCCAAGTTAAGTACCAGAAAAATATCTTGATGTGCCGGTGATGCTACATTTTAAATACTTGTAAACTCACACTGCCATGCAGCAATACTTCCTTTTAAATAAAATTCATATTTTTGAAAACTATTTTCTTTATGATCTTTTTGTGAATTTTGATTTTTCCCCCTGAAAAACTGAAGCCACACTAAAGGAAAACATTGGCCATGTTTGGAAACATACATATCCTGATCAGAATACATCGTGCACCAAGAATAACATAAGGGTTCGATCGCCAAATAGCTCACTTGGTAGAGCACTTGACTGGAGATTCAGGGGGCCCAAGAATAACTTTTTTTCTTTATATTCTGTGAGTAAATAAATGAGCTATTTTTAAATATCATATTTCATAATAAGAATGTTAAGATGTCAGTTTTGTCAGCTACACCGAAAGAAAAACGGAATAACGAACCCGATTTTTGAATAAACGGCGCTACCGAGGAATTTCCGACTACAAAAAGAATGTCATATTCCTGGTAGAAATCAAGTGTTCAAATTATTGTTTGTTTATAAACTAATATAAGATTTAAAAAAATATATCAGAAGTATTCACTTGCCCGATCGGACAAGTTCAACAGCAGTTTCACTTGCCCTAACTGAGAATTTACTTGCCCCAGGCAATCAGACAACCGTTAATGTCGATCCCTGGTAAGTTTCAACTCTTCTGGCCAAGTGGTTCTTGAGAAGAAGATTTTCAAAAGATACCACCAAATATTCACTATTTCCTAATTATCTCCCTTGAAAGAGGAAATGGCACTTCATCTGAACAATCTTGAATCCCCTTCACCCAAGAATGCATTGTGGCAAGTTTGGTTGAAATTGGCCCAGTGGCTCTGGAGAAGAAGTCAAAAATGTGAAAAAATTACAGAGGGATGGATGGACGAGCAGACAGCTAGACAGATGTCGGACAAAATGTGATCAAAAAAGCTCACTTGAGCTTTCAGCTCAGGTGAGCTAAAAAGGCTACTGACATCGACTGAAGATTTTAAATTTTGGTACGTTCAATATTCCCTCATTTAAGGAGGGATTCTTCTCATATTTCTTGTATTTAAAATTTAATGAAATTTTCATAGATTCATGAAGACATTATCACTAAGTGATGATACACATTTATCAGATTAAATTTGACTGTTTTGTTTAAGAAGGAAGGTCAGGTCAAGGTCATTATCTTTTTCCTTGACATTTAGAGTGAAAAAATACTGTCCCTAATCATGTGATGCATACTTCTGTTTTAAAAGATAAAATATTTTTCTTCTTGCACAAAAATTACCATATCAGGTCTATCAGATGATTCTAACAAATTAATTGACATTATTTAACTTAAATAGATATTGACTGATCCAAATTTCCTCTGTTTATCTTAATTTTTTAGGATAATATTAGTTATTTTTATATACTTCTTATATTTAAATATTTCTTACTTTCGTATATGGTAAATACTCATATAAATATACAAAATGATACAAAAACAAAAAGGTTTGACCATTTAGTAAGAGAGAAAAACAGTTTTTACTGATTTTCTTGCTCAGATCTTTTTTCAGATTGGAAGCTTTCAAAAGCTAACAAGATTGTAATTTGTTTAGAAAATCATTATTATTTGCTATATTTTAAAACGTTAGGGCATTATTATTAATTTTAGTTACATTTCAAAATTTCTTTAAGTCTTTAATTGTTTAAAAAATTTGACTGAATGTATTGTTCTGTAAGTGATTTTGATAGGCAGAAAAGGAGATATTTTCATACACCGTAGTTGTGCCAAAAATATTGTCCATGCTGAATTTCAAACTCAGTTTACCATTTCTATTTAAAATTGTACAATTATGATAAGTAAAGAAAAACATGATCTTTTAAATACAAGCAATTAAACTTGGAATATTTCGTCTAGTCAGAAACCAGACAAGAATCCCTCCTTAAGATGTTAAAATTATTTTATGTTATATTATACTCAAGTGAACCACTAAATAAGAAATCACCCTATACGGACTAACTAATCAGGAAAAAAAATTACTTTTACAAAAAAGTTCTAGTTGATTTCACTACAGTTTGGCAACGAAATGCACAACAGAAATTTTTACGTTTGGTACTGTTTGGCATGATTGAAAACGTTTCTCTCATCTTAAATTTCATATTTTACTTCATAAATCTAAAGCCCAATCATTAAGCCGGTATATCAATACTGGAAAAATGTATCGCAATATGATATTTTTTGTAAACGAATCGCAATATATTTGAATATCAATATTATTGCGCAGCCCTATTAATAACATATCCTTCTTCTATAAATCTGTATTTATTTTACTTATGAACTTGTATTATATAAATAACAGTAAGGTAGGGCATGTATTATGACACTAAATACAAATTCTGACCATTGCGGAAGCTGAGAAATCCAATAACAGTCTTGCCACAGGTTTTTTAGGTTTTTTATGTGGTTTCCTCCGAGTGGTGCTCCAAGTAGCGCTCGAATAGTCCAGCTCGTCCACCTGCCTCATTCCTGGGGAGATCAGAAGGGTCTTCTTCCTTCTTGCCTGCCATCGCTGTTTCAGTTCCTCTTTGTCTTCCACAGGTAACTCTGCTTCTGTTGGTAACCCCAGAAATTCAAACAGTGACCTACAATTTAGGTAAGATAAAAGTCATTTTAGTGTATATGTATTTCAAAGATATATTAAGTGAATGTATTTATACATGTATTTACACATAAATGTTAATGTATATTTCTGATGACACGAATTACAAGGTGTGAAAAATCACTCTTGAAGAAATTAGTTACCAGCAACTCATAAAAATATCTAATTGCCACCACTATCAGTGGCGGATCCAGGAATTTCGTAACGGGAGGGGGGGGCACTAGAAGGCAGGGGGTCATTGAAGCCCCCAGTAGGTCTAGGGCAAGCCCTGGTGGAGGTTCTGGGGGCAAAGCCCCCGGAAGCTGACAAATTCTTACAAATAAGAGATGTTTTTTCCTTGATTTTAGGATAATGAACATATAAGTTCTACACACAAAATGTTAAAACTGGGGGGGGGGGGGGGGGGGCACGCCCGGTGCATTGGCCCTGGATCCCCCTTTGACTATTGATGAAACAATTAGTAATGACATCAAAATAAAACAAAAATGCTTTGAAAAAATTGATTTGAATTTGTATTAAAAATGACAATAAAAAGTTACATCAAATTCATCCAGTCTAAGTAGCTCTCAAACAGAACTCTTAACATTAGACAAATTACAGACTTGTTAAATAATATACAGTAATGTGCCAAAATTGATGATAATATCCTACCTTTTTGCATTGTTAAACATGTTGTAATGTTCCAAAAAATTTCTCTCTAGTCCCTTGGAGGTTCTGAAAAAAAAAATCAAAATTTTATTTCAATGATTTGGACTCTTGATATAGAAGCATAAAATGAAATGTGCCCATGGCCACATGAATAGGTTGGGGTGAATCTTGCCTCCCAACATTTTTGCCAACAACAGTACTGTAAAATAAAACGTTTATTTCATCCAACTTTTAGCAGCAAATCCAGCAATGTACAGAACTTATGGTGAAAATTATTGAAGCATGACAGAATGCACAGCATAAACACGACTTTACTTATCAACAGCTTTTTTCAAAAATATGTTTATATTAAAAATCGTTATTAAAAATCATTACGTGTACAATTATCCTTGCTCCAAAGGCATAAAATAAATATGCACCATTATTCTTCTTCACAATATAATTCATGGTACATTTAAAGAATATTGAAAGCCTCTGTAAAATGCATTAAAAATGGTACACAAGCATATATATACCAGAAACACTTGACAAGTGAAAGGGACTGTACTTGTTAGGAGAATTGTATAAAGGATCCTCCCTTACTCCCCTCCCAACCACTCATTCAAACATAAGCAATTTTGGAAGAATGTTTTATACACATACATGTACAACTGTGATGGGAGAGGAGAAAAATGAGACAGACCAGACAGGGATTCGAATCTGGGCCCCCTGAATCTCCAGTCAAGTGCTCTACCAAGTGAGCTATCTGGCCACCGGTGATCGAACCCGTCTGACCGCCACAGGCAAACAAAATTTAGGCCTCAGGGTCATCGCCATGCAGGGAAGGGAGGGGTGCACAGAGGGTCAGGGATGGGTACCTCTTACTAGACTGAGCCAGAAATTGTATTATACATGGGTACCAGGCATATTCTCTGTACTTTGGTTGATTCTGGTGCATTCCTAAACAATCATCTTATTCCCATATTATACATGTATAAAACTGAATCTACCTAATTATCATCTATTTTTAAAATATTTTTGAGTGTTTTTTAATTTAAGATATTTTTGAGTGTTTATTTTTAATTAAGGGTGCGATGACCTGCGTTTCATGGGCTTTTCATTTAAAGAATTAAAAAAAAAAATTATGTACTAACCTTCTACCACAGGAGTTCGCAATTTTATCAATAAAATTGCGAACTCCTGTGAGTCTACTTTCACTTTGGTAATTGTTGTTATACGAATAATACTTATATGTATGTTAAATATAATCATTTTCTGCATCTGATTTCAAATTGTAACTTACCACAAGATGCCACGGTCAGGTATCCAAGTCACACTTCCACGAAAAGCTATACACCCTTGCCTGCTAACATTTGAGACGGCGGGTAACTCTCTTGCTTATTATGCGATTTCAAATCTCGGTGCCAGAAACGCTTGAATGTTATTTTTAGGATGGGTTACTGATTGCGAGAAAGTAGTCACTGGCGAAAGTAAATTGGAATATGTTGTTAAAGATGTTAATATAATAATAATAATAAAAGAATAATAGGCAATGATATATCAATATAAGCAAAAAGGGGAACTTTTCATTTATTTTGCAAGCAAAAAATATGGCAACCTACCCACATGGTAAGGCCGTGTTAGAGCGTCAGAAATACTTATGAGTTCCCCCAACTTCCCTAATTTTGTAAATTTCAGAAGCCAGGTCGTACATTTATACCCACGGCCCTGTGAAGGACCAATTTAGAGAGGTGCTCAACCGTGCGTCTCGGCAGCGGGAGCTCCACGAACCAGAATGTGTGCATAATAGGGACAAACACTGGACAGATCAGCCGAATTTCCAGCGATCAATGTTCAGAGTGTCACCAGGACACACGCTCCGATAAGAAACGTAAAAATCACAGTTTTATATGCAATTTATTTTTGTTCTAAAATTTTACCATTTTTATATATTTACATTTTCTTCAAATATATCATTGATGAAATCCTTAAATTTAAACTAAATGAAATCAATAAGTTAAAATAAAATAAAGCATGACACTATTTTAATTATGGTCTTTTCTTTAAATCATTTAAATGTTTGCAAATGCGTTATTTTATTCAAAATTATAGGAAATTAAATTCTTGTAGTATATAAACAAGAAAGAGTTATCTTTCTTGTTCTTAAGTCATGTAATCTGTATATCCACAATTAGGCTGTGGGTTTTGATTATGATTTCATTGCATATATTTCAGAATATCCACCAACCCCCGAATTTTACATTCCAAATATTAAACGATTAAAATGGTATACAATAATTTCCCCTTGTTCGATTACTTCATCGATGGTTCTCAGTAAATAATAAAAATTGTATGTACTACATATCAAAAATATTTTGATGTGATTTTGTTTTTAAATCAGATGAAATACTCACTTTCGTATCTTCTGAAAATAGTCAATATGATCGAATCTATCAAGTTCATCGTACATGTGTACCATCAAAGAAATGTGCACTGTAAACTTATTCATGTGCACAGTAACGAATCCAGGATTTGGAGTTAAGGGGGCGAGGGTATCTGAGGGCCCGCCTTAGGTCCCTGGTAGGTCCAGGGCGAAGATCTGGTGAGGGCCGGGGGAGGGGGGGCAAAGCTCATGGATTCTAGAAATTTAATAGGGCAAAATGAAATCTTCTAAGTAGACATTTTGATTTTGCCTTTGTCTTGTTATTGTTCAGATTTTTTAAAATAATAAAACTACGAATATTTAAAGGTCTGTGGAATCAAAGCCCAGGAATCAAGCCCTGAGAAGCATCCGCCTTGCAAGAATATTGAAATGCAGTATATCCCTTTATCCGATAATTAATTTCTTTCAAAGATGGAACCATGATTATCTTCGCCCCCTCCCTAATTCTTTATGTCTCTGATTTGCCACTGCATATGCCTAGAATTTTCAAATATTTCAATTCAACAAATTCTTAGTTTACAATGAATTTACATGCATTTAATCTTTAAAAAAGATATGGTAACATAAACAGTCATTATACAAGTACTACAGTAATGTACCAACATATTCCTTTTGCAGGCCCGTAGAACGCAGAGGGGGGAGGGGGCTGCCCCCCTTTTTTTCGAGTATAGTATTTTGTTTATAATCTACGAGGGTTGTCCCAGAAAAACGCGAACATTTTCAATATCTTTTGTTTCACTAACACTATAAATTTAAAAATTGGCATACACCATAATCAACATTTTTTGAATAATGCATAAAAATTTCAGTAAAAATCTGTATAATTTAAAACATTTTTCTCTCAGGTAAACGAACCTTACAAAATAGCTGTCGGCGCAACACTGACGACGTCAAAACGTAACTCGTGGCGTTTGTGAATTTATCATGGAATCATGCGTCTGATAAAATTCGTTTGAAGCATAAATTCGACATGCACTGTATTTAATTTTCTTTTAGTTATCAAGTTATCCATCTCAGGTATTAATTTGTGTTTCCAAAAGATCGCGGAATTAATTCTTTTAATAAACTTTAACAATTTCCCAACCCAGATCTTCATGACTTTTCAGTTTGTTGGTCTACCAAACGCTTCTTCCATCGAATAACCAGTCAAACCATCCTCGTACCTCTTGAACTAGGTATAAATCTGTGTCCGAGATATATGTTTGTGTCGTTCCCTCGTTTATACATATCTTTTTCCCGTGTGGAGAGTCATATCCCGCTCAACAGTACTCCTTGATAATCTGGTGCTCCACATTCCCGCCCGACGTCACTATTTTTGACAATATCTAAGTAAAGGTGTTTTTGCATCTAACGTCATATTTTTGCCATTTATGATGCTAAATTAATGAATTTTTACACATGATTACTTCAGATCATAGAGATTTTATGGAGGTAATTTTTTTCACATTATATTTCCGTATAGCCTGGTACTAAAAAAATTCTCTGACAATGGTATTTCTAAAACTCGAAAAATTGCCCCGAGCACCGATATTTGACACACTTTAAAAGCTATTTTTACATGCAGAAGACATTAAAACTTTATAATAGTTTGTAAAAATAGCAAAAATTTCATTTTCCAACAAGGTGCAAAAAATTATTTATTTTGGTCGAATAGTTCTTGAAATTATCGTTTAGATACTGCCCCCCACTTTTTGTAACTGTAAGATTTTAAACAGGATTTAAACAGATAATGGACAGCTAAATAGTGTTGTTGGGTTTTTTTTGGGAGTTTGCCATCCCCCTTTTGAAACCGTTGCTACGGGCCTGTTTTGTAAAGAATAGGAACAGATATATCACTGTGAAGATTTTAGATAATGTGATAAAGCTGGGGCACGTTGCCTCTGAGGAATACCTCCCACCAACGAAGAATTTCCCTTGTGTCTCGTAACGAAAACAAATTCCGTTTTTGCTCGTATTTTCGATTAATCAACATTTGATTGGATTCGCAATTCAATGTCTTAGCATCTTTGTATTCATGTTCTGTACTAGTATATAAACAAAAATAGGATAATCGTATTATTTTTGGACTTTCATTTTGTTGGATTTTTTTTATCACCGTTGATGAATTCAATTGATGGCAGATAAATAAAAAAATAAATAAATAAATATCAAAATAAAACACCAATCTTCGACCTCAGGGGAATATATACGAGAAATTCAATATTATTATTATTATTATCAATAAACAAAAATACAAAACAATCCCGAGTTTCCATTTGAATTCCGTAATTTTCCATTTGTATTGTTTTTTTTTCTATCTGAAAAATTATACAATGCAAATGGAAAATTATAAAATAGAAATGCAAAATTATACAATACAAATATATAGAATTTTATACAAAACATATGGAAATTATACATTACAAACGAGAAAATTATATAATACCAAAGGAAAGTTATACAATGAAAACGAAAAATTAAACACTACAAATGAAAAATTATATTATACAAATGTAAAATTGTAGAAAACACATTAAAAATTTAACAATTTACAATTGCATGAAAAAATCGAAATTGCAACGTTTGACATGCCACAGATCTCCAAGTACACACAAACTTACTGTTCAGTTTTAAAACATCGGTGTATTGGTTGGATTAAGCAACGTAACAATTTTGGGGTCAGAGATCTCACAGGGAAGTAAGTCAGGTAAATTTCATTTATAGTCGGTATATATATACAGTATAACAGAATAACATGAGCTGTGATAGCTCGATCTTTCACCGACTTTAACAAATTTACACAAAGATAAAAGTTAGTAAAAATATACATAGTTAGTAAAAAGCATAATTTAATTGAACCATAGGAAATAAGCACATATACTAGCAATTACAAAAAAGGGACTGAAATTAAAAAAAACAGCATAAATTTCTGACGGACATGTATGACTATCACAGGTAAGAAGAATCACAAAGCACAATACAGAAACAAACATTTACTATCACTGATCTTGCTTATGAAAAAAAAAATAAAAACTAAAATACTTGGCATATATGACTACATGTATCACAAGTAAGTACAATCACAAAGCACATTTACTAGCACTGATAGAAGAGAAAAACTGAAGAAAAAAAAAACAAGGAAAGCAACATATATAGTAATTATACATATGACTAGCATGCATATGGACAATCACAGAACAGGAAAATAAAGCAAAACATAAAACTAAAAACAAATTCATATTAGAAATAAAAGATACACCACGGAAGAACACTTAGAAAGGTTTCTCAGAAATAGGTACCATTGACTGGTGTTTACATATACTACATGTCTGATTTCCACACCAAGCAGATATATAGTTTTTAAATAAATTAAAGGATGTTGTGTTTCGAATATCATTAGGAAGAGTATTCCATATCCTTGCTGCCTCATATCTGAAAGAACCTTTTCCATACCTTGTAGTTTTGGGTCTAGGGGTTTCTGCAGCTTTAGAATACCTAAAATTATATGAATTTTTATCTAATTTTAACCAGATCTTGGAGAAAGACTGGACTCTTTTTATTAATAATTTTAAATGTTTCTAATGCCAGCAATCTCATTCTTCTAGTCTTTAGAGAGGGCAATTTGGATCTTTCCAATAGTTGTTCATATGAAGTTTTATAGTCACTAAAAAAAAACGCAACGCTCTTAACTGAATTTTCTCAATTTTTTCTCACTACAGAAATGTCAAGTCAGGGGGCAAAAACTAAAATTCGACATAATAAAACTATGATACATGGTAAGCTTTCCCAATCTATTCAAGTATTTCCCAATCCGTTTCAAAACGTTTAGTTGTCTTGCTGCCTTCTTACACATCTCTGAGATATGAGTATTAAAATTTAGTTTAAAATCGATTGTAATTCCTAAAAGATTAACTTCATCTTCACATTTGATGATAAAATTTTCCAAGTTAAA